TCTATTCATTCATATATATATATAGTTATATATATATTAAAATCTATATTTAATTCAACTAGTGGGAATAGTTCTCAGCATCATATCAAGACATTTCTTTATATGTACAATGTTCTCATGCATTTTTTTTTTTTTCAATTCAAGCAACTCTTTCAAAGCTTCCATGAATAAAAAAACAGTGCCTCCATATGTATGGCAACTAGCGTCGGTGCATAAAGTAAACTACTCAAAATCTGAAAGTCTTAATATAGTAAAATTCTAAGATTGAACCCAAGATGCTACATACAATCTTCTCAAGTTCGAAAAACTTGAAATCTCTCTTACCTCTGTTATGCTGGTTGCTAGAAGGAATAATGAGGAGTGTCTTTAACTATATTGTGATAAAGATGAAAGCGACTTACAAGGTTGGGGGAAGTTGTCTTCTCTCTCACTCCGCACCAAGCATATGACTCCTATAAATATGATGAAAACATTTGCAGGCCAAATCATCAATCCATATTCATATACCTAGAAACATTTTCCATCATGAAAGCCCAATTCTCTTTCCATTCCTTTTTCACCTTCTTATTACTCTCTACGGTATTAAATTATGAAAAAGAATGGGAAGAAAAAAGACTCAGCTCTAAATCACTCCCAGGCCATGGGAAGCCTAAATCGGCAGCAGCACATTATCTGCTTCCTCTTACCCCATGTCCGTCTGAGAGACTCTGCCCAAAAGTAAGCATGCCCTATTTAATGCACCTTCAGCTCGGGCGAAGGTCACGAACATTGCTTGTTCTTCGCCTGAAACTGCTAAAAAGCAGTGAATAAAACCCATATCACATTTTTGCTTCAAAACCCTTCTCCTTGCCAGCAAATATAATGGCTTTATAATCTCAAACTTGATCTTGCTTTTGCGCCCTATGAACTTATGGAGACAAAATGCGAAAAATCTGCACCAAGAAATCCTGTCTAATAAACGTTTGCAGATCATTCCGGATTAATAAGAGAAGAAAGAACGTAGTTATCAAAATATGCTAGAACACTTCTTCTCGGCAGGGTCAACAGTTAACCTTTAGCAAAAAATGTTCAATTCTGTGACTTATCAATATCATTCAAAGAGTAGCTATTGGTAAGCGTTGAAAAGAAGAAGTAGTCATCCAGCTATCAAGAAATTGATAGAATAAGCTTCCGGAGGTTTTAGTCTTCTCTTGATTATACCCTCAATGCAAATTCTTCATAAAATTAAGCACGACGAATGTAAGCTACAGAGAGCTCATAAAGAAGAACACATCGATATTCCATAACATATTGTGAACACAGGGCAGAAGGGCATCAAAGGCTAACATCTGCGTGCCAAATAGAATGAAGAAGACAATCTAATAGATGTCCTTTTGCAACTCCAGTCTAAAGAAGACCTTGAATTCCTATAACAGATACTAACGATAAAAAAGCCGTTTATCCTGGTTAGTGTTTTGTTTTTTAATACATAAAACAAATTCTCATTGACTGGAAAGTATATTGTTTTGCTACTAACTTATATAAAATCATTCAGAATCGTCTTGTCTGGTGTAGTGGACACATCAGCTAATACTGTAGTATGAGTGATGTCAGAATTCAAAAAAATCCAGACGATAAAAGAAGTACAGTCTTGAGTTAAACAAGGTTTAGTGATAAAGGGTATGTGGTATGAAAAAGGCATCGCGAAATTACTATTACTTAAAAGCTTTGTATGAAAAGGGGGGGAAACTATGAGGTTACCGTCCTCCTGGAACAATACTTATACCAAAATGTATGGAAGACTGTGTGATTAAGGTTACGACATTCCTTATAAATCATAGAATTATTATTAAGCCATGCTCTGGAAAAGATCCTTGATTACTTGGCCTGAAGCTGAAGATTCACATCCGGACAGACTCTTGAATTCTTCAATTGATTATTAAAGAAACCATTTCAGTGTCTTCCATTTTGACCGGTGAGAGGAGAGTTGTCCTTGGAATATATTCGGCATTATCTATATGTTTCAATTTCCTCTTGCCCACGATTGCTATATCATTTTGATTGGAAACTTCCTAATGGAATGCACCAGAAATCTTACATGAACGCAAAGTATGAATTGCATCGAACAAGGCAAACGATCTTCCAACTTAATTCCCATACCATACCTTCCTGCAAAGTGAAGTAAAATTCTCAATGGAGCTTTCTTATGTTAGTTAATTTGCCAGATGAGCGGCAATCCACATGTTTTTTTTTTTTTTACCTGTGTTTTGAAATAAAAAAAAAAAAAAATTGTGTTATTTACAATAAAGAATTTGTAGTCTTAGTTGTTTCTACCCCTTTTTTATCAGTCAAAAACAAAGCTTAGAGAAAAAACCATTATTATTTGTAAGCACAAAATATCAGAAAAAATTATATGATTTTTAATATTTAATTTTATGTGTTTTCTGTTTAATCAAACAATTTGGAAAAAACTTTCGTCTACATCAAGACCAACTGAATTAATTTTTCCTTTTTGTTTTTTTTTGGTTGTGAATGTAAAACATATTCTAATTGATTTAGAATATTATCAAAAAATTTTAATATTATTATTTTTATAAAATATATAATTTAAAAATAATTATTTATATATAATATATCCAATAGAGTAATATAATTTCAAATAAAATATGACATCAAATCACTACAAATAATAATTTTGAAATCAATACGATCAATAGAATTATTCTTAATTTTTGATTCAAAATAAATTTTATGTTAATTGATTCAAACTAAAAATTCTATGACACATTCATAAAAAAAACAAAAACAAAAAAGCATTTAGTATCAATTTAAATTATTAAACTAATAAGTACTCTCTCTCAACTTTAACATACATTATTATATACTCTGATATTAGCTCTGAAGTTAATTATTATATGTTATATGTTCATAACAAATTCTTTCCTGATATTAGTAAATTAAAGGACTCATTGTTGTATAATTCTATTTTTCTATATTATTTTTTTATTTTTAGCTAAAGGAAAGACGAAACAAATTAGGGGATGATTTCTTTTACTAACAAACTTAAAAATCATATTGAATTGTATTTTTATACGTTACTTATTTAATGATTTTTTCTGATCAAACTTAATAAAAAAAAATAATTTTAAAAAAAAGTAAGAGTAATTTTGTTCAGTATAAGACTTATTATAAATAAAAATATGATCCATTTATAACAAATGATTTAATAATAAGATATTTTTAACTATCGATGAAAAAAATTTGCTTTTACTTATTGTAGCTAGACCAAGACCGACCTAAACAAATCCAAATATCTCCAACCATTCAATAGAAGAACCAAAAAAAAATAAAATATAGATGATTTTTTCTAAAAATAACCTGTCTCAATCAAATCTAAGAATGGAACATGTTTCAATATATAGAATCACTGTTACCAAAAACCAATCGAAATAAAAAGCTTAGAAATTATTTTCAAAATCATATTTTTTCTTAGGAAATATCCAAAATATTTACGTTTTTTTTTTTTTTTTTTTTTTTTTTTTTTTTTGAAAACAAAGGAAAAATCATTTTCATTGGTACCTTACCGGAGCCATTTGCTAGTCACAAGCGAGTTGAGACCCGACTCCTTATTCAAACGTGACTCTCTCACGCCGAGTCATGCTTTGACTGGTGAATCCACCTTAATTTTCTTTGTCGTAATTGTTGTCTACAGCGAGAAATATCATCTTTTTTTTAATACCAGTTTGGTCTATAAGTAGAGCTATGAATCCGGTTGACGTAAATTTTTCGTAAAGAAATGACCAATCAAAAGCAATCACCAATAAAAATTTCTGGCCTGCATTATTTTCTACTTTGTACTGTAATTCAAGGATTGAATAGTAAATTCATCCCTGCATTTTTTTCTTGAAAAATCTCATCGCACTCTTTATATTTATTTTGATTAAGTGAACACTTTAATTCATAAAATTACACTTTTTAACAGTTTAATTTGAATCATTTAACACCTTAATTTAAAAAATTAGATTGATTTAACACTAAATTCAATAGTTAAAAATGTAAAAGAATTATTGTTTCAACAGTTTTATTAAGCACACATTAAGTCAATATTTTACGTATAAAAACTAAAAATTTAAAAAATTATTGTTGGTAATGTGAAAAAATTATTATAAAAAGTGAAATTTAGGGTGAGATATAATTATTTTTAGGTCAAACTTTAGGGCTTAATACTAATCAATTTGACCGTCACTCATTGGCGAAAAAGTCCTCAGCCATAAATGCAATCACTGGTATGAGACACGAATCAAGATGCTAACCCTTAGATCAGATCTCATTTGTTTATAATTTTTCAAATGACTTGCATAAGCAATTATGCAATGCTTCAAGAATATTAGAAGTCAACAAATTAATTCTTCTTAAAATTAAGATTAAATTCCAAATTTAATGGATGAAAGTTACAGGATGACTTCAACTTTTAAAAAATTGAAGCAGGAAGATAGGGTGGATCAACGAGCTTGACAAATTTGAATAAAGAACTATACTTGAGCTTCATCGAATATAGCTAAGAAAAATGGAGTTGAGCTTATGATATAATGTTCAAGAGCATGCATCAGCTTGTTGAAATTTAGTGTTTGAGATAATAAAAAAAAAAAAAAAAATTAATAAAAAAAAAAAAAAAAAATGGACAAACATAAAATGATACACCAGAGATATTGCTGGGATTTCCATTCAATTAATTTAAAATTTTTCAACATACTTTCAATCTATTCCTTGTCATTCTTTTTCGACAATATTAAGAAAAAAAAGGAACTAAAGACTGCAATAAAATACCAAAATAATACCGTTGAAAACATAATTTAAAAAAAAAAAAAAAAAATGGACAAACATAAAATGATACACAGAGATATGCTGGGATTTCCATTCAATTAATTTAAAATTTTTCAACATACTTCAATCTATTCCTTGTCAATTCTTTTCGACAATATTAAGAAAAAAAAAGGACTAAAGACTGCAATAAATACCAAATAATACCTGAACATATTTCGAGTACGTACTGCAATTAGCCGCCGATCAAGACTTGATAAAATGAGATCAAAACTAAAACACGTTACCATATAATTAACTCCTATAAATATGGATGATGTACATTTTGCAGCAAATCAAACCATATCGATACCTGAGTATTTTCATCATGGAAAACCAATTCCCTTCCTTTCCATTCATTTTCACCTTCCTAGTATTTCTCTTCATGGTATTAAGATTATGGAAAAATTCCAAAAAAAACTCAGCTCCAAATCTTCCACCAGGGCCTTGGAAATTGCCTGTAATAGGCAGCATGCATCATTTATCCGGCTCTTTGTTACCCCATGTCCGCCTAAGAAATTTAGCCAACGAGTATGGACCTCTTATGCACCTTAAACTCGGCGAAGTCACAAACATAGTTGTTTCTTCACCTGAAACTGCTAAAGCAATTATGAAAACCCATGATCACATATTTGCTCAAAGACCCTTTCTCCTTGCAGCAAATATTATGGCTTATAACTCAACTGACCTTGCCTTCGCACCCTATGGAGATTATTGGAGACAAATGCGAAAAATCTGCACGCAAGAAATCCTATCTGCTAAACGCGTGCTGTCATTCGGATTAATAAGAGAAGAAGAAGTATCAAAATTCATTAGAGATCTTTCTTCTCGTGCAGGATCAACTGTTAACTTTAGCAGAATGTTCAATTCTGTGACTTACAATATCATTCAACGAGTAGCTATTGGCAAGCTATGGAAAGGAGAAGAAATAGTCATTCCAGCTTTCAAGAAATTGATAGAAGCTGCCGGAGGTTTTAGTCTTTCTGATTTATACCCTTCAATCAAATTGCTTCATAAAATTAGTACTACGAAGTTTAAACTACTGAGAGCTCATAAAGAAACAGACAAGTTATTCCAAAACATTATTGATGAACATAGAGCTAGAAAGGCATCAAGAGCTAAATCAGGTGCAAAAAATGAAGAAGAAGACATAATAGATGTCCTTCTGCAAGCTCAATCTGAAGAAGAACTTGAATACCCTATAACAGATGACAACATAAAAGCAGTTATCATGGTTAGTACATATTTTTATAAATACTAACTTCTCATGTATGAAAAATAGGGTTTTTACTTATTAAACTTGACAAACTTATTTCAGGACGTCTTATCTGGTGGTACTGACACATCAGCCACCACTGTCGTATGGGCGATGTCAGAATTGCTGAAAAATCCAGACGTGATGAAAAGAGTACAAACTGAGGTAAGACAGGTTTTCAGTAAAAAAGGGTATGTGGATGAAGAAAGCATCGGGGAATTACACTACTTAAAAGCTGTTGTCAAAGAAACTATGAGACTACACCCGACTGGTGCAGTACTTACCAGAGAATGCAGGGAAGACTGTGTTATTAATGGTTATGACATTCCTTATAAATCTAGAATCATTATAAATGCATGGGCTCTTGGAAGAGATCCTGATTACTGGCCTGAAGCTGAGAGATTCAATCCAGACAGATTCTTGAATTCTTCAATTGATTATAAAGGAAAACATTTCGAGTTTCTTCCATTTGGTGCCGGGAGGAGAATTTGCCCTGGAATATTATTCGGCATATCTAATGTTCAATTTCCTCTTGCCCGATTGCTATATCATTTTGATTGGAAACTTCCTAACGGAATGCGGCCAGAAGATCTTGACATGAATGAAAAGTATGGAATTGCAGTGAGAAGGGCAAATGATCTCCAACTAATTCCCATTCCATGCTTTCCTCCACAGCCACAGGTGAAGTAAAATCTAAACGGAGCTTTTGATGGTCAAAGTATTGTACGTAAATTATCAGTTGGATATGGCAAATTATGTAATATAATTAAGGAGAAAGTCAATAAAAAGTTTATAATAATTATATATGCGTTTGATAAAATTCTATCTGTAGTTTTATTAGATATTAAAATGGCTATTGACTTTTACAATTTATATTTTATATATTATAATTTATCTTATATTTTTTTATTATCAGATTGTATACTATCATTGATTAGTCAATGCTTAATAACTGACTGGTCTTCTGAAGGAGACCGTGTCATGCCCTTGACCCGTGTGTAGCATTTTGCATTTTATACTTAACTAATGAAAAATAAAAAAAAAAACACGCTGGTGGTTTCCATTCAACGACAGCGTTTTAACTTTGTCCTCTAGTTCTCTCTGAGTTTCCGAAAACTGAATTACCTTCGAGTAAGAAGAAAGAGATATGGTGGTGACGATAAAAACGATGTCGTTTACTTTGGATCGGGTGGACATTTTCCTTTGTTTGTCGGATAAAAAATAAATTTTCTTGTTGGTCTCTCTTTCAGCCTCTCAATGATTAATTTGTTTCTCTACTTGACAAAGGCCCATAAAGTTTGAGCCTACATAATTACTTAATAATAAGTTAAAAAGGGAATGCAAAAACCGGCCCATTTCCAAAAGTTTTACATGACAATTTTTACCCACCACAATTTTACATACCGAATTCTACCATTTACCGCATTTCACAAAGGTGTGTAAACAAATGAAAGAGAACATAGGGTAAGATATAAGGAGGTAACTAAATTATATTCAAATTAACACTTAAAGTCTTTTATAATTTAATAAATAATTATAACTTTCCTAATTTATATTTACTGTCAAATCATTCCGTTTAAAAAGTAAAAATTTTTCATCTGAATGGACTCGATTGTGAGACGAAAGCATAAATTATCTAGTATAAAACAATTTAAGTGTAAATATAAATATACTTAGGGACGATTTATATTTTACCACATGAGGTACTAGGAGGATTGAGAATATATATATATATATAATATATTATCTAGCATCTCCCTGACAAAAAAATTAGCTTTGTTTGTAAACAAACTAGACCATATGATATGAAATTAATTAATTAGCATTTTATTGGCTGTAATAATAGTTTTGAGTCAAAATTTATAATAGATAAAACAAAGGCTTTTACACTCCAAATGTCTTAAATCCAAATTCTATTCATATTGGGTTTCTATAATAAAAATGGAAGGAATCTCTTTATTATATAGTATATAATATTATTTCGGAAGTACATCCATTCATGCATTTTACAAGATTTGTATATATTTCTCGAGTTGTATTACTAACATAGGTTTAAGCATTAAAAATACTCTGAACTCAAGATGTTGTTGCAATAACACTTTGATTTGATCTTGCTGATACCCTATTTTTACCTTTTAGTTGCAATTTAACCCTAAAATCAAATATGAATTACAAATTATTAATGATTTAATATTAAATGTGGGTCTCTTAACCTAAACTTCTCTTTTACCCTCTTCTCATCCTCTTCCTTTCTCTATTTTTACTAATCTTCTTTGTTCCCAAAACCCAAATCCTCAAAATCCTACATCCATTCTGTTGTACAACATTTGATAAAATCAAAATACATCTCTCACCGATTTCTCCATGGATCTCTCTATTGACTACTTTCCATTTTCTTGTTCAATTTTCTGTTCTAGAACAAAATGCAAATCAAAACAATTTTCTTCATAAAATTCGGATCTAAAAAAATATTATTCTATATTTTGAATCCATTCATTGCTTATACATATAAAGCTTTCCTTATTTTCATAGTAGAGTTCGCCATCATCAACTACCCCAAAAAGAAATGGAGAGTGTACGTAGTTCATGCCTTACACCAAGTCTAGTAAACATAAACTCCAGCAGAATTGTTTAAACACTTGCTTAGACGGAACTAAGTCTTCAATGCTTCTATGCTTTGAAGATGAAGGAGATGAAATTAATTTCCACTAACAGAGCTTCATCTAGAACAAATGAATCTCTAAAATATATCTGCTTCTACACCTCTAACCTAAATTCAATTTGTCGATAACCCAATTGGAGATATTGAGCCAATCAAGTGTGTTAGAAACTTTAATTATTTTTATTATATAACTTGTAAATATCAAACCCATTATTTTTCTTCTGCAAAAGCTTTAGTCTGATTACGTAAATGGAGAAATGAAGAAAGAGAGGAGCCTAGAAAAGAAAGTTTAGATTAAGAGACCCACGTTTAATATTAAATTATTAATAATTTTAACTCAAATTATTAATAATATTAAAAATTTTTTGATAATTCATATATATTTTTTTTCCTTCCTTACCAAACAAAGGACGAGGGAAATGTTTACTTGTACGTTACTGAAGTGTCAAATTTATGGAAAAGAAAAATGAGGAGAAAAAGATAAAACTAAGTAACTAACACGAAAAAAAGAAAAGGCTCATTACTCTCATTGCATGTTCCTCTTTCCATGAGTCAAATAAGGAGGCCTTGCCAAAAATTCAACCCATTAATCAAGCTCTGTTGGACGAAAAGATCCATCGGTCACTTCCAAAAGACCTGCATCAGTCAATTATGATTAATTTGATTTTTTTTTTTTTGATAAAAGAAATTTGCCATTTGCAGATAATTTTTTACAAATAATAATATGAACTTCGTTTCATTTTTAATAATTTTCGAAAATAAAAAGAAAAACTATATATTTCTTTTGTTTAACACTTTAAATTAAGCTATTTAGAGTCTATGAAATATCTTTTTACAAAATAATATGTATAATACTTTTTTTTTTAATAATTAAAATTTTAGTCAATTTGATGAACTAAGGTAAAGTTATTACTATAAAATTTTTTACTATTAACAACGGCTATTTTCACTGATAAAAAGGATAATTGATCGGCAACTTAAATTACCAACGGAGTGCTTACCGAATTTTATGATCGGTAATTGCCTTGTCAATAAAAATTACCTATCCAAAAAAAAAAAATTCAGTAAATGAATTATAAATTTTGGTTACTGATTTTTTCCTCGGTAATTTGTTGGTTAAATCATTTTGTATTTTGGTGTGTAACTGATTTGCAATTTTATGGTTGGATCGGTGTTTTATGGGTAATTGGATTGGTAAAAGAGCAGTTAGTAAAGTATTTAATTATTATTTTTTAAATTACTTTTTCTTTTTTGCTTAGTATTTCATTGGTAAAATTTGTTGAGATTCATTTTTTTTTCAAATAAAAAATCTATTTCGAATTACCTGTAACAAAACATTCAAATTGTTTACAAGTAAATATATAAATAAGCTAATGTTTATATAATATTAAACATAAACAAAAATTAGTGATGACATTAAATATAAACACACAAAAGTTTCAAATGTATAAAAGTAGTATTATGTTTAATTTTGTGTTTTGCTTTAAGAAAACAATATATTATCTTTCTTTTTGATTTGTTATATGAAGATGTTTCTGTTTTATATTTTTTTTTACTTCGAATTTAGATATTAGGTTGGGTATATAAGATAAATTTAATGGATTAGTTTCAATTTTTAATATTATAAGGTCTTTTAAGATTTTTTTTATAAGTTTTTTTCTGAATTTATTAATATAATAATATTTGCATTTGAAAATAAACTTAATTTTCTTTTCTGAAAATAAAATTAATTTGAGGCTCCGTTTGTTTCTGTACAATAACTTGCAGGAAAATAATTTTCATAATATTTTTAAAGAAAAAAATTTTTATAAAAAATATTTTTTAGCAAATTATTTGACGGAAACAAAGGCAGGATTACGAGGATGAACATTAAATATCATGAGAAAAAAATGGGAGATTATCTAGCCACTCCATGGAATCAAACATATAATAATTTAAGAAAAAAAACTTGGTTAGCTGGCATTATCTGACTAGTTAACGTTTTAAATTGAGTGCACAATGATAAAATAAATTAGTCCATAGCGTATTAATAATTTAATATTTGGTACCTCACGAATTTATGACCAAAAAACCTAGCTACTTAGCTTCATTTGACTAAATAAACTTTAAAATTCATATTAATGACGTAGCGTTTACGGCATACAAAAGTCAAATACATAAAAATGTGTTTGATTTTTTGATTATTTTTAATAAAAATTTATTTTTTACTAGTTTAGTCTATAAGTAAGTACATAGATCGAATCAAGTAAGTATGTATAGCTAGATATATAAATTTATTTTTATATTTTATCATTTTTTATAAAAAATTTTATGACACCCTTAATTTTGTAAGTACTTAATTTACTCCTAAAAATTAGGCATTTGGTAGCATTACACATCTATCCATACTAAGAAGAGCAACTTTTAATTGATTTAATTTGATTAATATAACATTCGGAATAACAATTTTCATATTTTTTTTTCAATTATCTAATAATTGATTTAATTTTACAAGTTAAAATATTAAATAAAATAATTTTATAAGTTGAGTGTTTGATGAATGTAATTCTATAAGTTGATATGTTGACTGCAACAAAATAAAAGTGAGATTGCCTAAAATTTTTTTCTTGTATATATATATATATATATATATATTACAATAATATATATATATATATATATTACAATAATTAATTTAACTGGTTTAAAATCTATTTATATTTAAGAGTGATAAACACGAGGCTTCTAGAAAAACATTATCTCAACGTACGAATTTATTTTTAGTACCTATTACCATTCGTAATATTTATCATATTTGAGAAAATAATTACTTATCACATTTGTAGTTCCAAGGAGTAATAAATCATTTTTTTTTTCATGTTCACCCTTTGAAAATGACGAATAATTATTATTTTAATTTAATGATTTTTTTTAGAGAATTAGTATTAAATTAATGGCAATATAGTCAACTTACTCAACAATTTATTATAATTTTGACAAATTTAATAATTTTTTTAAAGGCCGTGAAATTCTAAATGTAATAAATATTATGTAATAAAGGTAGTAGTAGTTAAAAATGTAAATGGACTATTAAAGGTATATAATTGTTTGAATTTTTATGATGCGTATATATATTTTTAATTTTTAAAGTGAATATATTATTTTTTATTTTAATGTATTATTGATTAATTTTTAAAATAATATTAAATAAAAAATTATTATTTTTCAAACAACTAAAAATAAAATGATTCCATTAATAATTATTTTTATGAGATTAATAAAGTCTAAATATAATATGAATACAAATTATCTGTCTGTTGATATGAAAAACCTCCAAAATATAACTAACAAAATGAGTAACAAATTGAACTTCTATCATTAACAAAATTATCAAACACATCCAAACTAATTATTTAAATATAAATCATATCAGTTGGATGAATCAGCTAAATCAAACTTCAATTTACATGCTGCATAGGCTAACTAAATAAAAAATATTTCTTTTTTTTTTTTTTTCTGGATGATGGAAGTAATCAACTGTTAGAAAAGAATATAAAGTGAGAAAAATTTTTATTATTGTGATTGATCCCATCCATGGGCAAATTCAAATTTAAGCTATATATACATTTTTATATTGTGATTGAGCCCATCCAGGGCAAATTCAAATTAAAGCTATATATATTTTATATATATATATATAATATATATAATATAATCACTACCGATAACTATTAAATATGTTTTTAATAATCCACTAGATAAACTATTAAATATTTTATCGTTTTCAATATGTGAAAGTCGAGATTGACTTATCTAAATTTAGTCTATGAATCCACGTATAAGGACAAAAACCAATAGAAATATTTTTTTACCGAAACAAAGGTGACTGACTATTGTCGAGTAAAAAAAAGAGTAATAATTATTCAAAATTTATATTTTAATTATTTTGGCTCTTAAGTTAGTCTTTAAACCTATAGTATAAATAAATCTAATCTGTGAAGGTAATTGTTGTGTTATTAAATTTTATTGAATATTACCCAAAATAGTTTAGTTCAGTGGTTGAAACTCATTACCAATATTTCTTTCCAACCCTTTTCGCCCTCCTAATATTTCTCTTTACGGTATTGAGAATATGGAGGAAAACGAAGAGCAAGCCAAATCTACCACCAGGCCCATGGAAGCTTCCCCTAATAGGAAGCCTGCACCATTTAGCTGGCGCCCCCTTAACCCATGTACGCCTAAGAGACTTAGCCAAAAAATACGGGCCCATTATGCACCTTCAACTCGGCGAAGTTACAACTATTTTCATTACTTCACCTGAAATTGCTAAAGAAGTCTTGAAAACCCTTGACATCGTTCTTGCTCGAAGGCCATTTCTGCAAGCGGTAAAACTTGTGACTTATAATTTTACTGACGTTGCATTTTCACCTTATGGAGAGTATTGGAGACAGCTACGAAAGATTTGCACAATGGAGCTGTTAACTGCAAAACGCGTGCAGTCATTTGGATCAATAAGACAAGAAGAAGGATCAAAACTCATTAGAGATATATCTTCTAATGCAGGATCACCGATCAACTTTAGCAAGATTTTGACTTCTTCGGGATATAAAATAATTTCAAGAGCAGCCTTTGGTCAGGTATGGAATGGAGAAGATGTATTCTTGAAAGCTGTTAATGATTTGACAGAAGAAAGTGCTGGTTTTAGTCTTGTTGATTTTTACCCTTCCAAGAAATTTCTTCAATTGTTTACTAGTTCAGGGCAAAAACTCCAGAGGGTTTTTCAGCAAGTAGATACGATAATGCAAAACATTATCGACAATCATAGAGCTAGAAAACGAGAAGCAAAATCTGGGGATGATGCTGAACTAGAAGATTTTGTAGACGTTCTTTTGAAAGTTCAGGAACAAAAAGATCTTGAACTCCCTTTAACAGATGACAACATGAAAGCAGTAATCTTTGTAAGTACAAAATCAAGTCTTATATATATATATATATATATTCCTCGCTTAACAAACCATTTTGTTTCTTTCACTTGTTTTGATTGCCTAAATTCACTTGTTTTAATTACTCATCAAGTGCGATAATTTCATTTCAGGACATGTTCTCAGCTGGCAGCGACTCATCATCTACAACTATAATATGGGCAATGTCAGAACTGGTAAAAAATCCAACAGTTATGGAAAAAGCACAGGCTGAAGTAAGACGAGTTTTCAGCAAAAAAGGACGCGTAGACGAAGAAGGTATTGAGGAATTACATTATTTGAAGGCGGTTGCCAAAGAAACTCTAAGATTACATGCTCCTGGACCTTTGCTTCTGCCAAGAGAATGTGCAGAGAACTGCGTGATTAACGATTTTGACATTCCTGCCAAATCTAGAATTGCCGTGAATTTTTGGGCAATTGGAAGAGATCCTCAATATTGGACAGAACCAGAGAGATTCAATCCAGAGAGATTCCTGGATTGTCCAGTCGATTATAATTATAAAGGAACTAACTATACATATTTGCCATTTGGTTCTGGAAGGAGGATTTGTCCAGGAATGTCGTTTGCCATAGCTAATATGGAGTTTACTCTGGCACAAATGCTATTCTATTTTGATTGGAAACTCCCAAACGGACTACCAGGAGAAAGTCTTGACATGACTGAAAAATTTGGAGTTACAGTAAGAAGGGAAAGTGATCTCATTTTAATTCCCTTCCCATACATTCCTGCATCAGTCAACTAGAATTCAAATTCATATGTTAATTTGATGTCTAAATAAATGTCCGTTACATTTTTGTTTGGAATAAATGAAATAAACATGTCACACCTTACCCTAGTGAAAACTAAAATAGAAAGAACTACAAAATTGAGGATATTACAGTAAATGAGCTTCATAAAAATAAGTTCTTCCATAAAGAAATGCAAACAAGCTTCCTCGACATGCATTGTTTAGCTCTTTCATTTCTTTTAGAACATTTTGGCAAAAAAAATTGGAGTGATATTATGCCAAGAGAGGGGTGAATGTTGTACAAAGTTTTATTGCTCGGTTATAATGTTGTGGGTTTTATTTATTTACTCTTATCTCAAGAGCGAAGGATTTAAGTTTATCCTAGTTGTTTTCAGTTGCTTTCCGGGTTTTATTTAACTGATTCAGGTCTTAGTTTGGGTTTATTGTGGAATCCTATTGATTTCGGTTAAATTTCTAAATTAGTTAAACTTTTATTTGATTTTCTATTTTTTAATAATATTAAGAAATTTTTTACTGATGAAAAAAAAATATTATATCCGTTCCATAATACTCGTTACATTTGGAATTCCAGGTTTCTTAAGAAAATCATTAAATTTGTCTAAGTTACAATAAATTATTGAGTAAATTGACTATATTACCCTTAATTTAATACTAATTCTCTAGGAAAACTATTAAATTGAAGTGATAATTATTGGTCATATACAAAGGATAAATATGAAAAAAATATTCATTACTCCTTGAAATCACAAATGTGACAAGTATTTTAAAATAAACTATCTTCTTAAATATGACAAGTATTATGCAACGAATGTAGTAATCAATTTACTCATAATTATTGTAATTTAAATAAATTTAATGATTTTTTAATGAGCGTAAAATTCTAAATGTTAGAAATATTATGATAGTAACATTTAAAAAACATACATAAATAATAGTATTTGAAATATACATATATGCCAAATGTACATATATGTATTACTGTCAAGTTGAATTGTCTAATTAACTGTTATGATATTACTGTCAAATCTAGAATTATTATGAAACTCAGTTTAACCAATAAAATATCAATAAAATTAACAGGTTATCGATCATACCCATAATTATTTTTTAAAATAGTCAAGGGTACCTATAATTTTATTGGTATTTTATTCGTCTAAAACTCGAGCAGTTTTAGTAATTTTATGCTTCAAGACAATTTTACTATTTGCTTCTTATAAAAACCAACAACAGGTTGATGAATCATATTCCTGATAATAAAATTAGAAAATAGTTATTCAATCTTATATAACATAATATATAAAAATAACAAAACGACGAAAAGAGATAAAATATAATAAGAAAAACGATAGAATTAAACAATCCTACATGTATTTTTTTTTTACATTGCATATGACTCTACAATAGAATTTGTTTCACCTTTTCATCATAGATAAATGTATTATGCAAAGGAAAGAGTTACTCCTATTGTGTTGTCCACGTTGTTCTTCCCATCTATTTAGACATTCAGTGGCTTGATAAAAATAAAATATAAAATGATTTTTTTTGCTAGTTTTTGAGCCTTCAATGATTAATTTATTGAAATTACTTGGATACTCTCGAGGGACTATTCACACGTCAAGCGAATAAATAATTATAATTTTAAAGTATTTTTACTTTTTAAGATTTTAACTCTTTTTTTTTTTTTTTTAGCAAACCCAATAGAATTTGTTTCACCTTTTCATCATAGTAATGTATTATGCAAAGGAAGAGTTTACTCTATTGTGTTGTCCACGTTGTTCTCCCATCTATTAGACATTCAGTGGCTTTGATAAAAAATAAATATGAAAATGATTTTTTTATAGTTTTTGAGCCTTCAAATGATTAATTATTGAAATTACTTGATACTCTCGAGGGACTATCACAGCGTCAAGCGAATAGAATATTATAATTTTAAAGTATTTTTACTTTTTAAGATTTTTAAGCTCTTTTTTTTTTTTTTTTCCTTTTTTTTTTTTTTTTAGTAAATGATAATAATACCTTCATTTGTCCCAGGTGTCTTTGTTAAAATAGCTTAGTGCATAGACAGGTGCAGCAAGCAAGTGTTGTAATAATTTGTCTCTCTGCTTGGGGTGCGTGTTTAACAGGCTAATGAGAAAGGCCCATAACGTTTGGGCCTACAAGATTACCCTATTAAGTTTAAGTTTAGAACTTCAAAGAAAAAATGTTAAAAAGGAAATTCAAAAATAGGCCTATTTTCTAAAGTTTGGGCCTACAACTTATTTAAAGTCCAAATTCTACCATTTGTGAGGAAAAATCTTTCAAGAGCAATGTGACAAATTTGTTTATATATATATAATATATAATGAACTAAACGACAACATAGCCTCCTTATTTGACTGCTGACACAACAAAAGAAAAAACGGTTATTAGAAAAATATTTGTGGGGATCAAACAAAACTTTTTAAAATTTTATAGGGCCAAATATAATTTTTTATTTTTAAGGGATAATATAATTTTTCATAAGAAAAAAATATATATTTTAAAAATTTCTTCGGGCCATAGCACTTAAGTTTCTACATAGCTCCACGCAACCTAATTAATACGATATAATTATTCAATATAAATTAATCTTATAATTTATTATCCCAATGCCAATGAAATTTCAATTAAAAAAATTGAATTGAATTTAAAATTATATAAAAAAATTGATTTGAATTTTAAAATTATATATATATATATATATTATATATATATATATATATATATATTCATGGCGGCCAGTTTTTGCTCAATTTGGAATTGACTAAAATTGATTTGGACAATTCAGACAGTTTGATGAAATATCTCATCTCAATACTCCTTATACTCATAACCCGTATGAAAATAAATTAAATATTCGTTAAACTTATATATATTCATGCGCGGCAGTTTTTGCTCAATTTGGATTGACTAAATTGATTTGGACAATTCAGACAGTTTGATGAATATCTCCATCTACAATACTCTTATATCATAACCGTATGAATAATTAATATTCGTTAAATTTACTAGATAATGGAAAAAATCTGAAATAATTAATTCTGAAAATTTGATATACCAACCATTCATTATACGAAGGTCTGAACGAATTATTGATATGTATTATTTTTTTTGAATTCTTAAAGGTTTATATAAAAAGATAAAAAATATATAATTTAACTAACCGTTCTTAAAAGAAAAAATTTATCTAGACGAGTATGTGGCTTTATTATGTACCAAACAAATGAAAATATTAATTTTTATTGAATGAGAGTCTTTTTTTACTATATATTTAGAAAAAAAATAAAATAGTAACAGTTATTAAACAGTCTTTTTTCTCACGGATTTCATTCATAAATGAGGCTACAAAACTGGTCTATTTAAATAATTTTCATTTTTAAAATGTATGAAAAAAAATTGGGACTACAATTTGAAATGAAAGAAGTAATATATAATAGGAGAAAAACTTATTTATACCCGATAGATGTACCAGCCTATATATTAAATCAATTATAAATAGTATTTTGATTAAAAAATATATATATTTCTAAGCATGCAATCGAAAAATAAAAAAATAAAATGACAATATTTGAAAAAAAAAAATTTAATTGATTTGGTATATGAAAACATCCCTTGTGTGCAAATTTTCTATCTAGTATATGCACGCAAAACATTATTTTAATTGGAGAGATTTTCTATATATCGAAATCAGAACTTAAAATATTAGGTCAATGATAGAGTTCTACCATTTGGTTGGATTATGACATTTGCTTTCTTGGTGATTGTGTTTTTGTTTGATTCCTTTATTTTACTTTTCTAATATAAAATATAGTATATGATTGAAACGTTCTTCTTAAATATTACTAATTTGTCATTCCATCTTCCATTGAACTAATTCTTTCACTATATATATAATATATATTTATAGAGTAGCAGTTTATCATTTTTATAATAGTTAGAAACTTAGAATTATAGTTTTTTTTTTTTTAAAAAAAAAAATTAGAATTCTACATTAAGTAATTACTTCCAGTTAATAATAATAAAATTTGATTTAATTGTATTGAATTTTATTTATATACAATATAGAAATATGAAATTTTAATTAAAATTTTTTGAAATTTATTTTTATTGAACATCTTATTTAACTCTCACTATTTTGTAAAAGCATACTTTGCATGTTATTACTCGTTTACTGTATTTTAATATATAAAAATATAATATTTAATAAAAATAAAAAAATTCATTAAATAAAAATTATAGAATAAACATTCTAATATGTAGTCAAGTACGTGACCAAAGTACATCTAATTGTAAATATTATATCTATAATATCTATCTATAATTTTTAATCAATTAGTAAAATAATTTTATATATATTCCATATTCGTACTTTTATATATATTCTAAATAATTTTCATCTATCAATAAATGTTTAGTAGATATAATTTTACAAATTTACAAATTTGAACGCTATCTAAAATAATTTTCAAAATTGAAGAGTTTAATAAGTTATTATATATATAAGAGTGAATTTATAAATTGTCCTACATTGTTATGCATGATTGGAAAATTCCTACAAATTGAGATAAAAAGTTAGCGTATACGTACCTTTCATTTGAAGGAAGCTTTATTATATATATTCTGCCAACAATAGATTGGTTTTTTCATTGTATTTGAAAGTAATGAACATAAAATTCATGTCTTGCAATGTATTTTTTTTTATTTTTTGATATATTAAATGTAAATCTTATTTTTAATTTATAGATCTATTAGTTTATAAGATTAAAATTTCTAAAATCTCTAATATCATGTTACTTCAATAGGATACAGATATTTAAATTTTTTTATATTTATACTTTTTGTGACCTGTATATGGTCCACTTTCTTCAACAAACCAAAATTTATTATTTTTGACATGTGAAAGACTGAAAGTATGTTTCGTTACAACATGTTCCTGATATGATATATTAATATATTATGATAAAAATATTAGGTCAATAATAGGCTTCTAAAAAGATTGTCAATTTACAGTTTATACTATGCTAGGAGGCTCTGTATATATAGATGATATGCAATGCACACCCATAACCATCTTCCCTTACTGAAAATATATACTTGCTTCCTGTTTTCACAATGGAGAACCAATATTTCCTTCCCTTTCCAACCCTTTTCGCCTTCCTGTTATTTCTTTTTATGGTATTGACACTATGGAGGAAGACGAAAAGCAAACCTAATCTACCACCAGGGCCATGGAAGCTTCCTCTGATAGGGAGCATGCACCATTTGGCTGGCCCCTCCTTACTCCATCATCGCGTAACAGAGCTGGCCAGAAAATACGGACCAATCATGCACCTTCAACTCGGCCAAGTTACAAATATTTTCATTTCTTCACCTGAAATCGCTAGAGAAGTCATGAAAACCCATGACCTCATATTTGCTACGAGGCCATCTCTAGTAGCAGTCCAACTTGTGACTTACAATTTTACAGACATTGCATTTGCACCTTATGGAGACTACTGGAGACAGATAAAAAAGATTTGCACAATGGAGCTGTTAACTGCAAAAAGGGTCCAGTTATTTGCACCGATAAGACAAGAAGAAGTATCAAAAGTCATTACTGATATCACTTCTAATGTAGGATCAACCATCAACTTTACCAACGTTTTGACTTCTTTGACGTATAAAATACTTTCGAGATCAACCATTGGTAAGATATTGAAGGGAGAAGAAGGATTCATTCGAGCTGTTATGGATTTGACAGAAGAAGGTGCTGGCTTTAATCTTGCTGATTTTTACCCTTCTATAAAACTTTTTCGAATGTTTGGTAGTTTAAAGCATAAACTCAAGAGGATTCATCAACAAGTAGATAAGATGATGCAAAATGTTATCGACGATCGTAGAGCTACAAAACGGGAATCTGGTGTTGATGATGAAGAAAGAGATATTGTAGATGTTCTTTTGAGAATTCAAGAACAAGGAGATCTTCAACTCCCTTTAACGGATGACAACATTAAAGCAGTCATCTTTGTAAGTATAAAAGCATGAAATTCATATGTATATATTCCTATGTAACAGAATGTGTTTCTTTCACTTGCTTTAATTACTCAAAGTTCGATAATTTTTTATTTTAGGACATGTTCTCAGCTGGCAGTGACTCATCAGCTGCAACTACAATATGGACAATGTCAGAGTTGCTAAAAAATCCATCAGTTATGGAAAAAGCACAAGCTGAAGTAAGACAAGTTTTCAAGAAAAAAGGACAGGTTGATGAAGAAGGTATGGAAGAATTACATTATTTGAAGGCGGCGGTCAAAGAAACTCTGAGACTACATGCTCCTGGACCTTTGGTTGTGCCAAGAGAATGTACAGAGAACTGTGTGATTGCGGGTTATGACATTCCTGCCAAATCTAGAATTAATGTGAATTCATGGGCGCTGGGAAGAGATCCTGAATATTGGACAGAACCAGAGAGATACTCTCCAGAGAGATTCTTAGATGGCTCAATCGATCATAAAGGAAATAATTTTACATATTTGCCATTTGGTTCTGGAAGGAGGCTTTGTCCAGGAATCTTGTTTGGGTTAACTAATATTGAGTTTATCCTAGCAAATTTGCTGTACTATTTTGATTGGAAACTCCCAAATGGACTACAACCAGAAGATCTTGACATGACTGAAGTTTTTGGATCTGCAGCTAGAAGGAAAAATGATCTCCTTGTAATTCCCTTCCAATACCTTCCTCCAGCAGTCAACTAGACTTTCAGAATAAGCTTTTTTATATGTCAAATTGATGTGATGTCTAAATAAATGAATGCTACTCTTTGTTTAGAACAAATGAATATGGGATCCCTTTAATCTGTAATGAGCTTCATAAAAATAAATTCTAAGCAGCTGCTTGCTAGTTGCTGCTTCCTTTATTTACCTCCATATTTTTTGTATTTGCTTATTTCCCTGAGCCAGCATTTTGTTTCGCTCTCCAAAAAATATTCCTTTTGGTACTTGTATTTCAGTGATCTTAATTATCTCTGATGCTCAGAAATTAAAGAATAAATTCTACATTTGCTTGTAGAATTTTTTAAAATTTTTTTTTAAAATTAAAGGGAAAATATGATCCATTTTTGTGAATTCTGACAAATTCGTTATGCTGTAAACACTTTTCCTTGTGGGGTAGAAACGTGCGTTTTGACTTTGTCGGCGGAAAGAATTTTTATTTGGTCCAAATAGGACGACAAAAGTAGGCCCATTTAACAGGCTAATGATAAAGGCCCATGAATTATGGGCCTGCAGATTAGTTTATTGAGTTCAAGTTTAGGACCTAAAGAGAACGCAAAAACAGGCCTATTTGCGAAAGTTTAATGAAGAATCAAATCAAAAAAGTTTGATGCAAAAACGAATAATTGAAAGTCTAAAATTTATTTTAAATTTTTTAAAAAATATTTATAATACAAATAGAAGGCAAAATTTGGATGTCTAAACTGTATAAAATTAGGAATTAGGTGAGCATCGCTTGACATGCGCTAATTAATTAGTAAGATAATCAGCAATTAAAATCTGAGAATGATAAACACGAGGAATGCAAAAGCAAAACTCACGGGATTTCAAAACATAATAAATTTTCTGAAATTTACATTTACTATTATATTTTCAATTTAAAACTAATTCATCCAATTATATAATATATAATTATGATAATTTCTCAACTCATTTTAATTGTAATGTGAAGGTATAGCCTATGTATAAATTATATGTTTAGCCTGAAAATGGATTTGAATCTTTCCAAGAGAAAAAAAAAAAAGAATTGATTCCATTCTGTGGTTTGGACTCTATGATTATAATTATTTTAATATATGAATTTTAGTCATGTCTGTTTTGGCTTTAACTGTTTTATCAATTCTAATCAATTTTTTTAATTTTATTACTCAATACCATGAAGTTATTTTTTCATTTCAAATCCAGCCTCCCTTTGCATTTTGTCAAATTAGTATTGATATTGCAGTTAAATATAACTAGTCGTGAAATATAAGTAGTCAATTAAAACAAAAAAAAAAAAAGGATAAATGCTGTCACAGAGAAATGCCTTAAAAATTTATTTGTTTCAGTTTCCAATATATATATATATATATATATATATATATGTCTCATGAGATGGTAGATTATTGCAAAAATACGAGTACACATTTTAAAATTTCTTTAAGGAATAGTCTAATGTTAAATACATATATGACTAGACCCAAGTTCGAATCTCCTCTCTAATGATAAAAAAAAAGAACTCTTTAAAATTTCTTTCTGTATATTAATTTATCCATAGATTTTGTTTATTTACCAACAAAGATTCCGTCAGTAAATGTCCATTTTTTTTAGTCACCGTATAAAAATTGTTTTACATAGAAATTTATAATTACTGAAAATATTTAAAATTTGCAAATCGAACTAATTTATATTTGGAAATGTGACATTATCAACCACAAAATTTGTAACCCTTTGCAATTTAAATCTGTGTAATTTTCTTTTCTAACCCTCGTTAGCTTTTTCATCCTGAAATCTTAGGGTGAGATATTTCAAATTTATAATAGTAAAGAGATGATTTCAATTTCTACAAAAACAGATATGGTGGTTGGTCTGTTAAAGAAAAAAAAAAATCAATTTTATGTCCAAAACATCTCATAAAGATTTTTTCATTAATATTTTTTCATTAATTAATTAATAATTACTATTAATTAATTGATAATCACATGAGTAATTCAAAATTGGAACAAAATTTATCAACTGTTAAATATTTTTAATTAAAATAAATAATAATTAACAACGTGCAGGGAAATGTTTGCTTGTAATTTAACGAAACCAGACTTTTCTGCCATTTTTAAATCTTTTAGGAGCTTGGAAGCTATCCTTCCACAAGTACGAGGAAAAGAAAGCCAGCGAACAATTGGTTAAAAAAGAAAAACCATTGACGGAGATGTAGAATAAACATTTGCTGGAAACGAACATCCTATTGTGGGCTGCTAATATTTTGCGGAACCGGCGGCGGCCACGGCGGTGTAGGTGCTCCACTAAAACCTTCATACCGTTTTATTTATCTCCACATAATAGCCGCCGGAGAACAACACGACAAGGATGAGAAAAAATTTTGGCATGGCAGTGACAAGAGAAAATGATGTTTGCTTCATTCTCACGGCACATTCCTTCTTCCATATTTTATTTAGTACGTTAGTTTGATCTTTAAAAAAAAATGATATAACTTCAACAATAATTTCAATTGTCTCCAAGTAAAAGTTGACGTGTAACAATAAATTGGAAATAATATTTTAAATATATTTTCATTAGTTTGGTTATAGGATGAGCTCGAAAATCCGACCCAACAAAGTCATATAATCTGAAATTAAATTATCCTAGCAATATAGAATTTTTTTTGTACCATCTAAATATTATAATTTCATTTCTCCAAATTATTTTTTTTATTTATTGGGAGACTGAATGGGCCGAAAAATATCATGAGTTATACAATATTAAGTTCAGTTGCAACTTTGCACGTTTTATTTATTAATCCTTTTAGTTTTATTTTACTTATTACGTTGAATTTTAAGTCTTTATTAATTATATCACATTTAGTATTTGTATATTATCAAAAATAATAATAAAATTAAGTTATTTTTGTGAAAATTAATAAATATATAAACACAAGAACTTAGAAATCAAACAATTATATTTGACTTCCAAATATGATAACCTTGTTGTTTCTATCGATCTCAATTTAATACTAGGTTTGATTGCAACCTTGTATGTTTTATTTTTTATATCTCTTTGCTTTTTTATTTACTTGCATCGAATTTTCAGACTTTTATTAATTATATATATCCCTTTTAGTGTTTGTATATTATAAAAAAAACAAATTAGGTCGTTGATATGAAAATTAATAAATATATAAATACAAATGCTTAGAAATGAATATCTAAGAGCTTAATTAATAGAAAAAAGTCACAAAATATGAAAAATTTTAGGTTAGAATAATTTTTTCCAAGTAAATAGAATAAATTAATTAGCATACATAAGTACTTCCATCGATAGTTTGCTTTTCTTAAAGATTGCATTTGACCACAGTATCCTATATATTTTTTAATTTAATATTGATTTTTTATTATTTTAAGTTTAATAAGAGAATTTTTTTTATAAAATTTTAAATTAATTACTCCAAATGTTTATTTTATCATTTTTTACATTTGATATAAATAATCTTCTTTGTGCCACGTTGATTTTTCTTAAAATGTCATTTGATATGGCACGTAATTTCTTACACAAGTGGGACTATTTTCTATATTAAAATTGAATATTTGTTTATAATAAAAAAATCGAGCAAATTAAGTTGGATGGTCTTTTCACTTATATAAAAGGTGGACATAAGTTTTAGTCTTCTTAATCAGAAAAGGATTATCTCCTGTCATATAACCAACAATATTATTTCGAGCATTAAATTTTCAAAATGAAAAAAAAAAAACCCTCTAAACATGCGATGAAAAAATATTTTCATGAGAAGTTATTAATATAGAAACATGTGTCATGTGATTTGAAAATTAAATTTATTAAAATATCATACTTCCAAGAATTCTTTTCCTCTTTGGTATAGACATACTCGGTAGAAATTCATAATTAAATTCCCATGTGATAAGCATCAAAACACATGATTAAATCCAAACTCAAAAATTAAAATTTTATAGCATCATAAACATAATTAGCCACTATAAATTTGGATGCAAGAAGTGCGTTTTGGCAACAAACTCGTAACTTTGTACTTCGATCATAATGGAATACCAATTCCTTTCCTTTCCAACCTTTTTCTCCTTCCTATTTTTTCTCTTCATGGTATTAAAATTATGGAAAAGATCCAAAAATAACTCAAAACCAAATTTACCACCAGGGCCATGGAAGCTACCTCTAATAGGAAGCATGCACCATTTAGCAGGAGCCCTACCCCATCACCGCATGAGAGACTTAGCCAAAAAATATGGACCTATCATCCACCTTCAACTTGGTGAATTTCCACATATTGTTGTTTCTTCACCTGAAACTGCTAAACAAGTTATGAAAACCCATGATGTTATTTTTGCTCAGAGGCCTTCTCTGCTTGCAGGAATCATCGTGGGTTATAATTGTACGGACCTTACATTTGCTCCTTATGGAGAGTATTGGAGACAAGTGCGAAAAATTAGCATGCTCGAATTGCTAACAGCAAAACGGGTGCAATCATTCAAATCTATAAGAGAAGAACAAATGTCCAAACTTATTAGAGAAATGTCTTCTGGTTCAGGGTCACCAATCAACTTTAGCAAGATGGTAAATTCTTTGACTTATAATATCATTTCAACAGCAGCTTTTGGTAAAGTGTGGAGTGGAGAAGAAATGTTCATACCAGCTGTTAAAAAAGTTATAGAAGCTGCTGCTGGTTTAAGTCTTGCTGATTTATACCCTTCCATTAAGTTGTTTCAAATGTTTAGCACTTTGAAGCATAAACTTTTAAGAGTTCAGAAAGAGTTAGATGAGATATTTCAGAACATTATTGACGAACATAGAGCTAGAAGAATGGAAGGAAAACCTGGTCTTGAAAGTGAAGAAGCAGATTTTGTAGATGTTCTTTTGAGATTTCAGGATCAAGAAGACTTTCAATTCCCTGTAACAGATGAAAAAATAAAAGCAATTATTCTGGTTAGTTTTTTATTTCCATATCATGCATGCATTTTTTGTTAATTGTGTATAAAATAAATAATTAGCAGTACTAAATCGTTGTTAAATTCATTTCAGGATATGTTCATTGCTGGGAGTGAAACATCCACCACAACTCTAATATGGGCGATGTCAGAGATGATGAAAAATCCAAGAGTGATTAAAAAAGCACAAGCTGAGGTGAGACAAGTTTTTAATAAAAATGGAAACATCGTCGAGGAAGCAAGTCTTGGAGAATTCTCTTATCTGAAAGCAGTAACTAAAGAAACTCTAAGATTACATCCTCCTGTTCCTGTGCTACTTCCAAGAGAATGTAAAGAGGATTGTCAGATTGATGGTTATGACATTCCTGCCAAATCCAGGATTCTTGTGAACGCCGGAACAATTGGAAGAGATCCCAATTACTGGACTGAAGCAGAAAAATTCTATCCAGAAAGGTTCCTGGATTGTTCAGTGGATTACAAGGGAACTGACTTTGAATTTATCCCATTTGGTGCTGGAAGGAGAATGTGTCCTGGAATGTGGTTTGGAATAGCAAATGTTGAATTTCCACTTGCACAATTACTATACTATTTTGATTGGAAACTCCCAAATGAACAGAATCCAGAAGATCTTGACATGGCAGAAGAGTTCGGAGCTGTAATTACAAGGAAAAACGATCTCCGATTAATTCCTACTCCATATATTCCATCTTTACCCTAAGGGGAATGATTGAATTTGAACGTGTGTTGTTAATTTGTCATCCACCAATAAGTAAATTGACATTTACATATGAAGTCAAGTCAAACCTTAAGGGAATGTATGTGCTATATTATTAATTTGGTGTCCGAAATAAAAAGCAAAGTGTAGTTTAAAATTATCATATTCTTGTACATACAAAAGGGATGTCTTAAAGCCGAATTTACATCATTCAAAGTACAGTAATTAGGAAAATTAAATCCTAATCATCCCTTAATTAAGAATTAACTTACAAAATTTATCCTAATCTTCCAAGTTATATGACACGTTCAAGAACAATGTTATCAACTATAACAGAGTTAAGTATTATTTTATAACAAAAATTACATACACAGACTGGTTCGTGGTTTGACCTATTAATTTATGATTTCAAAATGAACTAGAAGGCTTTGATTAAGTTCTTATATTTTATTCATTTGCTAATGTGTTTTCATAAAACTTAATAGGAGCATTGACAAAACCAGTGCACAAACCACTTTCAAATCTCAATATAATTAACTCTTGTCCGCGGCATTTTCATGGAAATACCACTCCGAAAAAGAAAACCTGGGATTGCAGTAAATTAATACATTTAAAATTTTCATTATTTTTATATATAAAAAAAAGTAAAAATCATTTGTTAATGATTTCACAGATTGAAAATCTTACTTGTATACGATCCAATTATGTTAATTAGTATATAAAACTTCTCTTAGTTACGATTCAAGTATAGTGTGATTTGACTTTTTGGCTAATATGGAGAATGGAAGGTTTGAACGGGAGAGATTGCTTAACGTGTATATATATCATATAATATTATGTAACGGTAGATTAACTAATTTGTTGAACAAAATAACAAACTCGCATACAAATTTAACCTATTTGGTTCAGTGATTAGAAGATCAACAATATACTTTCTCAATTCCATAAATTTACTAATTTAATTGCTCGTGGGATTTCATATGAACTTAATATGAACATTGACAAAGGCAATAATTGAATTTGTAAATTTTATATTAAATTATATAAATTTATAAATATAAAACTTAACTTATACTTTGGTTATCTCACTTATGTAGTATAATAAATATAATTAATAAATTTCACTCTTATTATTTATTTATTTAAAACTCATTTGCTAATTTTATTGATTTTTGTAAATTTTAATTAACTCATGCACAATGAAATTCAAAATGAAATCTTTTTCTATACTATCCGAGGCAAATTTACACTAGAGAGCTATTAAGGATAAAGTTTGCAGACTGGAGTGGTGAGCAACTTCAAGCCCGGAAAGAATGAGAAGACGGGTGGGAGACTGAAGGCACCTTATGTTCCACATCTCCAGCAATAATGCATCTATAGAGTACTTGATACGTGGATTAAGAGGATGATGACACACGTTACTACCAGTGAAGAGGCTTAACACGCGTGGAGAAGGATCATCACTTATTATTAAGACGAATCACAACAACCAAATGCCTCGATACGAACGATTACTTAATTCCATGACCAAACTACAGTAAGTCTTCTGGTGTCAAATAGTACAATCATGTAAAGGTACACTGCGTCATAACCCAAAAGCTACCCCTTTCTTAATTTCATCTTTCAGACTATTATATTATATGCCAAAATAATAAATATCATGTCGTGGACTGGCCGTATGCGGAACCGTGTGATCAATCCCACTAAAAAACACAAGTCAAGAGCTACAGATGTAAAGCATAAGAAGTGACAACCTCCATTAGTTTCTTTCCTCATTGCTTTCAATTATCATCATGGAACAGGAAAACCAAATCCTTTACTTCCCTGCCCTTTTCACCTTCTTACTCTTTCTCTTCTTTCTACTGAGAGTCTGGAAGAAATTCAAAACCAACAACTCAACACCAAATCTACCACCAGGACCATGGAAGCTACCTCTAATAGGGAGCATGCATCATTTAGTTGGGTCCCTACCCCATCACCGCCTAAGAGACTTGGCCAAAAAATATGGACCTCTCATGCACCTTCAGCTCGGTGAAGTTTCTAATATCGTGGTTTCTTCCCCTGAAATTGCTAAGGAGATTATGAAAACTAATGATGTCATATTTGCACAAAGGCCCTTTCTACTTGCGGCAAGTATTGTGGCTTATGACCTTTCAGACATTGCATTTGCGCCTTATGGAGACTACTGGAGACAACTGCGAAAAATTTGTACCTTGGAGCTGCTAACCGCAAAACGTGTGAAGTCATTTAGGCCAGTTAGGGAAGATGAAGTATCAAAACTCATTAGATCCATATATTCTAGTGCAGGGTCACCGATCAACTTTAGCAGGATGTTCAATTCTTTGACCTATAGCATCACTTCAACAGCAGCCTTTGGTAAGATATGGAAGGGAGAAGAAATATTCATACCAAATGTCAAGAATTTGATAAAAGCATCTGGAGGTTTTAGTCTTGCCGATTTATACCCTTCCATCAAATTGCTTCATCTCATTAGTACAACGAGGCCTAAACTACTGAGGCTTCATCAAGAAGTAGATAAGATATTCCAAAATATTATCAACGAACATAGAGCTAGAAAGGCAGCTGGGAAATCTGGGGCTGAGAGTGAAGAAGAAGATTTTGTAGATGTCCTTCTGAATTTCCAGGATCAAGGAGACCTTCAATTTCCTTTGACAGACGACAAAATAAAAGCAGTCATTGTGGTTAGTAAATCTCTTTATTCATATCAAGTTGCTATATAAATAAATAAGGTTGATAGACTTGATTCTAATAATATTCAAAGTTCTATCATATTTCTGTAACAAGGAGAAACCCAGTGTAAAGTACTGCATAAACAGCATTAGGTTTAAAGGAACAAGAACCTACATGGCTGCATCTTGGTCTACCAGTAAGTAATAAGAGTGAGAGCAGGGACAACTATGAGAAAAACATAGATTTTGATTTCAGATTTCTTTACAAATACGAATTGTTTTCATTATTCACAGAACCATTGTTGATAAATTTATTTCAGGACATGTTTGTCGCTGGTACTGAAACATCATCGACAACCGTAGTATGGGCGATGTCAGAGATGCTAAAAAATCCAAGAGTGATGGAAAAGGCACAAGCAGAGGTGAGACACGTTTTCAGTAAAAAAGGATATGTAGATGAAGAAAGTGTTGGAGAATTAAATTACTTGAACTCAGTTATTAAAGAAACTCTGAGATTACACCCTCCCCTTCCTTTGCTACTTCCAAGAGAATGTAGGGAGAACTGTGTGATTAATGGTTATGACATTCCTGTCAAATCCAAGATTATTGTGAACGTAGGGACGATTGGAAGAGATCCCAATTATTGGATTGAAGCAGAGAGATTCTTTCCAGAAAGATTTCTTGATAGTTCAATTGATTATAAGGGGACTAATTTTGAATTTACCCCTTTCGGTGCTGGAAGGAGGATGTGTCCAGGAATATTGTTTGGCATAGTTAATGTCGAGTTTCCTCTTGCACAATTACTATACTATTTTGATTGGAAACTCCCTAATGGACTGCACCCAGAAAATCTTGACATGATAGAAAATTTCGGTTCTGTAGTCACAAGGAAAAACGACCTTCACCTAATTCCCATTCCACACTTTCCTCCACATAAGGCTGGAATGAGCCAAGCCATTCGTGTGTCACATGAGACCTAGCCAGAAAGAAACTCGATCATACTCCTTCAATATCTTAATAAACGAGCTGAGCTCAAAGCTTGAATTAGAGGCTTAAATTATAAACAACCCAAGCGCGAGATCAGCAGAACTTGGATCGGCTTCTTTATAGCACTACGTCCGCCAGTCAAGTAGAACATCAAGGAACATTGACCAGCGTCACCTTCTATATTATTTTTACAATGTGTTAGATAGAATTAACCATGGCCATGTAGTTTTTTGAATATTTCATATCTTATTATGGTACAAAGTTGATTAGTTTTTATACCATTGTTATGAGCAGCTATTAAGGATTACATTTTGCTGATATATATGAAGCAGCTATTAATGGATTCACATTTGCTGATAACTATATTATATATAATATATATATATATTATATATTTTTTTTTTTTACCATTGGAGCTTTATAGTTCGAATGAGAATCCAGTTTCTCCTTTTAATGAATAAGTTACCTTGTAACAGATACTTTAACTAGAAAGGGAAGAAGGGAGCAGAAGAAGTCTATCCGAAATATGTCAAATTACTACTGCTGCAGAGGCACTTATGGTTTTTCTTCTTGTGGACAGTGTCTTGTGGTGAGTGTTTGGATCGAGAAAAATTTCTGGGTTTTGATGTTGTCACCAAACGACCTGGATCGGTCGTACCGGAATTTTTTTTTTTTTTTTTTTGTTTTTTCTTTTGTCATTCAATGGATCAATTTTTCATTATCGTCACGGCGCGTGCCGTTTAAGAGCGGAAATTTTTTTGTCGTCCACTGGATTAATGTTTAATTCTCGTGAAGGAAATCGAAGCTCGGCTTCTCTCTCTATGCATATAAACACAGTCCTTTATTAGATTGATTTGCTTATGTGTCAATCGGTAATCCCTCTAATTTTGCAACCAATGGAAACCACTAACTCGACGGCAGGGCAATCCCGGAGAAGAGGCTGTCTAGGGCGGAGAAGAGTTGAAATCAAAGAAATCCAAGACACAGCCAACCTAATGGTGGCCTTCTAAAAGCGACGCCACGGTCTTTTCAAAAAGCCGCCGAGGTTTGCAATTTATGTGGTGTAGAAGCCGCAATCATCGCGTTCTCTCCAGCAGGGAAACCCTATGTTTTTTGTTAAGCCATCACTGCACAGAGTCTTTGAACGCTATCTCAGCGAAAGCATAGAGACGGCCGGCCTATGCTATTAGTGGTTTGAGCTACTGAGCTCAATTATCACAAGATGAGCCTTTAATTGATTTAGTATAAACTTCATATAAACAACATTTAAAAAAATAAAAGTAAAAGCAATGTTCAATGAAATATCACTCATTATGCGCATCTAGTACAGTTCTTTGCATCAAATGGTTCATATTTTTCAACTCTTGAGCATGTTATTGTTAAATGTGAAGTCCACCTTGAATCTTTGAGGGTATATACTGCTCCGACAAGAAGGAGAGTGAGTGGACAGATAATGCTTCAATCTCAAATTTCACTCCTCTCTGCAGCATTTTTTCTAGTTGCAACCTTTCATGGGAAAGCCAACTCATAAGTGCATAGATCCAGCGGCACTGGGGTAAGGAGCAGAATATCCTAAAATGTCAATGAATTTTACCTCCACTGTGGTACTTCTCTTTGCAGGTAGCATCTGAGCAACATGGATTCAGTTCTTCTCTTATCTGACAATCAATGCTAGAAACTTGTGACACCAGAGAAATGCTGACTGAAAACAATCAAGCCAATTGAAAGCAAAAATTCTCACCTTCAGCAGTCAAAGGAAGAAGACAATGTTGAGGTAAGCTATATGCCTCAGAATCAGAAGGAAAAGCTCCAAGCCAGCGTATCTCAGGGACTCGCAGAAATTTGACATCATAGGCCATTTGCTTTGACATAAAAATGCGTGGAGGACAAAAAGAATCTAACTGGTTTGAAAATGGGAACAAAAGCAAAATGACACATTGATCAATTCAGAAGCCTAACCAGAGAACCAAATCGATAGGTGGTCAAAATGTCAACACCATATGGATCACAGTCGACTAAGCAATAGACAGGCAGACACAACTTCTCAAGGAGGAGTCGCAAGAACCTAACAGTCATTTCCATAGAATGATACTCAGAAACATTAGAAGGCATACAATGGTGTGTGTACTTCACAGGAAGCCAATCATTAGTTCTGTACAAGCATGAAAAGGCTACCTTCTCGTGGGAATATCTGGATATCCTCTTCCCTATGGAAGTACAAAAGAAAAACAACTCAGCGACAAGTGACCCTTAAGAGTGCATGTGCATAGAAAATTTAAAATTCAAGGATGTAAATTTAATTTTTGGTTCAAATCATATATAAAAGGTTTTGGCCAATGACGGACGAAAGAAACATGAACCAGCATTATAAGGTGTATTTCAAATCACATCTCTAATTCAAACTCAAACAACGGCTCATCCAAGTTCATGAATTTAATTTGTATCTCTATTCAAACAACAAATTGAAGAGAGTGAATGCTTACGGTTATGATAACACAGCGGTTTGAATTGCAGAACCTGTCATTTGCTAAACGCTGGAATACTGCTTCCAAGGATTCATGACAACATCAAACAGTTCAGACAAGTAAAAGCAGTCTGAAAATAGAATTACTTGCTTTGCTTTTGAGAGAAGCATTGTGAATCAGAGAAACTCCACCTGATTCCTTCTCCACGACCAGTATGTATTCAGCAACACTAATAATATCTATGCACAATAATCAGGGGCGATCAGCAATCAATCCCATCAAGTTCTCCATATATAAAGCTGATTAGATAAAACATTCAAAATTATAACTTTGAAGAAAAATGTCAATCCAGTTCGGGAAGATTTTCCAGCCTTTAACCAAATAGAAAAAGTTACAGAAAAAGCAAGTGACCTCATGAAGAAGGACAAAACGCCATCCAAACGCATGAGAATTCTTCCTTTTTTTTATCAAACAGTAATAAGCATGTTTGAGATAATTAGAAGTCATTAGATATTGCAGCATTTCTTAACAGTTGGATAGCTTATAGCTACCTTTGACTTCCTCAACATGCACTGGAATGGGATGCACCTGTGAGCAAATCAGATACAAAATCATATTCTAATTTCTAAAAGATAATGCAACTATGAAATATGTCCTTGTCTGTTCTTACATTGCTAGGACAGTTTATGCAATCAAACTTCCTTCCACCTTCCAAAAATCGCAGCCAACCCATCACCAACCTATATAACCACCATAGATTAATCCAAAATCATTAGAACAGTATGCCACTGACCAACTTAAATCTACAAGATATCCGCCCATCATCCAGTTACAGTAAAAGCCATATCCTCTACTTAATCATAGTCCATACATGACAAAATAATGCAGGGAGGAAAGTAATTCATGGTTAGTAAAATTTTGCGCAGGTAATTATATACAGTTATATATAATTCCTCGCATCAACTAAAGAGACAAAGAAACTACATGAAACTTTTATCATATAGACTATAGTTGTTTAGTCATTGTTGTTAGTTGTAGGGAAAACTATATGGATGACTAGATCATAGCATTCTAATTCCCTCATATATCTTTAGCTTAATGCATATAATGAACTTGTTTGACACTATTTGATGCAAGTCTCCAAAAGTTTCATGTTATAATACCTTGGAACTAAAACTTACCATGTTCGTGTTAGAATATAGTTACCGGCTTTAATTAACTAGACACACATATAAATAATATCCAAAAGATACTTGAGATTCATCAATAAACAGATAAGCTAAGCAAGAATAAGTTAAATTCACTTCATTGCTGCAGAAGCTGAGAGGAATCAGGAGTACCCACCCATTTCCAACTGAGACCTGAAAAAAAGTTATCAAATAGTAATTTCCAAAATATGTTCCTTCAAATTATCAAACTACTATTTCTCAAAAAAAAAAAAAGAGAGAGAGAAGATATCAAGCTACTAATATTAGCAATCTCACAATTTCAGGACAACTACCATCTAACCTTAATGAAGTAAATTTGATTCGCTTCTATCTATTGCTAAGTTACAAAGACTAGAATTCAGTTCATATATTTGTTGAAAATCTGTAGAACAGGATGAGTAGCATCCTCACGCTTTCTTGTCAATGCCTTTAAAGATTGTGAGGTTTGTGTGGGAAAGCAAATACAATTTGTTAAGCCACAGAAAAATGAAAAAATAAGACTCTAGCATCTAATGACATAGTCAAATTTCCATTCATTCCATTTTATATTGAAAAGAAAAACCTCTGTCTGTCATGCATAGCATATTAATTACCATTCATTTAGCATACCATTCAAATGATTATCCTTGCCTTGGGTTGGCAAGACAAACCAAGTTTTCAATGCCATACAATACTTCATTAAGCACGCTCCTTTAACCAGATAGACATTTGAAGACAAATAAATAACTAAAATACCAACCACATTTAGGTTGTGGCGACTGCAATGCAGAAGGATGCATATGTCATTGATTGCCTGGTCAACAATTGACTGATCTGCGAAAAGAGCAGAAAATCTTTGTTAATAATGTCAATAATATCAAAAAGTATGACAACCTTTAGAGACACAAATCAAAAGTAATCAAAAATTAAGCTTCTCCAAGAAGCCTTAATATAATTTTATACACAAGAACTTTGATCAAACTATAAGGCCCAGTACAACAATGGATTAACAGTACGCAATGTTTTTGCAAGTAAACATAATTGCAATAGAATTTAGATTAAGCAGCACATCAATATCGGTCAAATGACACACTACATCCTATGTCCAGTACATCAATGCAAGTTCAATATTAATATGCAATTATATCACTTCAAACAATAAATTTACATCTATTCTAAACTAAAATGTATAGATTCACCTGAAAAAACAGATGGGTGCATATAATATATATCTCTCTTAGACACATGTTTATTCTCTTGCAGAAGCTGCTGAACAATGAGTAGAACTCGTAGCAAAACATCTGAAATATAACCAATGAGCCACAATAAAAACTAATGCCATTTGAATTACTGACTCATAAGGCAACTTAATTAGATCGATAAACTCACCGATTCTACGGACGCCGCATTCTCTTTTAATCGTGAGAATTTCTTTCCCCTTCGGCAAATCGGAGCTGCAGTGGCTGCATAAAGCAGCAGATACACATTGACAACCCTAAAACTTCAAGTTCAACTTCAAAGTACAGCTACAAAGAAAAATACCAGTTGGCTTGGAGATTGGTGCAGTAGTTTCTGAAATTGTCGATATAAATAGTGGGCGATCGTCCCTGGCTCAGATCTCTCAACAGTGATCTAGTGAAATCTGAAATCAAATACACTCACAGATTCAATTTATCATTGGTGAAATGATTTCGATAGTGAAACTGAAAGTGCTTTCTAATGTTAGAAGACCTCTGATCTTTCCAATCAAATCCCGGTGTCTTTTTGAGGTCCGACGATTTCCCTCCATTTTTTTTTTTCCATTTTTTTTTTTTTTTTAATTTCTGCTTTGCTTGTTTAAGGAAATCAAAACTAGCTAACGATTCGTTATATATATGTGTAATGTTCGGATCGGATTCAGGACGGACATTGGAGTCCCCATGGAACATGTGGGCATACTTGAGGGTTGACGGGTCGGGTTTGGACCATCTCATTGCTAATGCCTAATTTGCTATCGATTCTCATTTTAATTTTGATTTTTTTTTTTTTTAAGTTACGTAAATTTTAAACAACAAAAATTTAGTCAGTAGCTAGAAGTGATTGATTATGATGTCAACTGTGTTGTTTAAGAAGTGAAATTTCAATTTAAATTTCTTTTATTTTCGAAAAATAATTTATAATTGAAAATTATCTTTTAAAACATTTTCAAATAGTTCACTTTCTACCATTTGGTTATAACACTGAAAGTTAATTAAAAAATAAATTTGAATTATAAATTTATAAAATATTTTGAATTTATACAAGTTTTATATTTAGAAATATTATTAAATAAGAGAAAAATATATTAAAGTAATAATTTGTGGTAGTTGCTAATTATCGGTTGGTGAATGCTGATGGTTAATCATAAGTGTTTATTCAAGGTGCTTAGCAATGCTTACAAACGGTAATGATAAAAGTAATAAATTTATAAATTTATTTTATTTTATTTTATTTTAATAAGTTTGTTAATATTAGGTAAAGAGAAATTTACATTCCCTTAAAATAATTTAACTTTTTTCTTTAAAAAAATTTTTATTGATTAATTTTCCTCGACACTACAAACATCAAAAAATTTACAAACTATTTAAAAATCAAAAACAAAACTGAATCTTATACTTAATATTATTTTCCAAAAGAAAAAAACCTATTGGTTTAAAATATATTTTTTCCTAATATGTTTTTAAAGAATTTATCAAGGGTACATAAACAAAGCAATCAAAGTAAGAGAAAGAGATTGAAAGTAAAAATTAAATTCCAAGCGCCACCTAATTTATTTTTGTTATAGATAGTTAGTCGAATAATAATAATTAGCTTGATAGTTAGTGTAAGAGAATTTATTATAGAGTTTGTTAGATTACCTTAGCCATAATTGTTTTATTACATTTTTCTCGATATTTCACTTTGTAATTGGTCATGTTTTTTCCAAAGAAAAAACAAATTCAGAGTTCACGAATAACGAATATAAATAGATTACACAGTAATATTTCATAAGAATAAAAAATATAAATTAAAAAAATTAAATCTTCTAATTATAGAGGATTTTGGCAAAAGATTAATCTTTTGGATAAAAAAAATAGTCAATTTTCAAATAAAATGATAAAACGACTTCATTAATAATAGAAATTTATCAAAAATTGAAATTGTAAAGTCTCTGATCACAATCAAAATAATTCATCTTGTATCAACTTCATAAAATTAAAAATTAATAAATCAAAACCTAAAGGATACCAAAAACACTCAAATTTATCGATCATGGAAAGAGACGAAAAGCAACTCAAAATGAATTTTACAAAATTTAAAATTTATTTATTTATATTTTATTTTATTTTATTTATTTGTAAGTGACTGATTTAAAATTAATATAAATGCATATACTTTCATTGCCTATGATTTAGGAGCAAATCGTATAAATAAAATAATAATTAATAAAGGCACAATTGCCGCTTGCTGCTCTGTTCCATGCTTTCTCTGTCCCAATCCCAATTCCTAAAAGTACGAAAAGAGCATTCTAGAAAACCATTTCACTTCACTGCCCAAAGGGATCAAACTGCATCAAAATCCCAACAGTAGAGAAGTCTCGCTGATTAATTTTCCAGATTTTTGCTGATCAAAACCTCTGCATATCTTGAAAATGAATATAGTTCTTCTTCCTCTGGCTCTGGTAATCACTAATCTCTCTGCAGATTTCTTTTTTTTGGCTTGTTACTCTTCTGCGAAGTTTCCAAGCGACCACAAATGGTTTATAGAAACCACTATTTTTATGTACATTGAGGGTGTCTTTCTGTTTAATTATGGAAATTCCCATTTCTTTCTTCTCTTTGATTGATTGCCTTTGGCTCGAAGCATACTATGTGTGCAAATCTTGATGGATTGCAACCCTTTATTTTTTATGTACTGAATGATCTGAATTTGTTGTTTGGTACACATGGAATTGGACATAGACAGTAAGAATGGATCATGTATATACAAAAAACTTTGTCCATCCTTGGTAAATTTGGATTGATCTATGAAACTTCCTTGTCACACATTTATAATATATTTTTAATTGCTTGCAATTTGCGTGCAGCCAAAAAATGTGAAGAAGGACAATTCAATTTCATTTTAGTGGAGTAGCTTGTAGCTAAGCTGTAAAGGACAATTATGCCTGCAGGGTTTATAGTGGTACAGATTTTAGAAGGTATAGGGGAGAATTTGCGAGGAAATTTCCATACTGAAGAGCACCTTAAATTAAATTCAAACCTGCTTCGACCAGTAACTCCCATAGTGTAGTTCCTTGCATATAACTCTACAAGTTCAGCTTTGCCGGACTAGAGTTTTAGCAGGACAGGTTTTCGAGGTTTCAAAATTTTGCACTCAGTTTTGCAGAATCCTTTGTCTATCTTATGAATTTTATATGTCTTTTTTTCATAATTTGTTTTAGTGTAGTCTTATATCAATAATTTACTTTTTTTTTTCCTTCTATATTTGGTTTTTGATTGTCCTGAAAGTTGAATGTTGCAATGGAAGTAAATGTTCACTTGTAGAAATTAGGCATGTATTTAGAGAATGCACTCTGTTAAACTTGAAATACAGACTTTCTTTTCCTTACTTGGGCTGCATTTTAACTCTCATGTCTGAAAATTTTATGTCGTATAATTCTTCCTGCACAATTTTCAATTTATTGGGTATGCCATGTAGCTTCACATTTGGGGCAAGGGAGTTGCCAGATATAGGAAAACTGGAATCATTTCCCCGTAATTGGAATGAGAAACATAAGCACCAAATGATTGGGAGGGAGAAAGTTTTACTCTGTAGTATTTAGATTAAGAAACCATACATGAGTTCTGTTATGCTTCAATACTTCCTCCGTGATTTCTTGTAGTCTTAGGTTGCACCATGTTCTGTTAGTTATTATCCCTCTCTCCTCTTTTACATGTCTTATATACTTACTTTCTCCATTTGTTTATGATGGTAGGCATAAATGTATTTTACTATGTCTAAAAAAGTTAAGTGTTTAAACTTAGTAATGCCAAATTATCTTGACAACTTGAATGGCAACACCCCTAAGTGTGGAGAAGAATGTCTTTTGTCTAAAGTGTTTGCACCTTTATATACTGCATATGCTTTTACTGGCAACAATATATATAATTGAGGCTTAATTCTGAATCTGACTTTTTAGGTTTTGTCCAAAATGTTCCTGACCAATCTGACTATGTTTAGACTATAATTCAACTTGTCTCATCATTTGCAGGTCTCCTAAGACTGTTCAACTCTTTGTTGTACTATCTGAATGGCCTCCAATGGTGCAAAACTGCCATTGCTGTCAGGATTAGTGGATTCCACGCTTCAAACAAATAATGCATATGCTCCCAACAGAAGAAGATTTCGCCGTGTTAAAAGTGCTCCTCTAACAGAGTTTGTTCCCTCAGGTGCTGGTGGTGATGGCTTGCTTTCACGTCCTGAATCCATTGGTGGGAAGCTCCACCCAAGTCTTATTCTAGTAGCTGCTAGCATGGCTATCTACCTTGGTGCTGGCACCTTGTGCTTTTACTTAGTCAGAGATGATATTGAAGGGACGAAAACAAATCCAATTATCGATTCCATTTATTTTTGTGTTGTGACTATGACTACTGTAGGATATGGAGACCTAGTGCCCAATACTTCCTTTGTGAAGTTACTGGCCTCTGCTTATGTCTTTGCAGGCATGGCAATTGTTGGATTTATATTAAGCAAAGCCGCAGACTACCTGGTAGAGAAGCAAGAAATGTTACTAATTAAAGCCCTGAACAAGCACAGAAAAATGACCCCAAGCAAAACTATAAAGGAGATTGAATCATACCGAGTGAGATATAAGTGCCTTATTGCTTCAGCCATTCTTTCAGTTCTTATGTTCATAGGAACTATCGTCCTACGCAAGAAAGAAGGTCTGGACCTCACTGATGCACTATATTGTGTCTTTTCAACTGTCACAACCCTCGGTTACGGAGATGAGAGCTTCTCAACTAGAGGTGGGCGTGCCTTTGGCATATTTTGGATACTAATAAGTACTCTTGGTTTAGCTCAGCTTTTTCTCTATGTTGCTGAGCTATTTACTGAAAGCAGACAAAGGGCACTGGTCAACTGGGTTCTTACTAGAAAAATGACCAGCCTAGATCTGGAGGCAGCTGATATTGATAATGATGGGGTTGTTGGGTAAGTTAATTGTGCACTACCTTGAAAACAGATTGTTACAGATTTCATATTTTTGTTATATCAATCTGTAGATAGCTCTATTACTGATTTAGTGTTTCCTACAATTTCAGGGCTGCTGAGTTTGTCATTTATAAGCTTAAAGAGATGGGTAAGATTACCCAAGAAGATATCTCACTTATAATGGAAGAGTTTGAGGATCTTGACATTGATCAATCTGGAACCTTGTCAGTATCTGACTTGGTGCTTGCTCAAACACCTCCAACAAAGAGGTGATCTGAAATCTGAATCATCAACAAGTGGTTGATATCATGATATATAAAATTAGTACAATATATTCTCATTTTAAAAGAGGTGATCTGAACCTTTTCGCTTTCTACAATTATATAAAAATAGTATCATGTAAGGGCTACTTCTAAGGTTTTCAATGTCTATTGTAGGGTTGGTTTGTATATCATGTTTTCAATTTGTACCTTTAGGGTTTTGGAGTTGAATTCCTCTCATTTCCTGTCATCTGGAATAAATTTTGCTGTTTTAACTTGTTGCCAAAGAACTACTCATGTTTGTTTGAAGGTGCATTGAAGGGTTTGCTCGACAAAATTAATTTTGTTGGTAACTATTCACTGTTTTATTTGTGTTTAGTTGTTTTAGTAACGTTTAACTAATTAACTTTTCATAAAATGCTAAAAGTTAAAAGTTACATGGATTAATCTTTTATAAAACATTATCTTTTTAACTTCTAAAAGCTAATTCAAACGTTACGTTATTGAATATCATAAAAAATAATGTTTACTATCTTAAGCTAAGGCCTATTCCTAAGGATTGCATTGCTGTTCTTATGGTTGATAAAAAATATTAAGTAAAATCAAAATCAAACCGTATATGTTAAATCGAACCGGACTGAACTGATTTTGGTTCAGTATGCAATGTGGTGAGTTCCAATTAGAGTTCAAATTTCAAATATTGAACTGCAGACCCAGATTTATATAAAGGACATAGAATTAGAAAGCACAAATGCAAAAGGCAAGTCCTTATTGGAGATGCTGTTGACCGTAGAAGCACAATCATTAGCCTCAATTGACTATCAAGTCATGGATTGCACTTATGTTTATGTTCACTGTGGAGCCCACCTGAGCATGAATTGAGCGGTCCTGAGCATGAATTGAGCGGTCTCTGATTAAATCTCTGAGAATATCGAGTTAGTCTCACCTTGCCACGTGAGCCAATGTTGACACAAGCAACACCGTACAAGTGCCTCGACCTTCCAGATCTTGACCCTTATATAATAAGTATACTTTGCCCCTCCGTCAGTGATTTTTTTATCCAAAAATCAAAATAAACTTTCTCTGTATTATCCAAGTTGGCCTGTCATATGATAAATTTTATCTGTATTATACACACAGAAATACTTTATGAAAGTTGTACATACGTAAGCCCAAATTGGACCCCATACATTTGGCGTATTTATATATTTATAGATTTCATTTTGATGCATTAAACTGACTTCAACGTACTACTGATGAAAAAATTGAAATAAATATTTAACCATCTCTTCATTTCTAAAATACTAATAATAAAATTTTTTTAATATTAAAAAAATATTTAAAATCGAATCAATTATCAAATCATATTTGGACTTACCACCATAACATATCTTAATTTTATACGTGGATATTAATAATAAAATTCAAACTCAGCACAAAATTTTAAATATTCTCACTTTTATGTTTCCAAATATTCTCACTGATTTTAAAGTAAAAAAAAAAAAAAAAAAACCTTATTTTTAATTCAACCTATAGAAAAGAAATCGCTTGAAAGAGTGACTGCAAGTAACATTTTTAAAAAAGTAATTAACTTATTTTAATCTAAAAATTATTAAAAAAAAAATCTCTTAAGAATTAACAGCAAGTAAAATTATTTCACATTGCCTGCCCAATAATAGATCAATGGTATCCCACAAACAAACAAGTCATGATCCAATCAATCATCACAAAAAACATCAATTTCTATGGTGGGCAATACACATCCTGCGCACTTTAGCCATCCAAACTAAAATTAAAAAAAATTAGTTAAACAAAAAAAATAAAGAGAGGAGACAGAGATCAGTTTTGATTTCATTATCCATAACTACTGATAAAACACTAAAAAAAAAACAAAAAGGAAAACTCTTCCCATAATTTACAGTTCACATTTTGTAAGCTACAAACTAAAGGGAAGATTTTTCCAAGAAAATTAAAAAGAAAGATAAAGTTAGAAAAAGATTACAATTAGAAGAAGAAAAAAAAAAAAAAGCTAATCTCTTCTTTACTCATGAGACTTGAAATTTTCTATCGCTTGATCAGGTTGCCCAGCAACATAGTCCAAGAGGCCTTCACCAGCTTTGTCACCTGAAGATTCAGTTCCTGCTAAAGAAGTCTTGCCAAAGAAAACGACAGCACCAAGAAACAGAGCTGTGGAGAGAAACAGAGGCCAAAAGTAGGCCAAGATTGTAACAAAACTTGGTGCAAGAAAGATTGAAGACAAAGTTATGAGAGAGAGAGTTAGAATAAAGGCTATATGGTATTTATAGTTTAGTAGCTTTTCTTGGATCTCCATCTTGCCTCCGGCGGCGGTGGTGGTGGAGGAGGAGAGATTATGGATGGTGGTTTCTAGAGAGAAAGCGAAATGATGGAGTGGTTATCTCTCTGTGCAGAGATTCTTTTTAGTGGAAGCGTTTTGTTCTGTGTTTTGGGGTTTAGGGAACCGTAACTTTTGCATTGGGTAGTATTATTTAACGAGTCATGAGTCTATTATTTACTATGAAAAAAGACTCGGTTTCCGAAAGTGCCCATCAACGGATGTACATGATGTATGTACTTTAAGAAAAACATTTCTCCGAACCGACCGGATCATAATACCATCTTCATATAGATTAAATTAATAAAAATATAATTTTTTAAAATTATTATTAATTTATTTTTAAACATATACTGTAAAGAAAAATAAAGTATAAATATTTTTTTTAAATTTATTTTTATTAATTTGATTTATTACTAAAATCATAGATTCGATTTAAATAAGTACAATCTATTGCGGTGAAGAGAGATATTAGGGTCATTTCATAACCATATAACAAGATTTAGGCGGTTCCATTTCTCCCTTTGCTATTTTTGAAGAAATGACATGTAAATGGAGAAACTAAAAAGGGGAAAGGGATTTTTTTTCCTTAAAAGATATTTTAATATACAGTATATTATTATAGGAATTAATTTAATACATTTGATTTATAGGTGCATCTATGAATAAAATCAATGAAAAATAAATTTTTATTGAAATAATGATATGTCTTACCATTAATTGAAAAAAAAAAGAAAAGAATAAAGTCGAAATAACTTTTAAAAATATATATTTTTATTGGTTTGGTTAATGAACGAGTCTATAGATCATATTTAAGTAAATCTAATATTTATCATATTGCTACAATTTAAACCGAAATTACAATTTGCTGTTATAAATTGAAATATTTAAGATATTTTCGGTAAAATTAGCTATTTTGTCAATTGTTAGCAGTTTTAATAGCGTTTAACTGTTAATTATTTTAATAGTATTTAACTGTTAATTCTTTGGGTAGTTTTTCATGAAACGGTAAAATCAAAACGTTATACATTAATTAACTTTTTGCAAAACGCTATTATAATCTCTAAAAACTATTTTAAACGCTATGTTAGCAAATATTTTTTTAAATAGCATGTACTATTTAAAGAGTTATGTCGAACACAACCATAGTTTGAAGGCTAGGTTTGAAGCCGAGACCAAACTTAGTCAAATATCATTCACAGTGAAAAAGAAAAATTAATCTATGGATACTTGAAACTTAAAAATAATAATAATGACGAAGTACTCCTGTAATAACAAAAACAAGGAGGAAAGGGTGTTTGAGGCATTTGAGCTTGGAGAAAATTTACTTTGGCGCACATAATAGTTTGTCCTATGCTCCTATATTGTCGGCTACTTAAAAATTTTGAAAAATGAAATTCAAGTAAAAATAATAAACATCTATGTACCAAAAATAAATAAATATTTGAGCTTTAACAAGAGATTTTGTAATCTTGTGGGAAAGATAAGATCCAACGTGGGTTACAGTAAAACCAGTACAGAAAGTTATTCCAAATTAGAATAATTCTATTTCAGACTAAACTGTGGATTAAAGATGAGGAAAAGCACATCTTTCTTTTCTTTCTCTTTCAGTTTAGGTTAAACCCAAATCTCAGTAATGCACTTTTTAAAACTCGCAGTCATGGTTATAACGTGATCTACCTCTACAAGGAATCTAATTCAGGGATGATGAGTTTTACGATTAAAAAATTCTTCTAAAAATTCCATTTATATTGTCATATTATCCGTGTAAAGATTTCCATTTAAAGATTTTTGATTAAGGGAGAAGAGATTCTTGTTATACCATCTCATCCTCGAATTTGATTTATTCTTTTTTTACTTATGTGTATATATGTACATGTCACATGTTATGGAAGCATCAAGCATGTGAATGCAACTTGTGAATTACACTCAAAAAATGTGTCTTTTGGCTAGCTATGTACACTTTCTATTGTGCCTTTTCAGGTTTCAAGTTAAGTGCAGCAATTTTTACTAATTAATTATTGAGCATAACAAAATTTTCCTTGATCAAATGTTAATTGTGTCTTCAAAATGCTTTATATCATAATTTTTACTCATCAATTACTGTTACATGGTATTATTTTCATACTTATGGTGATGAATAATTATAATAATTAATCCAAAGAGAAAGTCCTATAATTTATAATTTTAGAGGACACTGTCCAAGCCCATCTCACATTTGGGCTTCTTGATAATAGGTGGGTTTGTTGTGATTGGGCTTTCGTTTATTAGTTAAATAAACTAAACGACAAGAGGCGTTTCTGTTTCAAATGATTAGGCTAACCAACCAAATGACTAGGGGTAAGCATTAAATGGTTTATACCGTAAAATCAAATCAAACCATAACAAACCGTCGGTTTTAAATAATTTATTATTTTAAATGATTTGGTTTGATTTATAATTTAATAAACCGCTTTCAGAACAATTTGATTTGATTTTTATTTTATTAAACCTTTTAAAGTCGAATCAAACCGCATTAATATTCTATGGTGTCATTGTATTATTAATTTAATTATTATACATTTTATCTAATTTGAAATTTTGAAATATATCTTATGAACATGACAATTTTTTTTATGTTATTTTATATGTTCTTAGTGCTATAATATTGAAAGAAATTTATTTATTTTATAAATAAGTTGTTATTAGTTGGTTATAGTTTGGTGCATCATGAATATTAATTACATATAATTTTATTATTTTTATAAATTTAAATTGCAAAAATTGATATTTTAATATGTTATGTTATCAAACTACTGATCACTTTTTTTACTATTTCTTATATTATATGTTATATATCATATATGAATTCATTATATTGGTTAATTATAATTAAAATAATTATTCAATTATTTTAATGATATTAAACCGCAAATCATACTGCACCAAACTGCTTTTTGCGGTTTGATTTCATTAATTAAATGGTTTGATTGGGATTGAAAAATCTATAAACTGTAATTTAAATTTTCAAACCGCACCAAACCAAAACGTGCTCACCCTACACTCAACCGCCTCTATCTAAACCTTTTCTGGGGTGTTGGACTAGGACATTGATTGTGGTCTCTGGCTCGAACTGCCACCATGGCCATTGTTGCTACGATCTCTGTGTCCATGGCAGTTCTATCTTACATACTATGGAAATACAGGTCAAATAAAAAGACCTATTTGTCCCTTTCGACGAAGAAGAAATCTAGAAATGGACTTATTGATGCTATTGGTAACACTCCCTTGATTAGAATCAATAGCCTCTCTGAAGCTACCGGTTGTGAAGTAAGTTCTCTGTTTAGTTTTGTGATCCGGGAATCTCGTAATTTCCATTCCTAATGTGTAAAGCCTGGAGTTTTGATGCAATGAAAGTTTGGACTTGGATACTTAAGTGTATGACGAATGATGCTTTTGTTCAAGTTATAATCTTTCTTTGAATTTATGGTCTTTACCTTCTCTGCAATCTATGATTCATGAATTTGAGTTTGATTTTTCATGTATTTGTGTTAGTGACTGATAAATTCTTTTGCATGTTTTTTTGAGTTATGAGTAGTTGATATTTGGTTGATTTATCCTTTTCTTTCTTCTTTGTTCAGATTCTGGGGAAGTGTGAGTTTCTGAATCCAGGAGGCAGTGTGAAAGATAGGATTGCTGTGAAAATAATTAAAGAGGTAAGTATTTTGGCCTTTAATGATGACAATTTATAGATGGAGATTATAGTTTCTGTATTATTCGCATGTAGATGAGGCAGCGGCTAGGATTATCATCTTTCAACAAGAGGATGGATATTGGCATTTCACTCGTTATTTTACAATATGCTTTTGTGAGAATGATACTGTCATATTGATAATCTAAGTTTCTGATTATATGAGTGGGTTAATAGTTGTAGAATGGCTGAGAAAATTTACTAAGCATATTTTATCCTTGCAAAAAGCTTAAACCTAAGAAAATAAGATGGAGCTTATTAACCCCTTTGTCTGAAAATATAGATGGTAGCTTGAAGTTCATTTTGAAATTGAAGAACTGTATTGATGTTTAGCTCCATATCCTGAATGGTAAACCAGAATTCTTGACCAAAAAGTTTCTAGTTGATCAAAGTACTCTTTTTCTCATGCTCCATAAGTTGCCATTTCAGTTTTGTATTATGAAAAAACATAAATGTGACCAAAATCCCTTTGGTAAATTGCATGTATATGCTTTTTTTTTTGTGTGCGCGTGCGTGTGTGTGTGTGTGAAAAGCTGTATCATTGTGCTAGTTCTTTGTGAAGGGACTACAAGAAGTTCAGTATTCAATATCAGATGGTTAATTGAATTATTAAGTACCTAATGGTTCTGCTCCCCCAACCTCCTAGGCCCTGGAATCTGGCCAGCTATTTGAGGGTGGAGTTGTTACTGAGGGAAGTGCAGGAAGCACTGCTATCAGTCTTGCTACAGTGGCTCCTGCTTATGGATGCAGATGCCATGTGGTTATCCCAGATGATGCAGCTATTGAGAAGGTATGAATATATTGTCTTTTTGCATGAACAGACTAATTTTCTTGTATGATCCCATGCCACAGCCTTTTTTCCCCTTATTGGCTATATGTGCTTCTATGCCACGTAATAATTATCATCTGGAGACTGGATAGAGTACAGAAAGAACCATTAGATAAGAATTTTTTTAGGTTGTGGTTGAGATCTGCAAATTCCATATCAATCTTCTTTCCATTGGTTTGTGACTTTTGTGCAACAGGCATCATACACAGTCCAAATGAAGTTGAAAGGAAAGGCACAGTAACATATAGGGTTTCTCCACAGAGAGAGAGAGAGAGAGAGAGAGAGAGAGTTTCCTTCTTCTCCGTCTTATGAACACTTACGCACCTGAACCCTTGATACCATTTATCTGTTGCAATCTCTTTTTAACTTTCTTTTATGTCCTGCAACGAACTTAAATTTGTCTTTCTTGAAACTTTCTGTTAGTCCCAAATTCTTGAAGCTTTGGGAGCTACTGTTGAAAGGGTAAGACCAGTTTCAATCACACATAGAGATCACTATGTCAATGTTGCTAGGCGACGGGCAAAGGAAGCAAATGAATTAGCATCAAAACTTAGAAAAGATCACCAAACAGATGGTGAAGCCCCTGACCAAATAAATGGTTTCGAATCTGATGGAGAGAAACCTTCTGATTTCTCAAGATACTGCAGTGGTGGTTTCTTTGCTGATCAGTTTGAAAATTTGGCAAATTTCCGGGCCCACTATGAGGGTACTGGCCCTGAGATTTGGAAACAAACTTGTGGCAATGTGGATGCATTTGTGGCTGCTGCAGGCACTGGTGGGACTGTGGCTGGTGTTTCTAGATTTCTAAAGGTCAAACTCTTTTCCCTCTTTTAAATTTCTTCTTTATATCATGCTAGGATAGTCTCATAAATCCTTGTTATATTTGTTTTCTACAGGAAAAGAATTCAAATATCAAATGCTTTCTCATTGATCCTCCTGGTTCTGGTTTGTACAATAAGGTAACACGAGGAGTTATGTACACTAAGGAAGAGGCTGAAGGGAAAAGACTGAAGAATCCATTTGACACAATAACCGAAGGAATTGGAATTAACAGAATAACACAGAATTTTATTAAGGCAGAACTTGATGGTGCTTTTAGAGGTACAGATAAGGAGGCTGTTGAAATGTCAAGGTTTGTCTTCCCTATGCTCTTTATACCTATCTCTGTAATTTTTTTTAATTACTGGACAGTTGAAATATAATCACCGGAAGAGAATTGCCAATGTCTTTATGGATACTGTGGCTGCTCAAGATGAAAATTTCTCATGCCACGGCTTTCCTAATTTTTATTGGTTTTCATTACTGTAATTGTCTATGAGAATATTCTGAAACACTTAGCATTTTGCTTGAAACCACTGGCCTTCATGCACACATTTGTTTCCGTGCAGTTTTATGTCCCACTTTGCGCTGTTCCATAATTCTATCACAGCACCTGGAGAATGACTACTTTCCCCGTGTCCCAAAATTTAATTTTTTTCATTTAAGTTGTTGCAGGATATCTAACTTGAACTATCCTCAGGTACCTTTTAAAGAATGATGGCCTCTTTCTGGGGAGTTCTTCAGCCATGAATTGTGTCGGGGCTGTTAGAGTTGCACAATTGATTGGCCGAGGTCACACGATTGTTACCATTCTGTGCGATAGTGGGATGAGGCACCTAAGTAAGTTTTGCAATGCTGGGTATCTATCAGAGCATGGTTTAACACCCATAGCAACTGGATTAGAGTTTCTTGGCATCAAATAATGATCTGTGCTGGTCATCTTCCCCCAAAGTTGAAAAACATGATGCAACCATTCTCATTTGTGAAGTATTGTTAAGACTGCCCTCTAATGGCTTGATGTGAAATTTTTGGCAATAAGATTCGGAAGCAGTTATGTTAGGTAGGTTGATCACCATTCATTTCACGAGGATTAGGACGTTATCATCAGTATTAAAGTGACGTCAAGTATTTTCTCCATGTAAAACATTATAATAGTTGAAGATCACAATCTTTCCTTAGATCTTGTATTTTTTTTTTTTTTTTTTTTTTTCATGCTAAACATTATAATTAGTTGAAGATCACAATTTATCCTTAGATTCTTGTATTTTTTTTTTTTTTTTTTTTCTTGTTACTGATATCAATCGAAAAGATGCCAGAAGCAAAGACAGTTGCAGAATTTTTTTTTTTTTTTTTTTTTTTCTGTTTACTGATATCAATCGAAAGCTGCCAGAGCAAAGACATTGCAGAAAATGCTGATGTCTAAATTTTTTACTTTCACCCATTTTGTCAGCTTGATTCGTTCGTTGTTAAGTTAAAATAGTAATTATTCATAAGCTGGTGATGTGCTTCTGACCCTCGGTGAAATTAAAAGAATATAAAAACATGATGACACGTGTTCCAAAAAATATCAAACTTGTAAGATAGACCAAGTTAATTAATAATACTGCAGAAGCTGCAATAGAAACACAAGCATTACTGAAACATACAATAACTTCTTGTCCTACGCCTAAACCCTAGCATGAACCTTAGTTACAGAAGAAGATATTTTCAGTATCCTTCATTTCTGGTTCAATATCTAAACTTCAACCCTTGATGGAGCCCATAGAAAGGTCAATCTCAATCAAGTTCTCTTCCTCAGTAACCTCATTGATATCTGCTAATAGCTCCAGTAAACCCTCTTGATTGAAAACATTTTCAGACATGTATGTCTGCAATTTTTCCTCTGACTCTTCATTCAACTCAACAGAATTACTATCCGGAAAACTGATTTCAATGAGATTATCATCTTCATCTTCGTCATCTTCAGAAGAAGAACCTAAAATTTCAGAAATTGCTACATTTTTACTTGCATTATTGAAAGACATCCAATTGAGCTCAAAATTTTCACTTTCTGACAAATCATCACCACTTTCACTAGCTGATGGAAAATCTGTTGATTCAACTTGATAATCATGTATGTCACTAACTTCACTTTCTTGAGCAGAATTACACAACGTAACAATTTCTAGTTCTTGATTTAGCTTCTGTTCAACTTCCTTCACAAGTATGCTCTTTGGGCTACAAATGGAACCTTCATCTTGATTTGGCTTCTCAATATTCTCAATGGTAATCCCCTTTTTCTTTAAAAATGTGACAATAAAAATAGTTGATACAAACAAAATAGAGATTGTTACAAGAAAAGGAGATAATCCAAAAGTTTTGAAACAAAAAAATATTAGAGAAAGAACAAAGACCGCAAAACAGAGAAAAGAGAGTTTGAAGATACAGTGTAAGGAAGAAAAGATTCGACTTTCACCTGTTTTCCCCATTTTTCCTTTAGGAAATGGCTTAAATAGCAAGAAGCAGATCTATATAAAAGCAGAAAAGCTACCACACTAATATAGCTGGATAGAGATTATGAAGATTCCAGGCAGAACACAATAATCTGGTTGACTAAAGAAATTGGAGAAAGAGGGAAAGATATCTCTTTTACGATCTCTTGCATTGAAATTAGGGTGTTCCTTCTGGCTTTTTTCTTCTTACAGAGCTTTTACTTGAAAAAACAAAATCTGGGTTTTCTGTTTGCTCTTGGCACCAAACTGTTTGTTCTTATTTGCCACTGTTTCTCTCTTGAAAGGAGTAAAACTACTATCATTTCTCAATCTCAAAGTTATAGATTGACGAATCCATGTGGAAGTGTAGAACGTATGTGCTCTCCACATGGCGCCATGAAACCCATCGATACTCACTTAACTGTTCATACTTTAATTTGGCATCGTCCTTTAACTTTTGTCACTCTCCTTCTAGGGTTTTACCCACAATCAAACAAAACCCATTATCAAAAAATAAAAGAAGCAGAAAAGCTTTATCCAATAAAAGGGTTTCTCGTAGAAATTAAGAAGGATAAAGAAAAAATAAATAAATAAATACACCACAGCTTAAAATCCATATATCTAGTCAAAGTGAAAGTTATTGGTGCAATTTTTGTCAGAAACCTAATTACCAAAAAGAGCACAGTAATAAGTAATGATGCCCCATTTTCTGCTGTCTGCAATCGGACCATCAAACTGTGATGATGATAATAATTCCATTAGTCCATTTTTTGCTACTGTACGCTATTGAGGTCTTTTAATATGGAGTCCCATTACTTTGAAGAGATAGATATTTTGGCTTGTAATGTGAGGCACCATTGGTCTCGGTGTTTTGTTTCACACGACACAAGCAAACATGGCCAGTGAACTGAAGTGGTCAGGTTCATGGGAAGCCACTGTGGAGGAACATTTTTAATGTTTGTACATCAAATCTTCGACACTACCTTGAATTCGTTGGAAAGCTATCTAAGTTCTTCCTACCATTATACTTAAATTTATAGAATAATTTCTACAAAGTTAGAAATTTAATTTTTATAAAAACACTTATAAACAAGGACAATCATAAATTTAAAATTTAAAATTAGGATTTAGACGTTAGAGTTTTCAATTTTTAAGATTTACAGATTTAAAATCTAAAGTTTACATTTAAAGATTTTAGGGTTTCGGATGCAGGATATTAGAAATTTAAAACTTAAAAAGTTTAAAGTTTTAGAGTTATAAAAATGATACATTGTTTCAGAATTTGAGATTTAATGTAAATTTATTATTTTTAAGAATATCCAGTATTACAAAGAATTGCCATGTATGCATACCCTATATATATATAATAGCAATCTCTTTTATTAGATTGATGGTTGACATGTAAAAATAGGGATTGGACGACCCACAATAACAATTAGTTGCCAGCATTCTCCATGATTTAAGAACATATGTTTCTTGCAATTTGAGGGATGAAATCATGAAAAAAAAAAAAAAAGAAAAAAAAAAAAAAAAAAACAAGATGGAGAGAAAACAAAAGTAATGTGCGGCTCTTCTTTTGATTTTGCAAAGGATGCTTTTTGCTTGTTTGTTGGCTTAATCATCCCCTCGTCCTCGTGCACTCGATGTAATAATGTGCGAAGAGCACATTTCAATTTCTACTATGGGCAGTTTTTCAAACTCCTCTCGGTAAAATCATAAGGGTAAAAGTAAATTTAGAATTTTACATATATAGTACTGTTTAGATCTTGTGATTTTGCTTTTATGACAAATTTAACCTAGCACAAACCCCAAACCTCTTAAGTACTATTTTATTTTTCTTTTTTTTTTTTTTTTTTTTTTTTTTTTTTTTTTAATGTTTCACTCGAGGAGAGAAACCCTTTTCTTTCCTTGATGGGTTATGTTATTGGTTTTGTCTTCATCTTGCAATGGAGATTTCAACATGCACTCATATCAAAATAATTTAATGTCTTAGTATATTATTAATAATTACATTTTTAATTTATTTAGTTTACATTTTAAACCTTACCATTTAATAAATACAATACAACAGTATTTTGCTTTTATTTTCTTTATTTTTTTTTCAAATACTATATTTATCTCTTTTTTTGTTATTAATATGTAATTATTATAAACTAAAATAAAAATAAATGCATTGATAAAAAATACATTAAATTTAAAATAAAAATATATGAATATATAGGGTTTTCTCATTATAACGGTTCCAATTGGATTTGCTATCCTGCAAATTGGAACCGTTGGTAAAAGTGAATTGTCTTCCAACTTAAAATATTGACCGTAGATTAAGCATACCGCAAGCGGTGAACTCAGATCCTCAAATGCGGGCAGAAGGACGAAACTACCCTCAATTCCTTTTACCCCATACAAACCGATTACGAAAATCAGAGGGGCCAATTCCGGTAATAAAAATCACACAAAACAATCACAGCCATTAACGCACAGAGTTCTCTAGTTTCTACCTTCTAGGGTTAGGGTTTTATTAATTTCTATGCAATAGAACAGATACTTTGCGTATTTGGAGATTCTTTGCTTACACTATATAATAAGCTCTCGTTGCGTTTGATAATAATCACAAGAATATATTTTTTTTTTGTTCTATTGGGTTGCGAGCTGGTGAAAATTATCTGATCTGATCTCTTCTGGGCTTTAGCGCCCTGTGGCCATTGAAATCGATGATCGTCAGCGTCCCATGGACCACTCTCAATCGCATAACACTCCTCCAGTCAATGATGAAGAAGATGAATGGGGTATTTTTATCACTTCTTTTTTAGTTTCTTTCTTTTCTGTTTGGTTCCCAAGAAAAAAAGAAACACGTTTCGATCTTAGTTGCTTGATTGTGATAATTTATTTATGTTATTGAAATAGTTGTTTATGGCTGTTGGCCAGTAAACAGGTTTGCTAGTAAATTGGACTTCTTATTTCGGATTCTGCTAAATTGGGTGTCTTAGTTTTTGTCATCAGTGTTAAAATTGTGAATGCAGAGGTTATAAGGTAGCTTGGCCCGTTTTTTTCTTTTTTTGCTCATGTTGTCTTCAAATTTTTCATTGCTTCATTGTGCTGTGTTTATTATTTTTGCTTTTTCTTAGTATTTGTATAACTTGCTATTTTTGTTTGTAACTGAAGCAAGCAGTTCCCTCTGATTCAGTACATCGTCTCAGGAAAAAAATAATAGAACTTGATAAAATGATTTAATAACTTTGAGTTTATGAGTATAGTTGTCTGTGGTGAGTATTAAATGGGCATATTAATTATTTCTTTGACTAAGGTAAATAATTGATAGTAATTCTGAAGGGTAATATGGGAAAGTTATGGGCTGTAATGCTTTGACTTCTGATAATGACAAAGAAATTGGAATGGACAAGGGAGAAAGTGGTTAGATAATGAGTCGGGAAACTTGGAATAGAAGTCTATTGGTAACTTGAAGTAGATGTTTTATGTGAAGAAAACAAGTGCAAACTTGAAACTACTGCTGGAGAAGTTGCTTCCAAAGTTCTAAACACAGCAATTGTTTGTGCCATATTATTGTCCTTTTTAATTCATCATAAATCATCATAATATAAATGAACAAAGATTGTATGACATTGTGGTTCAGTGTCTCTGTCATGCACTGATGGATTTTAATTCCTGGCTGCACAATGCTTGAAAGCTTTTTGGCTGTATAATTAATTTTCTTAAATACAACTAGTTGAATTTATAATAGGTAAATGTCACAATGCAGTTGCTTTTGTTCTGATATTGCAAACATGGTATTTGTTGAACATTATCTGGCCATACATATAACTCCCATTTAAGCATGTTTAACATGTTATTATTTGCAATTGATCAATCAAGTAATGCTTTGATTTTATTGATGAATATCTCATGTCAAGTGGAGACCATATGGATGCCATACTAATTTTTCCTGGGCCTTTGTTTTGTCTTTTCTATTTTTTCCCTCTACGTTCTGTTAATACCTTTTCCATTCATTACTATGCATATAGTCTGTGGTTCGATTTCTATATTGAAAAGCTTGCATCAACCTAGAATTGCTGGATCTCAAACATAATGTGGCACTTGATTATTCTGGCTAATGTATCATGTATGTCCTCGAGAATGATGTAAATTTCTTATATGGATGCAATTAACGATTTGGTCCAGGATAATGTACTTCCTAGCATAGCCTGTCTTATCGCTGGCATCCAGCATCATTTGTGTTTTTTGAACAAGAGGCCAACTTAGCTTGGATAATTTATCTGTACGTAGTTGCATTATGCCATTGTCATATGGAATCGAGTGTGCATGTGTATGGATTTGTTTGTCATTGCATTGGGGAGGTAGCTGTCTCTTCCAAATCACATTTTATGTATATGTTGTATCAGCATATTATAATTTCTGAAATTCAGCTACAACTTCTGTGGATTGCTAATCTCTGAACTTGTATTTATTGTGCTAGACACTGATGGATTTGTGATTCCAAGCTTGGGAATAGAGGACATTGATCATAGTAGACCTGATGCTTCTATAGTAGAATCATCAAAACCTACTTCTCCAAAGGTTAGCTTCGGCAGCCATGCTCAATTTGCTTAACTGATTTGATTTTGTGTTTGGACATTAAAATAATTGCTGCATTTATTTTTGTTGTCCTGTTTGCACGGACAAAGAAAGAAGAGAACATTTACCTTGGACCTCACGGTGCTCCTCCTTCACAATCAAAGCAGCAAGAGCTGAATTCTTCTGGACGTAAACAACGGTTCAAGCAGAAACTAAAGGAAGCAGATAGGAGAACTAGTGGAACAGGGAGGGAAAATAAGTTAGAGAATTTGCGGGAGCTAGTAGGTGGTACAAAGGGAAGTCCCAATATGACAAAGGGTTCTACAAGGGACTGGTTAGACCCACATTGCCATGAATCACAGTTTGAGAAGTGGTCGTCTCAGTGAGTGGCTGAGTCGGTACCTATTAATATCTCTAGTTTAACTCTTTGCAAAAACTATTTTTGAATTGAAATATCATTTTAGAGATACCATATTTACTTAAAGTCATGTATTATGAACCATGTACTATGACAGTAATCGTTTATCAATTCGACTGTCGGGTGTTGCTTCGAATGCAGAATATATCATGACAATACACTTTTAAGCCTTTTGATGCCATTAACAGGTTATTTGTAATGACTTCCTTAAGTCTTGAGGTCGTACCTACTAATAAAACTAATGCTTGTAGATAACAATTGCAAGAAATCTCTCTAATTTGTCAGAGGTTGACATTCTGCCTCTTTATTTCGGATGGAAAATTAACTGTCTTGATAGTTATTAATTAGCTTAATAGTGTTCAACGCGTTGCGATGTACGATCTTATCACTTCCTCTTTAATATGATCCACTGATTCTGATTACATAATTAATGAATAATTAGATGGTAATCATGTAGAACTTATCTTTCAGAGTAGTTGGATCAATACCAATAATTATTTAGTTCATTTTTTATTACCTTTATGCTAACGCGACAACCATATTCAATTGGATTGGCATTATCTTGAAGATCTGATAATCATTTCATTTGTTAATAACCTTCAAACAAATAACTACCAACAGCATTTTGTCTAATACTTTCATCTCCCTAATTTTAAACTTTAAAATTTCGCCTCTGATTGAAATCCATTTATATAAAATTCATAACTAAATAAAATTCATTTAAATATTATTTATTTTTAATTTAATTTTCAAATCGTAACTAAATAAAATTCATATTTTTAGAATTTAGTACAAACTAAATCAAATTAAAAATTTTTGAAAATCACAATTTATGATTAATTTAAATGAATTTGATTCAATTTGGATGTTTTGAGGCGAGTCATAAACATTTTTATCAATTTGTTTTCAGTAGGATTAAAGCACTGAAAACTATATAAACATTGGAAGGATTTGATTTGACGTGTGAATAACGGTTCTGCTGTTTATATTTATTTATTTTTTAATGAGTATTATTATTATTATTATATTGAACTACTGATTAACTTTTGCCTTAAATTTCTAACTTGATGGCCCCACCAATGCAAAATGCAAAGATGCCACCTTACTGACGCGGGCGAATATTAAATCACAGCCGTTGATTTTTCAGATACTCTCAGCCGTCCATCAACTTTTCTAATCTCGATCTCCTCTCGCCCACGTCTGACAGTTCTATCCGACGTGGCAATTAACCGCATTTTAAATCCGAATTCAAGTCCGTCCTATAAATTCCATCCTCAAAATAAAGCTCCACTTTTTATTTTTAATTTTTTCCAGTCTCAGTAACGAGAAAAGAAATCGAAGGTCTGAAATGTGCCCGTAGTGAGAGAGAGAGTGTCTTAGAGCTCAAAAGACTTTGCATTTAAGCCTTCAAATCAACAGACTAGGGCTTCTAATTCTCTGTAAGTTTCAATTTCTGTTTTAAATTTTATTTATTGCTTTCCATTTTTTCTGTTTTTTGGGTTTCAGAATTGTGTTTTTTCCAAATGTACTTGTAATTATGGTACAGAATTTCTCTTTTGAAGTTTAGGGTTTAGAGGTATGTTTGTTTTGGATGGCAAATACTGATTTATTTTTCCTTTTGGTTTTTTTGATGTTCGGCACGCGAAATTGAATTCAGTGTTCTGTTTGATGGCCAAGAACTTGCTTAAAAGAAGTAATTTTTGGATTTTGAATGAGGGAATTTTCTGATAGGGGCGTGAAACTCGAAATTTGTGCTGAATTGAGGTTTTTTTTGTTCCTGAATTAACTTAATTCAGTTTAGTTTTCACGCTTCCTCCATAAGCTTACGAGAAATCAAACTGAAAGATTTTAAATTTTGGACTTTGAACGAGGGGATTTTTCTATACGGACATGGAACTTGAAATTTTTGCTAAATTGAGTTTAATTAAAGTTTTTTGGTTTTGAATTAGCTTAATTCAGCTTAGTTTTCACGCTTCCTCTGTAAGGATATGATACAATAAACTTAAAGATCTGAATTTTTCCCCGAATTGTCCTCTTCTTTTTCCTTGTTGCCACATTGGATATCACTGTACCATGTAACAGTTGCAACTTGTAATGCTTTTGTTTTCTTTTTACTCCGTGTTTAGAATCTGTTCGAGCTTTTTAGGTCTTGTGAGTAATTACATATTCTGTAGATTTGTGTAGTTCTGGTTTTTTCTTTTTCTTTTTTTGGGGGGTGGGGGGTCAATTTTGCTCACAAATTGTAAATGTTGGTTTGAATGAAGTATTTTGCTTTATGGGCCATTTTGTCACATATCCCTCTAGTTTGAATGTTTCTTCGTTTTCTTCTGTGTGAGTTTTTGCTTTGGGACATTGGTGGGACAAAAAAGTTTATCACTAAACTTTTACAAACAAAGATATTGCTTATGATTGTTGCGTGGAAATTTAACTATTCATTTCGACGCAATTGTTACCATCTATTAAAATACTATGTTTAAAGGCAGAATTTTCTTGTTAAAAATTTGTAGGGATATATTCTTTTACTTCTAAAAATATGATAATCTTTTTTGGTAAATTATTGCAGTGCACCTGGATTTTTCTTCTCCTTTTTGGATTTTACTGACTCATGGATTAAATGTGGACTTCTCCCAACTAACATCTTAATTATCTCCTAAATACAACATTCTGTTATCAAAGTTCAACTGGATTTTAGAGTGAAGGAAAAATTTAACTTTCTGCTGTAGAATTTACTATGGGTGAGGAAGAAACAACAACTGAAGCTCCAAAGGTAGCTGAAAATGGGACTAGTGCACCAGAGATATCTGGTAAAGTTGTGACAGAGAAAACAGAAGAGGAAAGTAATAAAGTGAAAGAAATAGATGAAGATAAAAATGATAATGAGAAATCTGTGACTGAGAAAATGGATGAAGACCCCAAGGTGAATCAGGAAAAAGAAAGCAATGGAGATACAGAAAGAGAAGAGGTAGAAGAAGAGAAAGAGGTACGAAAAGAAAAGGATGAACACAAAACTGAAGCCATGGAAGACGAAAAGGCAGAACATAAAGCTGAAGCCATGGAAGAAGAAAAGACAGAACACAAAGCTGAAGCCAAGGAAGAAGAAAAGGCAGAACACAAAGCTGAAGCCATGAAAGAAGAAAAGGCAGAACACGAAGGTGAAGCCATGGAAGAAGAATTGGAGCCAAAAGGAGATGAAGAAGTAGAAGAAAAGGAGGAAACCAAGGAAGAGGTAGAAGATAAGGTCAATGGGTCCAAGGATAAAGGAGAGGAGGAAACCAAGGAAGAGGTAGAGGATAAGGTCAATGGGTCCAAGGATAAAGAAGAGGAGGCGGAAACCAAGGAAGAGGTAGAGGATAAGGTCAATGGGTCCAAGGATAAAGAAGAGGAGGCGGAAACCAAGGAAGAGGTAGAGGATAAGGTCAATGGGTCCAAGGATAAAGAAGAGGAGGCGGAAACCAAGGAAGAGGTAGAGGATAAGGTCAAGGAAGAGGTAGAGGATAAGGTCAAAGGGTCCAAGGATAAAGAAGAGAAGGTTGAAGATGAATGGAAACCAAGGAAGAGGTAGAGGATAAGGTCAATGGGTCCAAGGATAAAGAAGAGGAGGCGGAAACCAAGGAAGAGGTAGAGGATAAGGTCAAAGGGTCCAAGGATAAAGAAGAGAAGGTGGAAGAGAATGAGAAGGGGTCAAAGAAACGTGCAAAAGGGAAGAATGCTGGAGAGAAAGTTCAAAAGAAGAAGAAGTTAGGGGAAGAAAAGAAACAGTTAGAGCCAAGGACTCCTGTCACTGACAGGCCACAACGTGAGCGAAAATCTGTTGAAAGGTTGGTGGCATCTATTGAAAAAGATGCTGTCAAAGAATTCCATATTGAAAAGGTGTTTTTTTTCATTATTATTATCATTATTTTTGTTATTGAATTTTCCTAGTGAAACTCTATTTTTTTTTTTGTTATGTGGAGATTTAAATTTATACGTGATAATTTGCCATGGAAATTGCAGGGCCGTGGTACCCCTTTGAAAGATATACCTAATGGTATGGTCTATCTTTTATGTACTTAATTCTTGCTTAATTGGTTGCTAGGGCAGTTGAACAATATTATTTATTTATGGTTGCTCCCTTTTTTGGTTTTGGAATCTGCATCTGGTTATTGCTTGATTGATATTTTGTTGTTAAAATATGATTTCTATTCAATTGAAGAATTTATGCCAGTTGTTCATTAATATGAGATATTTTTTCTGGTTAATGTCTAACTTAGAACCATGAGAAGTGTCTATTGGTTTCCCTGTGATAGAACATTTGGAATATTGTCCATTTTTCGAAAACTTGTGATTCTGTACAGGCCAGTGGATCTAAAGAAACTGAGTTTCTTCCAATATCATGCAATATTCATCAAATTGGATGCAACTTTACAGATTCCTTTTTCATTTTGATTTATCCAGTTCAGATTGAAGAACTATCCATTTTTTTCATATTGTTTGAGCTTGAGAGTAAAAACTGATGGCTTGAAATTATTTTTGTATGACATTATTTTTGTAAGGTTATGACGGTGCTTAAAATTTTGTTGGAATTTCTTTTCTTTGTATGTTTTCAATTCAAATGGCTGTTCTAACCTACAGGGGCCTCGTACTTGTTTTCTCTGCAGTGGCATTCAAGTTGTCCAGAAGGAAGACTGATGATACCTTTAAACTGCTCCATACGATTCTCTTTGGGAGGAGAGGAAAGGTAATCCAACTACTGTTCACTTGGTATTTGTTTATGTTTATACTGCCGTGTTATTATCTTTTTGCTCCATAGTAAAAGGATATTCTTTGCAAAAATAAAAAAAAAATAAAAAAATAAGATCTTGCATAAATAGTTGCCTATGAGATGTAAAAGCTAACATTCATGTTATTCCAACCTATCTTTATGCAACTTCAGTTCTTTGCTTTTGCAGGCGATTCAAATCAAGAGTAATATATCCCGTTTTTCTGGTTTTGTATGGCATGAAAATGTGGTAAGATTATCAACAAGAGAAACTCCTTCCATATATTAATATGAGTATTTACATGCGTATTATTATTATTATTTTAACTAATGCTTAAGAACTTGGTTCATCACCCTGCAACCAATCGTTTGTTATGATATTTGACGTTTGTATGCTGAAAAAATTTTTCTCCACATTTATTGCAGGAAAAGCAAAAGATTAAAGTGAAAGAAAAATTTGACAAGTGTAATAAAGAAAAGTTGCTGGAATTTTGTGACGTGCTTGACATATCAGTTGCAAAGGCAACTACAAAGAAGGTTGATTTGTCTAATAATTTCCATTAACATCTAGGGCTCAGTTGCTTAAGTGGTCCAGTGATTGATTTTTGTGCTGTCATCTCCCCCAGAGAAAGCAACTTTTTGACTGTTGAAAACCTTTCTGTTGCTCTTTTTTTCATTGTTAATTATCATGTATGCATGCAAACTCAATTAATGCAAAGATTTTGCTGCTCTCTGTGTGTGTATGTGAGTGTATTGACAAATCTTCTGATAACAATCTCATTCTGTAATTCTGAGCCATGTGGTATAAGGTCAAATGCATGCTACATAAACCCTACTTTCATTATGATGCAGGCAGCAGTATATATTTGCACTCTAATTGTCATGCTTGCTTCCTTCTCGTAGTTGAATGCAATGTGCTGTTCTTATTTTACTAGAAATATTTTCATGCAGGAGGACATTGTTGCCAAGTTGATAGAATTTTTGTTGGCCCCTCATGCTACAACAACTGTGCTACTTGCAGAAAAAGAGAAGGTTTTTTTCCTTTTTTCTTGCTTCCATTTCTTACAAGTTCAATTTTTGAGACATCAAATATTTTAAGCTTGTGGGATCTGTTTTAAGTTTTAAAGTTTCATTTGATTATTAGGCAAGCAAGAGCAAAAAGCGCAAGAGGATGACCAAAAGCTCAGCCTCTGGGAGTTCATCTTCAACACGTTCAGCAAAGGTATATTCTTCTGCTAATATTGTAAATATGAATTTTTTAAAAAAAATTTAACTAATACTGGGTATCCCTTGGAACATTTTTCTGTGGTACTGCATTTCCATTGTATTAAATGACATTATAGCTTTTTTTTTTTATATCTTGTTGCATATCTTGTATGTTTTGTTATGAAGGTTTTTCCACCTTAAAAAAGGTGAAGACCTGCCTCATGGTATCATACAACATCATTTAGCAATTCTACTATTGGGGAAAACTAATCAGATTGCGTAGCCCTTTATTTCTTCTATCTGTATTGCTGTGTGCTTATACTTGCCATTATTATATTTTTCATTTCATTTTCTTTTTAATATACGTGGCACGTTCACAGAGTCAAAAAAAGTCCGAGTATTTTTCAAAATCTGGTAAGAAGGGTACACCTGATTCAGAAGAAGAATCAGATGAAGAAAAAGGAGAGGAGGAGGAGGAGGAGGAGGAGGAGGAAGATGTGGAAGAAGAAGAAAATGTAGAAGAAAATGAAAATGGTCTTCCTGAAAAATCTGATGCTGAGATGCCTGACCATTCTGATAATGATGAAAATGAATCTGAAGAGGAATCTGAAGAAGATGTTGGTAAACGCAAAAGAAGCTCAAAAACATCATCTAGAAAGAAGGAATCTGCTGAAAAAGCTAAACCCAGGAAAATCACAATTTCCACTAAATCTGGTCCGCCAAAAGGATCAACTAAAAAATCTTCATTGAAACACTCTGAAGCTGATGAAGACAGTGATGCAAGTCCAAAAGTTTTCTCAAGGAAGAAGAAAAGTGAAAAGGCAGCAAAGGAGAAGTCCTCTACTCCTGCAAAATCTCCTTCCAAGGAGAAAACAGGTATTTTGTTTTGTTTTTTTTTTTTTTTAAGTCATTTCTTCTCATTTGGCGCATGGAAATTGGTCTATTTGGCCAAAAGATCTTAAAGTCTGAAGATGTAATAATTTGGTTATCATAAATTCATCAATTTTTAGTTTCTTTCTTGTATATCATAATGATAAAATAGAACAACATGGATCTTGATTCAAGTGCAATCGTTTTTCCTGATAAGAAACCACTAAAAGTACACTTTTTCCATAATAAGGTAAAAAGAAGGCTGCAAAAGGGAAGGAAAAGGCTACAGGTACAGCCAAGGAGGATAAATTGAAGCCAACTGATAATGAACTTAGAGATGCCATATGCGAAATTCTTAAGGAGGTGGATTTCAATACGGTAAGATTCATTACTAGTTGGCTGCTTACAGGTCTTCGTAGCAGTTAAACGCCCATAAATGAAAGGATAGTGGTTTTTTTTTTTGTGATTAAGGTTAATAGTTAATATAGCAATTCTTGTTTCTCATATGGCTGTGTTAATTTCTTGTGTACTCCTAAGTTGGATTTTGTAATATTTCGAAAAGCTGCTTTTTCCTTTTTCTTCATGTTCCAAGCTGCATTCTTCAAGAATTGCTGCTTGCAGGCTATTTTTCTTTTCTCATAAAACAAAGAATACTATATTCTCTTTTTGGGTACAAGTAATGCTTTTTTCACTAACTTAAGCTGTAATCTGACTTTTGCAGGCTACATTCACTGACATTTTGAAGCAACTTGGTATGCATTAACTTATGTTGTTTGATTAGATTCTTTTGAATTCTATTTATCCCAGGAAATCCAATGGAAGAACACTAGCCTTAGTTTTTAAAAATTTTGAATTCCCACCAAACATTAGACATGTCTGAACTTTTAAATGATATGAAGAACAATAACTTGAAAGAAAAGGTATTTCTCAAAGAATCATATTATATTTGTTCATTTTGCTAGACAAGAGTGGATGCTTAGAAAAGCCATGTGCAGTTAATTTTCTCATAGTCAAAGTGATCCTCATTGTTCAAGAAGTGGAAAGGTCCACATGTTAATAATTTCAGATACATTCAATTTTAATCATGGATTCGGACGAGAAACCTTCTTACAAGTGCTCATCATCAAAAAAAAAAAAAAAAGGATTCCCTTCTTTTCATTTACTTATTTATTATTTTTTTAACCTCTTGCACTGGAAGCTAAAACTGTTGTCTATTACTTGTTGCCTGAAAAATGTCTGCTTTACAGCTCGTCAATTTGACACTGATCTTACTGAAAGAAAGTCATCCATAAAAATCATGATCCAAGAAGAGCTCACCAAACTAGCGGATGAGGCTGATGATGAAGATGGAGAGGGTGATGCTGAGAAAGATGAGAATCAATCTGCTGGTCAAGAGGTTGAGGCCTGATGCTTGTATCATGACTGCCTGAAGATAGTGTAGCTATTTATGCTGCCTTCTATCGCTGTAATTTGCACCTAGTAATACGCACATAATACTTTTTAGTCTGTCAGTAAAGAAAGTTATGTAATTTATTATTAGTTTTTTAATTACTGGCAGAGCAGAACTCTTATTTTTCTAGGAAATGTAGAGTTGGAATTGAAGCTGTATTGCAGGATAGCAGCACATGTGTACACATTAACATAAAATGTAGGAATTTTTTGCCCTTATCCATTATTTAACTGACCCTTTAAAATCTCCCTGAATATATTTCTTTTCTCAATGTTTCTTCTAAATTATGACAGGAAATGCATAACCTGGTAAACGATCATTGAAGGTGTCCATGTGACTGAAAAGTCATATGCTGCAATTACCATAGGAAGTAGATGGAAAGGGTTCAGGTTCTGGCAGTTTCTTATGTAACCAAAGCATGTGAAGAAATGACAAGACTACATGATATGGAGATGATAAAAGCACTTCATTTTGGTAGTGGCTTAATGCATAAAATTGCCCTAGTTGTACGAGATTTGTCTTGTAGCATCCTTAAATTTATTGGAATTTATCATATCGTACACTTTCACATTTCAGTAATAATTATATCTCTGACTAAAATGAAATAATTTTGCAAAAGTTCAATCATGATTCTGCATTTTTATATTTTATTTTGGAGATGAGCCTAATTGTTATTGAAATGTAAAAATATAAAGTCACGATAAATCTCACGTAAACTTGAAAGTGCCACGAGACAAATCATGTATACTTAAATATATGCATTAGGCCTTTTGGTGATTGTTGTTAGGAATTCACTTTACTCTACCATTTGGCTGTGATCATGGATGGCAATGGAGTATATAGGCCTATGGTGATGCAAATTTTTTTTCTTTAAAGACAGAAAATGGTAAATCAAACACCATAAAATGTGATATGCCCTAGGAGAGACTATTTGCTGAGTAGAAAATGGAAAGGTGTTATCAAATAATAAACCAAGCATAAAAAAGTCTGTTTCCAACGGGAAAGGTACCCAATTGTGAGCCCTCAGTAGTCAACTCATATAGAGATGAAGAGACATGTTTAAAGCCAACCTGCCAGCCTGGTTATCAATGAGTGGTCGTTCTAATTGACCTAAAGATGAGCCACTACTGCTTGGTAGTTGGATATTGCAATTCACTGACTTTATTCCGCAGTAACTTTTTAGGTAACCAGTAAAAATGTTAATGCACAATTTTATTCTACAATAACTTTTTAAATAATCAGTTTAACATTTTTTAAATGTTATTTTTTATAATATTCAGTAACATGATATTTTAATTAACTTTTAAAATTTTAGTTAACCTCTTATAAAAAAATTAACAGTTACTATCTACTTACATTAATGTCTAGAAACATGTGTCTTGCCTCCCTTTTTTTAGGTAATTAGGTCTAAATCCCAAATACACACCATATTACAGGGAAATCGGCAAAAACTGTCTATTCTTATACCTTCCTTGTCATTTTTTTTTTGTTTTTTGGTATATTGGAGATCAGTTCTTTTTTTTTTTTAATATTAGGTTTTAGATTCTAATTAATGCATTAGCCTAATTTTGTCAAGTTCTATCACAAAAATAATAATAATGTGCAGTGAAATTTCATTTCATGGGAGAAAAGTCTATACTAAAATGTGATTTGTTGCAAACCTATTTGAGAGTTTATAAACTTTTCCAAGCAAAAGCACAAAATGGAGTGTCCTTTTCTTGGTGGCATTAGGAGCATTTGCACTGCCGTATTACCTACTTTTTACATGTGAATTAAAAAGAGTGTTAACTTAATTTTTAAGGTGTAAGAGATTATTAAAGCTAGATTGCTCTTCTTTTTCCCCTTCAATTGAAAGATAATGTGTCTCACAAAAGTTTTATGAGGTTTCCATTTAAAAATTCAGACATCAATACAATGCTTGCTAGAAAAATATAAAAATAAATTTTAATAAATGAATATAATTATTAATAAAATTCAACTAAAATACTTTATCTTCGTATGCAAGAAAATGTATACTGAAGCGTTTTATTATTTAGTAGCTCCGGTATGACGCCAATGACTAATTCAACTTCACCTATAAGGATAATGTTTGTTGAGAGCGCTTTACTTTTAGTAGGTCGGTTTGGTATGAACGAAAATTAATCAAGCTTCAAATATAAAAACAATGTTTGTTGACGGCGCTTTACTTTTAGTAAGTTGAGGATTGTTCAAATTTCGTGCATTGTTCAATAGACAAGATCAAACAATTAAATTAAGTGTATACTACATTAAGATTTTGAAAGCCAAAATTATTAAAAAAATCCATGAAATATTTCCAAAAAATGATCTCACTGTGCAAGTGAAAACCAACTACTCCAAGTCCAAATGTGAAACTAAAACATAATATAAAAATCAAAATGTCAAAATAGCATTGGCTTGAAAGACAAATGCTCCACTTCACTAGTGGAGCACTTATCAAAAGTTCATCAACAATTGAAAACTAATCAGAATTAATTGTGTAGTTGGCAACTTGTGTTTAACTGATAATAATGTTTAGTGCAAGGCTACTTAATTCTAATAATTGTTTAGTAATCAATGTTTTCATATAATATTAGTCAATTTCCTCCTTTTGTATTAAGAAAAATTAAAAATCTCACTTCAAAAAAGAAAAATTAAAATAAGTAAAAGGCGTTGACTGGAGTGCTAAGCGACTTCGATCCCATAAAGACGAAAACACAAATTGAATCCTGAGTACATGAAAACAAAATTGTGAAAATCAAAATCAAATGAATAACCCTAGAGTTGCCACTGTGATGATAATAACTAATATATTTATATTTAACTCTTCCTATATTTATGTAATCCTTTCATGGAAAGAGACAATCCTAAATAACGAATTGAAGGTTGGTGATTCATGGCAGAATTGTTGCTATCCTTACAATTAAGTTGCCCTTAAAGAAACTCCAAAGTTGCATGCAACAAAAGGCAATTGATGATTCATGTATTTTCTAAGAGATTCCGTAATTTTTTTTTTTTTTAAGTATATAGATAAATTTATGCATTTGGTCAATTTTATTTTTAAATTTTTTTATAATACAAACTTTTTAAATTTATAAGGTTCGAAGCTAAATTATTTATAATTTATGAGATAAACTCTAAATTTAATAACTTGGAAAGAAATATTATGTATATAAATTCTAAGCCAAAGAAATCGTGAAGATTTTAATATTGACCTATTGCGCTAATTAATACGTGCTTATAAAATAAAATAAAATAAATACCAATATTATATTATTAGTGATGTAATTGAATGTTGTCACTAATTAATTATTCCACAATTCTTTTCATACAAGTTTCATTTGCCTTTAAGTTTTAATTATTTATTTATTTATATTTATTCCATATTTATCCAGTAGTGTATGTGTATATATCATGTAAAAAATTACGAAATTACGTTTATTATTTATAAGATCTTATGAAGAAAATTAATACATAAATAAAAACTGTAGAAACAGGAAAAGGTCGATATAGAGCTACCGACCACGTGTTGATGCAAAGTCGACGGTAGAGATTATAGGCCTCCAAAAAACATCTTGCGGCCTAGAACCCACCCGTACAAATAACACACTTATCGACAAACAACGGTCGTTAGCGACCCACGTATGAGCAACCATATTTGTTATTAAACCCACTGATCCATCCAACGGACCCAACTCATTCGCTCTCAAAAATTCCTCTCTCGCATCATCTTCTCCATTTTCCCTTCAGACTTAAAAACTTTTATTTTTTCTCTCCCAAATTTCCATGAACCTTCAGCTCTGAATCTTTGTCTCTTCCATTTTTACAAGCATTATAACTAAAGGCTGCATGCCGATAACATCTATGTTACACCTTTTTCAAGTTTCATGGCCGGTAAGTATGTCTCCTCCTGCTCCAATATCCTTTGATTTTAAGATAATTTCAGCTTTGTAAGCCTTGCTTCTTCTCTATCTTTACTCCTCCTTGCCACTCCCATTCTTCTTTCTCCAGGTAATTATTAGCTACCCAAGAACAAGACGATTCCAGTATTACTGAGCCAAAACTTGAATTCATAACAGACATTTATAATATCACTGAGCCAAAACTTTCCCAAACCTGTAACCTTGTCCTTGTACAGTCCATTATAGTTCTGTCCTTTCAAGTTTGATCATAAAACAAAAACTATATATCCATTAACCTGAAATTCTTGAAAAGCAAGCAATACCCACTTCATGGCAGACTCGGACAATGATTCTGGAGGACCCCATAACCCAACAAACACTTTGTCGCCTAGAGAACAAGACCGATTCTTGCCCATAGCCAACGTAAGCAGGATCATGAAAAAGGCACTTCCAGCAAACGCTAAAATCTCCAAAGACGCTAAAGAGACTGTACAGGAATGTGTGTCTGAGTTCATAAGCTTTATTACAGGAGAAGCGTCGGATAAGTGCCAGAGAGAGAAGAGGAAGACAATTAACGGTGACGATCTCCTCTGGGCCATGACTACTTTAGGATTTGAAGAGTATGTTGAGCCTCTGAAAGTTTACTTGCAGAGGTTCAGAGAAATGGAAGGGGAGAAGGCAGCTGTGGGGCGTGATAAAGACGCTCCAGGTAATGGAGGTGGGTATTGTGTGGACGGATATGGTGGGTTCCAGGGCCACGTGTACGGGTCTGGTGGTGGATTCTACAATCAGATGGCCGGTGGTATTGGGTTGGCGAAAGGTAGTGGGTCAGGCTTTAGTGGGCCTGGATCTAGTTTGGGTAGGCCTAGTGAGCTTTAATAAAGTGTTCAATGTTGGCTCAAATGGTAAGGTGCATCAACCATCAGAGACGCGTACATGTGAATTTCATCTTACGGCTGCAGGAGGTGGTGGTGTCTATGTACATGTGTGTATATCTGATTTTGGTGATGGGGAAGATGATTGGATCAACGGTGGATGATGACGACGATTATAATAGGAAATTATATTATGCCTGTGCCATTTTAATTTAATATGATCATATAATATACTGATTTGAGAATGTTGATTTTTGTTGGATTGGAATTACTTATTATACATATAAATGCTATTTGGTTTGCCTTCTTTATGCAAGCTATTTGTTTCGGATTTGTAAAAGATATATATACCATTTTAATTTAATATGATCATATAATATACTCGATTTGAGAATGTTGATTTTTGTTTGGATTGGAATTCTTTATTATACATATAAATGCTATTTGGTTTTGCCTTCTTTATGAAGCTATTATTGTTTCGGATTTGTAAAAGAATATATATAATATATATATATATATATAATATAATATATATGAATCAAACAAATTTCACCTATGGAAATTGAATTCTAGCATAATTATTAAATTCTTATTTTTAATTATTACTAGTCGTCTTTACGACTTGCGTTGACTATACTCATTATATGTTTCTTTGTATTCTTTTAATTTTTTATTTATATAATATTAAAGTATAAATTATTATTTAGATTGAATGGTTAAATTATATTACACTTTATATATAAAGTAAATATTTTTTTTAGTTATATGTAAACGTACTTATTCATATAGTTTTTATTATATATTGGTTGCTTTTATTTTCCTTTTTTAAGGAAAAATCAAACTGATTTATAAACATCATTATATAGCTTCTATTATTCGTTTTATAATTAATTTACATGTTGTCTTCACTATAATCTCTTATAGTAAATAAATGTACGTTAACAATAAAATAAGAAAACAATCTAATAAATTAAATTAAATATTTATAAACAAAAATATATTTTTATTTTTTTACCAATCAAAATTATGAAAGCATTTTAAAAAATTATTAATAAAATTATATTCTTTAATAGAAATATGATTTGAATTATATAAGATATCAATACAATTAATTAATTAAATTCGAAATGTTTAAAAATAATATTTTTTATATTTTTTTTGGCTAACCAAATTAGAAAGTAATTTGTAATTAAATAAATTTCATCATACCATTTTTATATCAATTCTGAATCATCTAGATATATTTATTTAAAATAAATTCAAAAAAAAAAATTCAAATGCCTCGTGTACATATGTTATTTAAAATAAAAAATATTGAGGCTAAATTATAAAACCTAATAATAATAGTAATTAAAATTTATTAAATTATTATTAATAATTTTTATAATTTTATATAATAATATAATAAAATAACATATACTGGACACAATAGATAATAATAAGTAAAAATTTAAAAATTTAAAATTTTTAATTATTATATTTATTTATTTATTAAAAAAAGTAAAAAAAACATTCAATCAAATTTTATAAACTATTATATAATCTTTTTTAATATTAAAATTTTTAATTGGTTAGAACTAAGACTTATTTAGAATATTTTAAGATTTTACAAGGATAATATCGTGCAATAATCATTATTCTCATTTTTATATATAATATATACTATATCCTAATGACAAAGAAGCTTCTAGCATTTATTACATTAGCAATTTTTTAAAGTGACTTTTAGCAATGCTATTTAAGTTGTTCAAATAACACAGTGTTTAAACCTGTCCAATTTTTAATAAAATTAAGGACAGCGTTTGATGAAAAGTAACACTCGTATAATGTTTTAACTCTTAGCGTTTCCATGAAACTACTAAAATAACTAACCAGTTAACACTGCTAAAACATATATAGCTAAAAAAAAATTAATTTTAATCGATCAGGAAACCCATTATATGTTTTTTTTTTTTTTTTTTTTTTTTTTTTTTTTTTTTGAATCTAGGTAAGGAAATGTAATTAGGAATCAATGTGCTCTTTAACTTTTGCTGGAAAAAAAAAAAGATTTAAACAAATCCAATATGAAATGAACTATCCAAACTATATTATACACTATATTACAAAGTTAAATAATTTCACCTTATTTTCTCTTGTTTATTTATTCCTTCAACAACTTTTAATTTTAAATTAAAGCTTAATCTTTATTAATATTAATCCATGCAATACACAGATAAATATTTAATTTAATATGAATTGAACTATGAAAACTATGCCATTAGTGACTTTAACCTTTTTAACTATTTTATTCTATGCAAATATCAATTCATATTATTTATTTTCAAAGAATTTTACAAAAATTAAAACAAAAGGATTGAAATATTAAATATATATCTAGCTACGCAAAATTCCAATCCATAATTATAGTCTTAGAAATATTCCATCTATCGTTCATGCATTTTTCTTTTTCACTCGTTTCAAATCGTAGTTCTATTTTTTTTTTTTCGAATAGAGTAATCTTTTTTATTTATACCTTATTTTATTTGTTTGATTAGTTGTACATTTCAAAATTAAGATGCACATTAAATATGAGTAAAAAAAAAAGAAATAAACCTATAATTTTTTTATGCATTGCAATGCTCAATAGGTCGAATAAGACTACGGGTCACAAAACATGACTGCCTTTGCTTATGGAAAAAAAAAAAAAAAAAAAAAAAAAAAAAAAAAAAAAAAAAAAAAAAAAAAAAAAAAAAGCAAATAAGTGAATCTATTTTTTATAGGATAAAAGGAGTAGTTTTATATTGCACTCCCATTAATGCGGGCCAAGCTCAAATAGTTAGGGAAGCCAAAAAATAATTTTACTTATTTATGATGAATAGCAAAATTAAATTATTTTACATTAAAAATTGATATATTTTTACTTTGGGGCACGGCCCCCTTGGCCCTACCCTACGTCGCCCTTCATTTATAGTGTATCTTTATCAATGAACAGTTTATAATTATCATTAATCAAATTTTGAAATCAATAATTAATTGAAATCTTATTCCCAAAACCAGACAAGAGGAACAAAGCATCTGGTCAAGCCAGTCACGTCCTTCCAAGTAACGGCTACTTTATCTCTCTGTTGCCGTAAATACTAACCCCACCAATTCCAACGGTCAAATTTCCTCGCCCATCAATAACCAAAATCACTGCCCTCAGTCTCTCTAGTACCCGCTCTATATATCCCTCTCTTAATCTCTCCATCAACAACACTTAACATTTTTCATTTTTCTCAAGAAACATATTCTTTTCATTTTCACTTTCTCAAAAATGGCCAAGGTGCAGACTCTCTTTCTACTTGTTTTCATTGTTTTTACTGTTTTAAACACTTTCATGTTGGTTCAAGCAGACAATGCGCCTGCGCCTTCGCCTACAAAATCGACGCCGTCTCCTTCATCTTCTCCTTCTGTGAAATCTCCTACCGCTTCTCCCGCATCTTCTCCGATTAAATCTCCGGCTTCTTCACCCGCGTCTTCTCCGGCGAAATCTCCATCTAGTTCCAGTACTTCCTCATCCCCTTCAAAGTCTCCTTCAGTCAGTCCCCCCACACTATCCCCAACTGCTGCTACCCCTTCAAAGTCTCCTTCAGTCAGTCCCCCCACACCATCCCCAACTGCTGCTACCCCATCCCCAAGTATGTCGCCTCCAGTTATATCACCAACTACTCCACCCCAAAGTCTCCTTCAGTCAGTCCCCCCACACCATCCCCAACTGCTGCTACCCCATCCCCAAGTATGTCGCCTCCAGTTATATCACCAACTACTCCACCCCCGACGGTTTCCACTCCGACTACAACTCCGGTGGCCGCTCCGACTTCCGCTCCTGTCGCTAGCCCATCAGTATCGGAGGGTCCGGCTACTTCACCTACTCCAGAAGCATCAGCCAGCATTCCTTCCAGTTCTGCAACACCAGTAGAGGCACCAATTTTCCCTTCCAGTAGCAGCCCGCCACTTCCGACTCCCGCTAGTTTGTCGCCGGAATCTGCAGGAAGTCCGGCAGTGAACGATGAATCGGGTTCTATGTCTATGTATGAAGTTCGGGTCATTTTGAGTGGGCTATTGGGTATTGGACTCGGGGGTGCCTTGATTTTGTCAATTTAATTTTCCATATTATTACTCATTCATTGAATCATTTATTATATTTTATTTTTCTGTCATTAATTATTGGTTATTAATTTATTGTTATTAACCTTCATGTTCTTTTTTTTGTTTTAGTTACTGTTCGTAGAAGTTAATTAATGAGTACTTAATTTTCATTTCCATTTATAATTTTTTTCAATAAAAAGAACTTTTTGATTTCAATTTGGGACTATTATGCAAATTAAGGATGTATCATCACATGTTCCATAATACTTATTATATATGTGGTTTCAACGATTAATAAATGTTTTTTCTCTGTTTACCCCTTTATATGTAATTAATAATTATTACTTCAATTTAATAATTTTTTTTGAGAATTAATATTAAATTAATGGTAATATAGTCAATTTATTTAATAATTTCTTATAACTTAGATATATTTAATGATTTTCCTAAAAAACGTGAAATTTCAACATTATTAGATAAAATTTTATCATTTAATCAAATTACACTTTGCAAAGGGTTTGATTATTCAATCATTTTTGAGTAATTCAAATCGAGTTGATTAGGCTTAGGATAAAAAAGAAATAGTAATTAAAACTTATTTAGAAGGAATAAAATCTTCAATTGAAATTATAAATTTAATTTTGTTTCAAATATAGTTTTGAAACCAATTCTATAAAATTAAAAAACTTGGAAAAAATTGGAAATATTGATGAATTTTGAAATTCAATGGATGAATCTTATAATTAATTATTAATACGGTATATTGAATTTTTAGATTAATTTTATTTATAAGATTAAAATTTTGAATTAATTGATAATATTAAAATAATATGGCAACTTAAATGGAAGGCCAAATCAATATTAGCTCCTGAAAAAGCGATACTTCAAATCTTCAATATCTACTCTCTCATGTTTATCCATTTGGTGGATAACTATATCCACGTAGGATTTTGCATTTTCTATATTTAGTTATATTTCCTTTTTATGGCAAAATCCTATATTTCTTCATTTAATACAAATACCCCCAATTCTTAGAGTTGTTTTAATTAGTAATTATTCAGAAATAATAGAAGAGAAATTTCATCCATAAGATATAAGCTATTTAATTAAAAAAATCATAATCTTAAAAAACAACTAAACTTTATTTGTCAAAGGCATAATAATTTTTTATTTTTATATTGTTATTATATCTAAGAGATAAAAAATTATGCTATATATACCTAAAAAAAATTATGCTATATATATATATAAATAAATTAAAATAAATTAAACATAAAGATTAACTCTTTTTTCTTATATATCATATATATATTAAATAATAAATATTCAAAAAACCTATTAAAACGATTTGTATGATATGAGACACGAATATGAGATGCATAGCAAGAAATTTTAATTTTAATTTTAATTTTGTAAGTTTTAGATAATATAGCTTGGATTAATAACTTTAAACTATTTACTTTTAATAAAAAATATTTCTTAAAATTAAACTCTAATTATTAAAGAAAAATATTTTCTTTCAATTGGGGACGTAATTGCAAAAAAGAAAATATATGCAATAGAAATTGAAAGAACCTGAAAGTTAAAGAAGAAATTGTAAATGGTTAACGAGCAAATCAATCTACATAAACAATTATATGCCATCTCTCTTTCTGTGAGTCTCCCTCTCTACTAGAGAGAAGCAGAGGAGATCATTCCTCGTAGTAGAAAAATGGCCGGCAATGGAGGAGTTGCCCGGAGGTGCGCAGGAAGGAGAAGCTATGCGTTTAGGGAGATGAGCTTCCTCGAGCGGAGGAAAACGCGAATCAATCTTCGAAACGTTTCGATGATCCCTCTCTTTAAAAGGCCTCTCTTCTATCCTCGATGGCGATTGCTTAGTGGAAACTACCGCATTTTGAGGTCAGCTCTCATTTTCATTTTCCCTTTACTTATATCTGTGTTTGTTTTCCAAAAAAAAAGGAAAATTTCTAATCCCTTGTTTATCTTAGATTATTAGCTTGGTTTATGTGAGAACTGAGAAACAAAAAGGTCAAATTTAAAATTGATCGAGTCATTGTTCACTTTATGTGCTTATTTAATGAGAATTCTTTACTATTACACGTTAATTCTTTTGAGGAAATTAAAACATATGTAAAATGATATGGTAAAAGGACTTTCGATGGTGAAATGGTTCTTTTTAAGCTAGTCAAGTAGATAAGAAAGACATTAATGAATAGGAGCCAAATTCTCTATATTCAAATGGGGGCCTCTTAATTGCTCTCAGAAACATTCATTTTATCTTTGAATGCCCATCCAAATCCTTCTAAAATTGCATGGATTATATTTTTAGGACAATAAAGTTGCCAGGGAAACAATGTCTAATCATAACCAATTGAGATTCTAGCAAATTGTCAAATTTATGTAGGACTCTAGTGTTGTTCTAAATTTGTTCTTCTGGTTACATTTGCATGTAAATCTGATCCTGTATCAATAGGACACCTGTTGGTAGGATATCTATGAGAAAATCTCATGATCTACTTGTTTTGCTGCAGCATGGATGCTCGAGAGAAATCAAGATCCACAATATTGGAATCATCAAAGCAAAAGAGGGTCCCCATATATGTCATGATGCCTGTGGACACTTTCGGAATTGATTCATCTGGAAGTCCCAGGATCAGGAAGTAAGTTTTGCTATATTATATTTCTGGACATGCGCTCTTGTTCTTTTTTTTTTCCCCTATATCATGATTTCGATTTTTCTTGATGCATTGAGAGGCAATATCCGTTTAATGTGTTGACATTTTAGATGCTCTATCCGCCTAGAAACAGGAGGTCAAGATCAAACCATTTCCACTCCATGCTATTCAATATCTAAGTTGATTGTATTTCTAAACTTTGTTTTAAATAGCTATTGCACTGTCCAAATTCTAGTGATATTGTTATATACATATGCAGGTTTTGGAATATTAGTTATAGTTAGTAGCCTAATGCCACTTGTCATGTACTGCAAGTTCACATAAATTGCTCATAACTTCCATTTTTCTGTTTTAATATCTTCATTTTTATGATGTTTCAATTTATTGTTCATGAATTGAAACATTTTATATTTTGCTCTTTCCTGTTTCAGAATCAAGGCCTTAACTATATCTCTAAAAGCACTCAAGTTGGCAGGTGTCTATGGAATTGCAGTCGAGGTTTGGTGGGGAATTGTGGAGCGCTTTTCTCCTCTCGAATATAATTGGCTCCTTTATGAAGAGCTTTTCAGACTTGTATCTGAGTCAGGGCTAAAGTTGCATGTTTCCTTGTGTTTTCACTCAAACACACACCAGCCTACTGGAACCGGGGGTGTGAGTCTTCCATCGTGGATTCTAGAGGTTTGTCCCATTTTTTTTTATTGATTTTCTTTGAAGAAAAAAAGATAAAAAATGGTTCTTTTTCTGCATAACTGGAAATTCATCTGGGTAGTGGACCATCTTGACTGCACAATTATCCCAGTGAAATTATTATGGTGAAGTATAACAGTGTAAAGTATCTGCTATTTTTTTCCGGGATCACTAATGGCTGATGTGCTATATTTCAGTGTTTCATTGTTACACTTGATTGGCCATTTATATGTGAATCTTTACTAAATAAGAGGATATTGAAATACAAATGTTATTAGACTAGACCTCAAATGTATTCTGACAAGGTTAAAAAAAAAAAAAAAAAAATTGGAAGCTGAATGGCTGATGTGCTATATTTCAGTGTTTCATTGTTACACTTGATTGGCCATTTATATGTGAATCTTTACTAAATAAGAGGATATTGAAATACAAATGTTATTAGACTAGACCTCAAATGTATTCTGACAAGGTTAAAAAAAAAAAAAAAAAAATTGGAAGCTGATGCATTTGTCCTTTCTTCAGATTGGTAATCATAACAAGGATATATATTACCGAGACAAAAATGGATTCTCCAATGATGATTATCTTACACTGGGAGTGGACCAACTTCCTCTGTTTCATGGTCGGACTGCCCTCCAATGTTACGAGGACTTCATGCTTAGTTTTGTTAACAAATTTGACTCGTTTATTGGAAGTGTGATTGAAGAAATAAGTGTCGGTCTCGGTCCTTCTGGGGAACTTAGGTACTAAAAATCTATCATTTTATGACCAAATGTGATTCAGTTGTAACATTTTGTTATGGATGCCTCATGCAGGTATCCTGCACATCCTCCTGGAAATGGTAGATGGAAATTCCCTGGAATTGGTGAATTCCAATGTTATGACAAATACATGTATGTTAAGCCTTTAATTCATCCTCTTTTGTTGACCATTGTTTTCCAAAATTACAAGTATTTTGCTCTCAGGATGGAGGATTTAAAGATGGCTGCATGTCAGGAAGGAAAGCCTCAATGGGGAGATAGAGGACCTCAAAATGCTGGTTGTTACAACAGTCTTCCACCGGGTGTTCCCTTTTTCGAAGATGGACAGGAGAGCTTTCTATCTGACTATGGCTGTTTCTTCCTTGTACGTATCCTAGCTCAGTTTAATTTGTGTGAGGCTCCCTACATATTTGATGGTTGTTAAGCATTTGTGACCGCCTCTGGTGCTTAATTTATTTATTAAAATGCAAAATTATAATGAATTATTCATATCAATAATCAATGACATGAAAAGAGAAATTCTACTTGCCAATGAACCAAAACCTTTCTCTTTTATCCAGATTTAGACTTCCCATCATAGATCAGGCACAAAATCAAACAATATGGGAGGAGGGGGCCATGAATAAAACATAATGGGAAAAAAGGAATTTCATGGAGCTCCCGACTTGTTTGAGGCTAATGCTTAGTTAAACTTGTTTGAGGCAAATTAAACTGTGTTTTGTTTGTTGATAATTAAATGATGGATACATAAAATATGCAGCTTTGCACTGGAGATAGATTCTCAATGTTTTTGTTCTTAAGCTTCATGGATGCTGATCAACGATTGCATGAAAGCAACTAATTCATTTTCAATGACAATTAAACAATTTCGCAATTATTGAGTCATAAGATAAGCAAATTTGATGATACAATTATTACTCTGCAGGAATGGTACAGTGGTAAGCTTATTGGTCATGCAGATGCTGTTCTGGCAAAGGCAGCTAATATTTTGAAGAATTATCAAGAAAACAAGCAAACCCCAGTAATATTGGTTGCTAAAATTGGTGGAATATATTGGTGGTACCAGACAATATCACACCCTGCGGAACTTACAGCTGGCTACTACAACACTGCTCTAAGGGATGGTTATGATCCTCTTGCTTCTGTGTTGTCTCGTCATGGAGCTGCCTTGCACATATCGTAAGCTTTGACATTTCTGCATCCTGATTTAATACAATATGTGTAGAAGCTTAATTTTTTTTTGCCAATACTTTGGTTTATTGATGGAAGTTAGCTTTCTGGTGTTGGATTCATGGATTGCTCCGTACAAAATTTCAATCTGAAACTTGGTCTTGTAGATCAATTTTTTAGCCTTTCTTATGGTAGATTGGCGAATCAAAAGTAAAATGTAGGATTATGGCTGAGTCACAAAGGATAAAATAGGTTGTCTAGTTAAAACATAACATCAAACTAATTGAAGTGCATTCTGAGACTGTTAAGTCTGTTAGTGCCATGCAGACATGATACTAATGCATTATGTTTGTGGATGTCCTAACACGATGTTTGCTTGGATGCTGTGGCCTATGTTGGATACACCTTCCAAGCATGTTCATATGTTTGATTATTTTGTTGTAGCTGCTTAGAAATGATGGATAGTGAGACCCCACCAGCCTATCGTTGCAGCCCTGAAGGATTAGTCCAGCAGGTGAGGTTCTTTCTCATTGAATAAAATCTGCTTTCCTTCTTTGGTTGTGGAATTTGAAGGCTTTTGAATTGTCTAAAATTCCTATATGTAACACTCGTATGCAAATTTTGTATTACTATCTAATTGATCAAGTGGAATTATACGACGACCACTTAAAAATTAAACGTACAATGTAAAGTTATACAGTAAGGGGATCATGTCATGTTTCTGGCAGCGAAAGGATGTTACTTCTGTGGATCTCCTTGTATTTCATATATGGGCATCTCTTTGGAATTTTTCTCAACCCGTATCTAAAACCTTCATTGATCTGGTAAAAAATTCTTACTGTTTTCCCACATTTTGAACAACAACAGCTAAGCCTTAGTCCCAAACTAGTTGAGGCAGCTATATGAATCCTTTGTTCCAATATCCACTATGTCATAATAATAACAATTAAAAAGCAAAGCGTAAATTGTGAAAATGTAAATTCACAATAAAAAATTAAAAAGATAGAAAGAAATTCAGTTAAGATGTCATAGTTTCTCTCTAAGGCGTTCCCGTATTCCCTTCAGTTCTAATTTGAAGTTTCTTTAAACTTCTTGTTTAATTGAATTCAAAGCTAATGCAGTTAGCTTTGCCAGGGGTTATAGATTTCTGTTCTACATGATAAAATAATGACAGCCATATTGACTTAAGGCCGTTGCGTTTAAATGAATATAGATGTATCTCCTGCCAAACAATTCTATGTAATTTCATTTTCTGGTTTCTAGGTGCATCAAGAATTATTCTTCCTAATTGCAAAGCATATGTAATGTTTAGGACGCAAACATCGTCCCGTGAAGATTTTGGAACATATTATATATTGCACATTGGGAAACATTTTTGAGATAGTATTGTTCCAGAACCAAGTCATATGAATTTTTTCATGCCAGTTATGTGATTCATTCGTTTTTTCATGTCTGATATGTATGCATTTCTCCTTCCATTGATTTGATTTGATTTCATTTCATCCAGATAAGGACCATTTCAAAGAAAAGGATACATTTGATTGGAAGAAATTCCAGTGAACGTTTTGATCAGGTAAATTTGATTCTGGTCTGGACAAAAACTTCTCTGCTATCTTGAGCTCCATCCTCCCACTTGTTTAAGTCCTTTGGGTAAGTCATAATATCGTAAAAACAAATTGAGGTGCTTTGGAAATCATTTTAAAGAGAGAAAATTGACAAAATCTGCCTGTGGTGGAAATTCTAGTTACCTTCTGTTTGATCATAGCCAGAGTAATTGTACTTGTTGTATTCAGGTAATACCAAATCAGTTCCATTTTTATTTCATCATAACCATTTTTATTTCATCAAAGCTATGATGAATAATACATACCAAGATTTAGAGCAGAGGGAACTAAGAGTTGCATTATCAGAGGAATAGTTTGCATAAGAATTTCAGAGGAACTAAATAATTCTGTGAGTTTTGTTGTGCTTTGTCATGATAATATTGGTTTTTGACATATGAGACCATTATTCCACTGACTTGCTTTGTGATATATTGACAATTCCAAAGTCAAGTTTCTTATTAAGATCTTGTGTTTTCTATCTACCCGACTAAAGAGTTGTTGCAAAATCATGGTGATAAAACATTGTAATCAGTGGAATATTGCTAATATTCCAGGATGTTTTATAGAGTCACAGCACAAATTCTACATTTGTGAAAGAGGAAGCTGTATCTCAAATTTAAACTAGAAGATGAGAAAGAACTCCAACAATTCAGTTTTAGTTTGGATTCTGGAAAAGTTAGAAACTGCAAGTTCGTTTTGATTTGATGTGGATAAAGGGATTACTTGATCTCCTAGGTTCTTGATCTCTGTGGCTCTGATGTAGCTGCGGTACCATACACCTTTTTTGCGTGTCAGTGATTTGTGTCCTTGTCCCCCTCATTTGTCTTAACTGCCATTTGTGTTAAATTAGTTTTATTACACTGAGGTCAAGCTTCTTGCATTTATCGTTTGTACATATATTTCTTTCTGATTTCATGAACATAAACCTGTGCATGTGTGTGTGTGTGTGTATGCTTGTATTCCCTTGTTCTGTCTTTTTATTCTCTCCTAACATAATCCATGCCGACATTCTTTTTCTTGCAGAAAGGACTAAAGCAAATACTTGCAAACTGTTATCATCCACAGGCAGAAGCTGTAAGGTCATTTACTTATTTCAGAATGAATGATAAGATTTTTGCAGTTGAAAACTGGAATAATTTTGTCCCCTTTGTTAGAAAGATGAGCACAGAATTGTAAGTTACTTTTGAACCTGTTCTAACCATGGATTTTTACTGAACTTTAAAGAATAGTAGTGTCTCTGCCCCTATAATTTTTTTACTGACATAGGGGATTGTAAAATCTATGTAAATTCTTAGTGATTACTCATTTATTGTTACATCTTGATTGTCTCTCTTTGAGACATGAAATTGATAGCAATGGGATTTTAGAACAGCTAAAAACTTGTTTCAAATAACAAAGAGAGAAAAGAAAATTTAAAAAATGAAAGCAGATGTTCAGCTGGCTTGTGTCTAACATTGTTTGCCCCTCTGACAATAAAGAGCTCCAGCAGAAGGAGAGGAGTTACTTAATAAAATTGAGGCTGGTCTTGCTACCATGCTTGATGCTTTTATGTAGCTTTCAGGACCTTTTTCACCAGAAGGTGTAAAGAAAGCGCCATTGAGCATTATATCTCCATCTGATCTCCAATTCCAACTCTTCCACTGCTCGTCTTCTGGTAAGATTTCACGCTTAGTCACCTGAATGAGAAGTAAATCTTTAGAAACTCAAGGGAGCTGAGGTTGTACTCTCAGCTAAGAATTGAGGATCAGTCTGACCAGATGCTGGTCAAAGTTTGTGTATCTTGGTCCAACCCAACCTACCAAGTTGAAAACTACTTAGTTTATGAACTATTGACGCGTGCAAATGATTTGACATCATCATTCAACCAACATGGTGCAGTCTCACAGTTTTATCTTTTATGAATGAGCTGTGCTCATCCAAATTGCACTGACATAATAAGGTCATTTGTTGGCAATAGTTTAGTTAAGCAATTGATTGTTATCAGCAGCTAATTTAATTTGTTAAATTTGATATTTGGCATGTTGTTTGGTGCTTCAAAGATTTTGAATCAGCGATTATTTAGTTATGCTTGGTTACAGAAACTTGCCTCCTTTGTTCCTTTATTATCTGATGCAATAAAGACATTCCCTTGGCTATTGATTGTTGGATTGGCACTTCCACCAATTGCATACATCTCCCACCCAGTGTATATGTTATTTACAATGTGAAAATATCCATGTCTGCACCTGCAATAGTTTTGATACACGATGATAATGTTCTCCGCAAATACTTCTAGAAATAGGGATTAGTAACAAAATGATGATAAATGTTGCTTTTTACTGTTTGCGTTTACCTAGGCATTCTTTGAGTCAGACCTTCACCGAAATAGTTGAAGGCAATAGTGACTTGCATAATCTTGTCAGCAAGGAAATCATCACTATGACCCATGAGCATAGCTTCATTATGATGGAACATGTAGTTGTTTGAGATTGTTATAGATGTTGAGCCATATACAACATCGATTAGTCCATCACGGCAGTTAGCTAATGTACAATGATCAATCCACACTTCCCTAGATCCAAATATCGATATGCCGTCACCATCTGAGATGCCTCTAAAGCCGGCATGGTTTGGTGTGTCCCTCACCACTGTATTTCCACCTGGTACACAGTCCCGTATGTAGATGTTATGTATGATAATGTTGCTCACATTTTGAATAGTTATGCATGGTCCACCTGCTATCTGGATGTTATACCCTCTTCCATCTATTGTCTTGTATGAGTTCATCATAAGTTCTTCATTTAGCTCGATGACCATGTCTTTATCAAAGATGATCCATAGGGGTTCTTCTTGGATGACACCATAGCGAAGTGTGCCAGGAATTGGATTTATAGGATCATCATTTTCAGAATCTGTGACCACATAAAACTCACCATCTCTTCCACCTATTGCATTGCGTCCAAACCCAATTGCGCAGTCAGCCAGCATTTTCCGGTTACTTTCCCATTCTGAGTCACATCTCCAACAATCGTCGATTGGGTTACCGTTTCTGCATGACTCTTGATCTAGCTTCCTTTTTGTTGAGCTCCTGTGCAAATAACATGCAACAACTCTTCAAAATATGCAGAAAGAAAACAAAAACATTTTTACCGGAAATTGAAACTATATATATGTTCTCACCACTCAGTTGCTTCTGATATTTGGGTCAGTGTATGCTTACAAGATATGGAAGTAGCAAGTGAGATAATGGCTATAGAGATTAGAAATGAGGCTGACATTTTATATCAGGATTGAGGCAGGAGTTTAACACTTTTAACTACATGGATTGAATGGCTTTGAGCAGCTAACTAGAGCATGAATATATTGATCTAAAGATTTGAACTTTTATATAGACTTGCATGAACTGATAAAAGTGGATAACCAGAAGGGGGAATCATTAATTGACTGCATATAGAAGAAAACGAAAGTTCTCTTAAACTAGGAATGTGGAGACCTAGTATTTAATTTTAAACTACTTCTCATCTTTGGTTATCGGAACTAAGAAATGTTTTGAGCTTAGAATTCCGGTGGGGGAGTAAATGACACCGAAAAAACTGGTCGATTTCATGCCTGCTGTGAATTTTAACATTCCTGTGTTAGACTGAATCTAAAGACAGAAATTTTTTTTTTTTTTTTTGGCTAAAAACAAGAAAAGGAAATTGAATGGATTGTAAATCTCAAGAGTGAAGTAGAGTACTGGCTTTACTGCTTAGCTGTCATAGTAGACTTGCAATTAGGGACCGAATAGTTAGCTACTGATCTACTATTTGTTAGGTTGGTCTTTTTTGGTCCCCTACGGATTTTGAACCACCGAATGTTTAAGACAGCCACAAAATTGACTCAACGTGGTCATAATAACTGAAAAAACCTTAATTAACTGTTTAACTCACCTGGGTACTAGATAATTAATCCAGCTAAAATTACGATTGACCATTTGGGCCTTTTGACTTTATTTGCTATTCTAATCCAAATATAGTGTTTGGACTATTTTAGTTTTTACTTTATTTGGGCTAAGCCCGTTATACAAAGCTCTCGTGTCCTTTTTCAGGAAAAAGATGGCGGTACCATCAACTTCTATTACGACGTCGTATGATGTTAGATCTTTTCTGGATAAAAGACTACGAAGTACCTTAAGCTTAGCTTCTGCTCATACCTCAGCTATGTCCGCTTTTCGCTCCTCGCGTATCCCTCTTTCTCTCTTGCACAAGCCCTTTTTTATTCCTCTCAAAGACCCTTCTATTCTCTCTCTAGCTAGCCAAATCAAAACCCACAAGACCCTATCCAATAAACCTAAAAGACCCATCGTTACAGCCAAATCCAACGGCGACGACTCAGCAGATGCCGGCGACCGGATAATCTCTGCCGTCTGCTACTTCTACCCATTCTTTGATGGAATCCAGTATGGTAAATACGTCATCACTCAGTTCTCTCCCATTCAAACCCTTATTCAACCCTTGGTTCCTGCAATAAGAGTCTTCAAGAGCTTTCCTCTAAATGGGTTTTTGGTTTTTTTAACTCTCTATTTCGTTGTTGTGAGGAATCCCAATTTCAGTAGGTACGTAAGGTTTAATACTATGCAGGCTATTGTGCTAGATGTGCTTTTGATATTCCCTGATTTGTTAGAGAGGAGTTTTAACCCAAGAGATGGGTTAGGGTTGGATTTGATGATGAGTTTGGATAGTACTGTGTTTTTATATCTTTTGGTTTGTTTGATTTATGGGTCTAGTGCTTGTTTGCTGGGACAAGTACCTAGGTTGCCCATTGTTGCTGAGGCTGCGGATAGGCAAGTTCTTTGAATTGAACAAATACCCAATTTAGGATGGTGTTGTTGATTGCTGCTGTAATAAATTTGTCATTTTGGTAAAGGAAGATAAAGTAGTAATGTTTATCATACATCAGGATATGATATTTTAAGTAATTTTGCTGGCATCGTTTCTGTTGATTGGCAATTTCTGTGTTGCAACAGGAGATTAGAAATGGCAACCTTAATGAGTTTGGTTGATTGGCAATTTTTCTGCGCGGAACATGAAATGGGCTAAATTCATGTTGGGCCGCATCCATGAGCTTGAACTAGGTCTTGAGCTTATCATTGGGCCTCGACATAAATCTGACCCAAAGCTAATCAACGTTAAGTATTTTGTAGAGAATAGTGTCTCTCAAAAACACCCATCTAAGAGAAATACTTCCTCATGGATTTGGTGGGCTGTAGTTTCTTAAGGAGTAAGGACATATCTCTTTCAAAGAAAATATGGAAATAGACAAAGGTGTCCCCCACTCCCCCTATTTTTGCCACTTAAAATGGAACTTCCATATAAAACTCTACAGCATTTAGTAATGGTAACACCTACCCACCGACTTCAAAAAGGATACACATGATGCCACAAAATCACCAATGTACATCCAGAACATACATGACCAAAATATTAATGCATTGGTCGTGGTTGTCCTTCTCAACATTTCTTAACGTGATTATTCACTAATCAAGAATGATTAGTATTGCAGGTCAAGACATAATTTAGTGGCAGGCGCATGGACGACCTGAAAATATATTAAAATAAAATAATTTGGTTAGCATTTCACACATCAACAACAGAGTAGATGTATGTTCATTGAGGCCATAAACCAGAAACTGTAGGAACATATTGACAAATCCAAAGTGGGGAACAACCCAAACCCATCTAAGTTTTCCCCGCCAATTATGGCTACCTAATTCTCATTTAGTAATCAAAATCAAAAGAACAGCTCACATATGATATATGCATACGAGTTCATTGTCAACAAAATCGTTTTAAAATCCTGAAATGGGGAAAATAATTGGATACAGGTATCTTTAATTGACTTCTGTATTCATCTATGAAATTACTCTCTCTTGACGTTATGTTCATGAATTTACTCTAATGATGGAGGAAAATAATAAGGAAATCAAATACACGAAGTGCAGAAAATTGTCGGTGGCGGATTCTGCTAAACACTATCCATCCACGTGGCATACTCTCCCTTGTCTCAGACAGACCAGCAGTTTTTTTGGGACACACACCACAGCGTTGCCGTTGGACCCACCGTTCTTTTTTCAGTGAACCACGAGCTTGGGTCCCTCATTGTCTTATTAACTTCCCATCCTTAAAATAAGCTTCCAAAATTACTAGAATACCCAAGGCTTCGAACGTTTTAGGACCTGATAAAGGTGTCAGTAAGTAGGACTACATATATTGATATATAGGATTAAAAATGGAGCCTTGTGTAATATTGTATAATATCCTTAATGTGATTGACGGTCAACAATTTGACAGTTAATGATTGGTGATTTTATGATAGATTCTGTGTAACCATAAGCACAGATGCACATTACCAATAAAATCTTTAATGGGACCCATAAGGATGGAAGACTTTTTTTTCCACTGTGCGATGATGCACTGTAAAATCAAAAGGGATGATCAGATATATGCGATACTTGTTGTGATATGGTGAGGGCATCTTTAGTACCTTAATTTGTAATCAAGTGATCCCAAAAGCACGTGACATGTTTCTTCTTCTTCTACTTCGTCTTCTTAGGTCTTCTAAGCTTTATTTTTGCTTGCACACCCTTCTTTGCCGCTTACACTTATTGCATCTCTTTTTTTTTTTTTTTTTTTTCTTCTTCTTCTATCTTTCGTCTTCTTAGTCTTCTAAGCTTTAATTTTTCGCTTGCACACTCCTTCTTTGCCGCTTACACTATATTGCATCTCTTTTTTTTTTTTTTTTTTATTCTCCAATTTTGGCCTTTCTGTCATTTAATAATACTTCCGGTGTTCCTAATAATAATATTGACTCAAAAGTTACAAAAGAAAATATTTCTCACTTCCATTTTAATAAATAGGGGTGATAATAGAGTGGATATTTTTTTAATATTTATCTTATTATTACTATTTTAATTACTTATAAACGAGTTTGGAATTATCAGGAATAGTATCACCTATGAATTTAGGTGAGTATGTATTTGATATTCGCTATATTAAATAAATTTAGTCACAAGCATCTTATTTATTGTAGGTAAAAAAATATTCCATCCGTTTCATTTTGTTTGTATGGTTTGATAAAATACGCATATTAAAAATTTAGTCAACAAAAATTATTTTGCTTCTTTTTATCTTTAATTCATTAAGATATTAATAAAAGTCTTTTAATAATTATAATAAAAGATATTATAAAAAAAATAATTGTTTACATATCTAAATTTATAAATCTTGCAAAGATTTTGGAAAATTCAAAAAAAAAAAAATAATAAGTAAACAAAATGGAACAGATGGAGTATATATTAAATAAATTGCAATGACTATTGAAATTCTACGTGTTGCTGAGTAAAAAAATGTAAATTTAAATGGCATTAAAATAGGATCATTAATAGACTTGAATGTGAGTAGTTCAAAATTAACGGGCGTTCTCTGTTTTTTTTGTTTCTTATAAGATTATAATGTTTTTATATATGAAAACAAAAGCATGATTTGCATATGACTACATTAATTAATGACATGTACAATGTACAAAATTATATATTACTATATTTTTTTTACCCAAGGGAGAAAACAAAAACCTAAATATATTTTTCACTAAAAAAAGAACCTATATATATATATATATATTGGTTTTTGAACTAAACCCCGTTCTACAAGCATGTGCCAAGTCAGTTTTTAATATATTAAGCACAAACACACATGCAATGTTTGGCCTACCAAATTTATAGGGGGGTCGTTATAGTCAAAAGGACTGCTTCATTAAAATAAAGTAAATTATTTATTTATATGAAAAATAAAATAATTAAATCAATCAACAAGGAAGATCATCATATAATTTCAATTAACATTATGTAAAATATGATTTAATAACCTTTTACTTTGCTAAGTATATATCTTAATATTGAATTGCCAAATGAGAAAATATTTTCCCAATCAATTATAGTTGGTTGGTAGTAATATAATATATAATTATATATAATATATAATATAATAGGAATGTTTTCTTCTACTCAAAATCACTTCGTTAGTAAGAATTATAACCTTCACTTATAAGTTTTGGACTTTTGATAATTACAAATAAAAAAAAAAGAAGATTGATATTAGTAAAGCTCCAATTATATTGAAGAAAAAAAAAAAAAAAAGACTTTGATATTAGTAAAGCTCCATTATATTGAATCTTGTTATAAAGTTCATTGCTCTTTTTAATTATCACAGGTTTAATTTCCACTAAACCCCCCTTATTAATGGATAATTTTATTAACATGCCACTAACCAAAGCTAATTTCCCATTGGTTGTAAAAATTCAAAATTTCAAAACAAGAAATGAACATGAAAAAGAGCAAATTCCAAAATTATTTTTATTTACCAGAAATTTGCTTTTTCGGATCAATATAAAATTTAAAAAGAAAGTTAAATTAATAATAAATAATTATATATATATATATGAAAAGTCAATTAATATCTCATTTTCTTATGCGATCCGCTATTACTGGTTAAATTTTACCGACGGAGAGATTAATAAAACATATTAACTATTTAAATTAGTAATTTTTTTTTTTATTTTCATACATATTTTTATGATCATGCTAAGAGAGATATATTCATTTCTTTGTTAATAAAATTAGTCTGGGATTCAGTATGCTTTCGTTTGTGCATATATTTGTCCGTTGAATTAGAGTGTTTTTTTCTTTTTTTTTTTTCAGAAATTTTACTAAAATATTTAATACAGTAATAGTAATTAAAAGAGTTTAATGTTTAATTAAAGAATAATTTTTTTTCTCTAAATTTCTACGAATCAAAATTGGCCAGCTAACAGAAAATAAACAAATGGCTTAACCTGTAAATTACGTAAAATCCAAGTCCATTTCCAACAATTCTCACTCTTAAGATCTCTCTGGTCTCTTCGCTCAACTCCCTCACTCTTACAACTCTCTAACATCACTGTCTTCTTCTTTCTACCACTGTACACTAAACACTCTATCTCTAAAACAGAACAGCCACAATGCGGCTTCCTACGGTGCTCTCTCTGCTACTGCTGCTCTCCTCCGCCACCACCTTCACTAACGCACACAACGTTACGCGCCTGCTTGCCAAGCACCCATCTTTATCCACTTTCAACCACTACCTAACCATTACCCACCTGGCCGGCGAGATCAACCGCCGTACAACCATCACTGTCTGTGCCGTAGACAACGCAGCCATGTCAGAGCTTCTCTCCAAACACCCTTCCATTTACACCATCAAGAACATTCTCTCCCTCCATGTTCTTTTAGACTACTTTGGCGCCAAAAAGCTCCATCAGATAACCAACGGCACAGCACTGGCAGCCACCATGTTTCAGGCCACGGGATCTGCCCCGGGATCATCTGGGTTTGTTAACATCACTGACATTAAGGGAGGGAAGGTGGCATTCGGGCCGGAGGATAACGATGGGAAACTCGGTGTGTACTTTGTGAAATCTGTAGAGGAAGTTCCTTATAACATTTCGATTATACAGATCAGCAAGATTTTGCCGTCCGACGTGGCGGAGGCTCCAACACCGGAACCAAGCCAGATGAACTTGACTGACATAATGTCGGCTCATGGGTGTAAAGTTTTCGCCGATACTCTGTTGGCAAATCCTGAAGCTGCAAAAACATATCAGGTAATTAAACAGCTAATCAGTATTGGACAATTAAATTAGTGTTTTTATTTGATTGACGGATCTATACTTCTGCATTCTTTACGGGATCTGCTCTTCACAATCAATCAGTAAAGAAAGCATGGATCTTGTTTAAATTTTTTGCTAAATATAGTAACATAAATTGCTAGAAAAGATTATTAATTAAGCTGGATGCTGATTGTTTTTCCTTAATTCTGTGTTAGAGAAAAGACAATACTCCAAATATTAATGGTCTGTAATTGATAAAAGAAAAAAGAATGTAATTTTGAATTTTGAAGATGATCCTAAAAATTCAAAAGGCAGCTAATTGGGATGGGTGCCATTACTCCACATGGAAGCAAAAATGGGGAGCAGAGTAGCAGATTTTGCTGGATAGAACTGGCCATAAAAGAAGACAGAATTATACGCTGAATTATTAAAGCACTTGTTCATATTGTTCATTTTCAGGTGTGGTTGAAGGGGAGAAAATATGATATTAATCACAAAAGTTTGTATGAGTTATTGTTTCCCCTGCATATGCCATCTTATACAACAAATGTGATGTCTAGGGCGATGGAAATGGAGATTCTAGGTTGAAGCTTGGAGCTATAGTAGTAAATGAGCTATCTGAATGCAGATTAGATTTAGAAAACAAGTTATTTTTGAAAATGAACTGTTTATGAATTTTGAATGATATCACTTTCAGGACAATGTTGATGGAGGATTGACAGTGTTTTGCCCTCTTGATGATCCATTCAAAGCCTTTTTACCTAAATTCAAGAACTTAACAGCAGCAGGCAAGACATCATTCCTCGAATTCTTTGGTGTGCCTATCTATCAATCGTTATCGATGTTAAAATCCAACAATGGTCTAATGAACACTCTAGCCACTGATGGGGCAAGCAAGTTTGATTTTACTGTGCAAAATGATGGCGAGGAAGTGACCTTGAAGACAAAAAGTACCACAGCAAAAATAGTTGGGACTTTGATAGATGAGCAGCCGCTTGCTATATATACAATCAACAAGGTCTTGTTGCCTAAGGAGCTGTTCAAGGCAGAAGCACCAACCCCTGCTCCAGCTCCCGCCCCTGAGGAAGCAGCAGATGCACCAAAATCTAGCAAGGACTTGACTTCAGCTCCATCAGACTCACCGGCAGATGCACCGGCTGATGACGACGCAGCAGATGACACAGCTGATGGTAATTCTGGTGTGAGATTTAATGGAGGAAGACTTGTTGCCATGACTTTAAGTTTGTGTTTAGGGCTTTTGATGCTATAAGTTCTCTTTGATTTTCCTTTTTACCTAGTTTGTGGGGAATAAGTGAGGCTCTTAATGGGCTAATTTATTACTCATTGAGAATGTGCTTAATTTTTTTTCTTTCTTTATTATTTTTAGGGTGTGGTATTTTTATTTTCCTTTGTATTACACAGGATTTCAGAGGGTTGTGATTTGTATTTTGTCTTAGATGCTGTAGATCTATTAATGATACACACTGTTATTGTCACTAATGAGGAAGATTTTGGCATAGTAATATAAAACTATTTGTGTGCAATCTCTAGTTGCTTTGATTTGCCCTCCAACCTTCATTTTTTGAGTATTATGATTTTTTAACTTCATATTTTAATATTAGAACTAAAAATTTTTTTACATTCATCAGGAGATTCAACGGGGTTAGTTCTCCTCATATCTCACTAAATTATCTCGCTAAATTTATAAAAGTTATTATAATTGATAGAATTCGAACTTGAAATTAAAAAGATCAATCAAATCACACACACCAATTGACTTTCCGATTGCAATAACGCAGTTTTCACACTCCAGAGTCTCGTTCTTCGCAAGCTAAAAGTTGTATTTGCATAATGGTCTGTCGTTGGATGACCATGAAATAACACAATCAGTGTATGGCAGGAGGACGAAAATGCAAACTATTACAAAATAAAATGACAAGTGAGTGAAGCAGAATAACTCAGTAATGAGAATCATAATTCTATTAATTTACTAATCAAAATTATCTTTTCCATGAAATAATTAATTGGACGATTTTATAACCTCCCATTTCAGAGATTAATTTTATCACACAAAAAAACTGACCAAGATGGATTTTCACTTGATACATTGTAAAGCTACTCTCTTTCTTGCAACTATTCCCTTTCAGATACGACAAATAGTTGCACTTATTTTTCGCAGCAAAATGTGATTCAACAACCGTAACATCTTTCTGTGCCCAAGTTCATCGAATTTAACAGTTCAAATGGATAAGTCTTCTATCCTCGGAGGTCATAGTCTAATTTAAATACAGAAATACTTTGTCGTTTAGCTAGGATATGACACCACCAAATTACGGTTTAGGATCCAATGCTTGTCGTTTAGTTAGGTGTATGAGACGAGCAAATTAGGATTCAAGTGAAAAATATTAAACTAATCCCCACTTAAAAGAAGAAAAAAAAAAGAAAGTATACAATGCCATGTGGATATTGATACTAGGATCTTTCTACTACTTGCCACCCGCCTACAAGCCCTTTGTCTCTCATAACCTATCACCAATTCATCATACCCTCTCTCTGTGTTCTCTCGCCATCAATGCACACCCTAGAATTCTACGGCACATTCTATGCTAAATTGCAGAGACAAGGCACTTACCCATCCAGCAATCAGTTCTCTATATATACACCAAAAACTAAAATCTAAGACTAAATAATAATAATAATAACAAGAAAGTAGCAGTACAGTAAATGGCGAATCTACTTTACTAATCAAAATCAGATAGTTTATACGTACAACACGATAATTGGATAACTGTTTAATATGTAAAACACTTAAAAACCATAATTTTAAACCTGGATAGTGCAACTTGGAAAAAATAAAGTATATGAACCTAGAGCAGAACAGCAATTGAGAGTAGCGAAAACATAACTGAAATGAAATAAAAAGAGGAAAGGGAAGCAGAATAGCTAATGGGCTGATATCCTAAAGGATAAGGAGGGGGCTGATATCCAAAAGCATAAGGAGCTGGAGGGGAATAAGGACAGCACTGAACTGGATTTTGTGTGCAGTTGACTTGAGATGGTGGACTTCCATATGAAAGTGGTGGTGGCGGTGCTCCATATATTGGATACTCAGAAAGTGGTGGTGGAGGAGCAAGAGGATGGCACGGATATTGACAAAACGTACTTGGTGAAGGCAAAACATCACTGGAAAGTTTTCTCAATTCAGCATACTCAAAGACTGAAAGCCAAAGTGATAAAAGGAAAGCAAAATTTTTTGGTAGCATATTTTTCTTTCCAGACCACACTTAATTTTAATGGGGAAGCAGAAATATAGTTATTATCTAAAGAATTGAAGAACTGACAATAGGTTAGGGAGTTGCATTTATTGCTATCCCTCCATAGATATAATAACAGGCTCTCTAATGTGGTTTGCATACATCATCATTTTCTTCTGTGCGTTGGACTTTGTGCCGCATGGCAGACCACCTGTCATGTTTATGTAGAGGTGATCTACAAGCATAACATATATGGACAAATCCACAGTCTTAGACAAGTGATAATAGTTTAGGGAGTTGCAGAAACTGCTACACCTCCAAAGAGACTTCTATAATAATGGGCTCTCTGATGTAGCTTGCATATTTCATCATTTTCTTCTGTGCTTCGGATTTTGCCATATGGCAGACCACCTGTCATGTTGATATAGATGTGGTCTACAAGATTAACATATTTGACAAATCCACAGGCACCGAAAAGTGGCAATATATGCATAGAATTTGAAGCATACATATATTCGTGTGAATCATGAATAAGTATGCATATTCATAACCGACAGATACCCAATGTGCAGTCAAATGTCAATCTTCATTAGTTGAAAATTTTTTCTTGCACACCAATTTCACCATGGAATAAAACGCTATCTAAAACTGACCACAGTTGAATGTCAGAGAAATCTTCCAAAACAAATGATTGTGGAATGTAAATACTTATGCGATGCCCAGATAGAATAAAGAAAACAAAGGAGAAAAAGGTAAAACAAGTACACTTACACTGAAATGATATGGATAGATGTCAAGATGCTCTTCAACAACATAAGGAAAAAAAGGTAAAGTAAATAAATAAAAAGAAAGTTGATTAAGCACTTCCGACCAAAGAATATAACCTTCTTTCATTACATGAACAATTTTTTTTCAAAAGAAGGGCACATCATTCCCAACAGGCTACATAACGAACTTATTTCCTTGTATTGCTATTCTATAGTAAGCTGTGCAAAAAATGTAACCATTCAGGCAGTTATTTCTACACGTCTCCCATTTCATTTCCAGGATATTGTCAATCTTAACATCAAAATTAGTAACCTTGGAATTTGTCAATCGAGGCGTGATAATTCTCTTATTAACGTGTGACAAGATGATCAGTTTTAAACATATCAGTAAATGAAATAATATAGTTTTATACAACAGATGGTACAATGATACGTACCTGTTTTCTATTGGTGATCAGCAGAAATTGACTGCTTCCAATCTCGAACGTTTGAATACAAGTAAATTATCCTGTCATTAACAGTTGACGCTATAGGCAGCGGAGAAAATCCAGCATAATCTCTGTCCACCTTTGCCAAGCATAAGTCCACGGTATAATAGAAAAGTCCAAAATTCTGGGCAGAAGGTTGAGCTGCATATTCCTCAAATGGCATCCACTATGGCAAAAATTGACATCTCAATCAGTTGTTTCTTTATTAGTACGAAAGCCAGACTCTTCAATGGTTAACAAAATGAATAATACTTGGAACAGGATGAAAACCAGGAAAAAAACAGTAAAAATCGCATGTGGCAAGATTAGAATATCAGAAATCACTGGTGACTGGCCACTAGTTTAAAAATTTTGAGTAAACCCTCTCCTATAGTGTTTGGATAAAATAAACTGCAGCAAAAAAAAGCACATCGCCGAATGTTTGGCTTATTGGGTACTCATCAGTAATCCACATACATGGAAGCAAAAAAGCGGCAGATCTTAACACCAAAACTGTCGTGACTTTGACTTTATCCTGAGGTACTCACCTCCGAGGCTTACACAATTCTGTACGGCTAAAGGATCTTCTAATGGAAAAAAATAGCTTGTATTTAACACTAAAGGAAAAACAAATGGCAGACCTTAATGACAAAATAAGTCATGGATGAAGCATAAAACAGTTGCTCTAATGCATGCAACCTTCGAGTATTTGCTTTTTCATTTTTAAGGTATCAATTTTTTTTTTTTTTTTAAAAAAAAGGTGAACTCCGGAAATCGGTAGATATCAAATATTTTAATGTTTCAAGGGAAAAAGAAAAACTCAATCACTTGTGAGTTAATGCCATGCTACCGCTTGGAATTACCTCGGCTGCCTCAATCTCCAATTCTTGCTTCTGAATGTCAAAAGATAAGGGACGCAGCATACATAGGAAGAATAAATCCGACTTCTCAAAGAATGATTTGTGTTCCTGCCTGCAATATAAGGCCATAAAAAAAGTGAAAAGGCATGAAGCCACCACACTGATTGAAGTCAACAAACTCTTTTTAGATATTTCATGTAGGGGAAGTGATACAAGAAAATTGAAAACTAAAAAGAGAAGGTACAAGTGCTTGCTCATTAAAGCAATTCTGGAATATGAAGAAAGACATACCCCCCAGAAACTGGATACTAGATAGAACTAAGCAGCAGTATGAAATGATTCAATGCATCAATCCAAAGGGACATATAAGTTTATAGACTTGAATTGTACTTTTATGTCATCAAAGCCAAAGGAACACATATTTACATATGCAAGTATCCAACAGAACGAAAATAGGAATATGGATTTTTTTTTTTTTTTTACTTTGTATTTTTTAGAAGTTCAGCTTTTAGAACCCATTGATCATACAAATGTAATTTTTCATGAGACTTCAAAATTAGAACTGCACAATTATGCAAGAGTTAGTTATTTCATTTTATCTTCCCCAGTATTTGTGGCCTCCTGATTTTGATTCCTAAGCAGTGTTTCCATGATTCATTTCCAACGTTAATCTACAATATGCTTGACCTGTCCATGCATCCATATTATTTTAGAGAATAAAAACTTGGGTTGGCCATTATGCATAAACATCTGTGAGGAGATGCAATGATGGTCATATTCAGTGACCATAGAACTTATCTAGATACAGCTTAGTCGGGAAGTTCTAATTGTGTAGCATCGATATAAAGCAGGAATAAAAAAAGTAAGTTGAAAAAACCAACGACTTACTCACCTGAATGCTAGAATCTCCTGAAACTCTGTGTCAATCTGAGCAACAAAAACATGTGGCGTTTATAATTATTGAAACATCGATCAGCCTATCAGTATACATTTGTCACTTACTCCTGTCTCTTCTTTTACTTCTCTGATAGCTGCCTTGAAGATATCCTCGCCCTATACGTTGAAGAGTTCAAATAAATAGTTAATGAAGTGAATTGATTTGTGAAACAAAGATTAACTTCTCACTGTAAGCATGTACCTCGTCAACAACTCCAGTCGGGATTTTCCACACATTTTTTCCTCGAAATTTGCCACTCTTTTCCTGAACGACCAGTACCTAACAAGTAACAATCAAGTGGTTTTCCCATTCAAGACTAGCAATATATAGTGTCACTGTCAAAGAACGTAGTTAACCATCTAGATAATTCCACAACAATGACCATTTTGTGCTTCAGTTTTGGTATCCAGAATAATTCTATCAAAAAATTTGGGAACAACCAAGTATGGGAACTTTTTTCTAAATAATCCTTGAGAGTTGAGAGTGTGAGAAGCAAATCAGAATATTTTACTCTAATTGGATGGACATCTTACTGATTCTTCACAATACATAGTTGAATATGAAATTATAATTAAAAAAAACAAGAAAAAAGTTTTTCATATTTACAAGAATTCCTGAGAAGTGCCCATATAATGTATTCCAAACCCCTAAAATGCAAAAAGTAAATAAATAAATAAATAAAAGATTGTTCTGTTCGAGTTCAACAACAAACAGATGATAGAGGAAATCAAATCAACTGGACCACACTCAAATAAGAGGATTCAACATTTAGAGGAGAACAATAATGAAAGTAAACTAAATTTGTATATCTAATAGATCTAAAATAATAGCAAAATAGAATCACAACAAGCAAACACAGCAAGAGAGGTTTGGGTAAATATAGGAAATACCTCTCTTTTATCATTCAATACAATAGCACCAACACCAACTCTGTGTGAAGCATTTGCAGGGATTGTACTTGCAGTTTCAGGAATCCAGTAAACAAGCATGAGGTAACTTGGTTCAGCATGGTGGTAACAGAATCCTTCCTGTTATGATTACAAAACATGTATAATACATAGACCAAATAATACAATACAAGCAAAAGGTCCTAGATCCATGGAGATATAGAAGAGCATATAAGTTATCATGCTTGCATATCCACCATATGAGTCTCCAACAATTATTCCAATAATTACATATCCGAAAGGAGCCAATATCTTCCCACTCTCCTGTTGTATTTTTGGAGTAGCAGCTGATGTCATATACCAGATAAATGAATGCAGCAATGTGAAGGCAAATAATCAACGATACATCTGGAGCATTTACGCCTAAGTTTAAAAAAAGAAAAAAAGAAAGATAGCTGGAGCAGAAAACCAAAACTTCTGTTCACTATTAGTTATGCAAGTTCAGACCTCACAATACCAGTTGTTTGAACAGTATTTCTGAGGATTGGCATAATACTACCAACTTATCACTTCAAGGCATCATCATTGAACTTAGCTTGTGCCCTACTTATATAACAGGAAAATTTCTAATTTTAACAAGCAAAAAAATTTGTAAATTAGGAAAATTTGAAGTGGATCATATATGCCTCTATAACCAAATGGGATCATATAAATTCTCACAGAAAAATGAAAAAACCAACTACAACCAGTGTTTTCATTCTGATTCTGGAATCTATATATCCCAGGGCCACCACACCTCCAATAAATCTTAAGAAAACTGCATCTAGTGCATCATAGATCCAACAAGGTAAGCTTATATTGGATAGTCTGCAGAACAATCAACTGTTATTGATAATCATTCCCACACACCAGATGTTATTGATGAAAAAATTCCCCATGATGGACTCAATATATCATATAAGGGACCATCACTTAAGAATAATTGGAAAATTACTTTCGCATTGCCATTACTTACAGTGACCAATAGTTACAGAAGCAGTAAGTAATTACCTTAACAGCAGTTTCTACGAGATTTACAAGTTCAATGGGCATATTAATCCAAACTCCCTTCTTTCCCTGCAAAAATAATATACACACATTATAGTACCTATCAAAATGCAAAAGTGGCACTACCACCCAATCTTTCCAGGAATTAGTTGTCTAATTAAACACATTACAACACATTAGCTCATAACCACTCTTAAAGTAAGTTCTACTAGAATAACAACCACCTGTTGCCTCCATATAGATATTGAAGCTCTGAGCACAGTGAGAAAGATGTCAGGTTCCATAGGGTCCTTCATGGTCACTATTACACCATCATGATCATCATTAGATGCAGGAAGCAACTGAACATGATTAATACCATTTTCAATTGGTAGCGAAATTTCTGAAATTGATACAGACCCAACCATAATTGTGATCGCAAACACTGATTTAGACCTGCATAGACAGTTAAAACACCCAAAAAGAGGATTAGAAAAATGCTATACGGTCCCAATTTAATTGGAAAACAAGACCAACTTTCTCGAATTCATAAATGAGAACACAATAAAGCTGGAAACTCAGCTTCAAATTTACGCAAGATCAAAGAGTATATGGTATCAAACAAGCAATATAACCATAAAAGCAAGCAACGGTATCAAATTCAAAATCTAAAATGACAAAAATAGAGTGAACACTAATTCCAAGCTAAGACTCAAGCAAAATGTTTGTAATTGTAACAACTAAAGGAAATACACTAAGCAGAATACAAGCTCTCATTCAAATAATCTACTTCATATTCAATAAAAAAACAGAGAAATTAGGAATTTTTCTTTCTTTTCTGCATCTGAGCTTGATATTAGAATCTGATATTCAGAACATTTCGACTTACTCTGTATGTTCAGTGTTTGAACTTTGAATCAAGCGTTGAAATTCAAATCGGTGAAGTAGTTATTTATAGCAACTCCATATCGATGCGGGAAAACTACTCTGCACTGCAGTGCACGATGACGTTGTTCCCCACTATAATAACATTGCTTTATGCGTCATCTGGGACCCGCTTTCACTAGCCGCCCTCAGAAGCAACTTACGTGTCGGTAGCACAATAAAGGGACCACTGAAGTCGAAGAGGAAGGTAATACTAATTTGTAGCCACATAATTGGACGATATATTATTAAATTACAGATAAGATCCTCATAACGAATCATAAAGGACATACCCTTAAGGGCATTTTGGGACTTCTATCCGACACAAAAATAAAACTAAATAAGCATGAATAATCAGAATAATCAAATTAAATATTTTAATTTTAATACACTGAATAAAATAATTAAACTCACAATTTTTACCTTTTAATACAATTGATTTATCTGAAAAACTACACTAAATCGACCGAGATAGTGTAAGTTTGGTTTTATTTTTACTTAATTCCAAGTCTGCATACTTTCATTTTGTAAATTATGTTATTTCATTTTAATGAATTTCCTTGATAGAAAATCAAATCACAAATACCAAAAATCAAATTTTTAGCTTAACGGACAACGTAATCAAACTGAATCAGATAATCTCAGTGGGTCCAATTATGCAATTTTAATGCTGAATGAATTAAAATAGATTTTATTTTTTTTTATTTTTTTCATTTAATTCAGTGGTTGCTCTAAATAGATTTTATAATTCTAATGTGTTGTGCTGAATGAATTTATTGTCTTCATTGCAGTGTTGAGAACGTAACGTTAATTTGCCTTGTAAGGCCGTTGAATTCAATAAATAATTTGATTTTTTGAGCCGGTCCAATTCGTCCCAACTCGAAAATGCTATTTATTTTTTATGATTCAATCACTTATTAATTTTTTTAAAATCAATTTTAGTATCCAAGAATCATAATCTATCCATTTTTTTTATTTTACTTTTGACTATAATTGGTTGGATCCAGTAAATTTTAGTCAAGTATCTTCTAGATAAAAGTATAAAACTAGCCACAAAGCAATCACTGTGTTAATGATGGTAATTTGAAAGTTGAAACCTAGTATTTAGAATTGAGTGGAAATTCAAAATCAACTAACTAGTGTTGTATCATTTTATGTCACACTAATCCTATTTTCTTCTAGTTTTTCTGACTTATCATGTTGTTTCCCACGTACGAAAAATCATTCCAAAAAGATAATTTATTTTTTACTTTTAGTCAGTCTCAATATATAGTCTATTTTCCTTTTTTTATATTACAGTTAATTGTTAAATTATCTATTATACCATTGTTAAAATTTATCTTATTTTCAATAATTCTCATTAAATTCTTATATAATAATTTTTCATATTTTTTCTAAGACGGGTATAATAGAAAAGTTATATGAATAAAATTGATATTTAATTATAATAATTGCTACATTTTAAATATGTGTGAAAAAAAAAGACTATCTTTTTAGTACGAAAGAAGTATATTTCAGAATCGAAGTATTCGTTCGTGTATTGAATTAAATTTTTCTATCCTTTTAACTTTAAATTGAAGTACGAAACATGTTAATTTTTTGTATTTTTACCTTTTCTTTTGGATCTTTATCAAAGAAGACATAGAAGCTTTGTTCACAAAATAAATCAAAATGGAGAATAGCTTCTATACAAAAAGGAATCACAATCCAAACATGAAAACTAGCATAAGAATAATCTTGAGTAGCAAGACCATGAGTAGGCTTATTGGCTTGTCTCCACACTTTAACTAAGACAAATATCAACTAATTGCTTTAATAAAAAGACTTACAATCATGAATGACAAACTAAATTCAAAGTGTCAAATTGGTTTACTGTTTATATTAATTCATAGTGGTTGTCGATAGATGATAGATGATAGCTAATGGTTCACCCTAGTTAGCTTATTATAGTTCGTGTTTTATAAAATTATATTGACGATGGCTGTCAAAATATAGAATGATCATTAGTGATATAATTATTTTTATATATTATGATGTACAATGGATAAATATTTTTAAAATTTAAGGTCAATTTATTATTTTTTATGTTAATTATCATATAAGTAAAAATATTAATTAATTTTTTAAAATAATATTTAAGAAAAAATTTTATTTTATTTTTAAATAACTAAAGATAAAATTATCATAAAAATATAATTAATTGAAAAAATATATATAAATATGAATTTAGTTCAATACTATTAATATTGATTATCATAATTATTGCTATAATTTAAAATAAAGAAGAATTTGGTTCAATGCTATAATTATAGCTAAAATTTACAGTTGGATCTTCTTTAATGGTTTTATTATTACGGGTGAAAAATTTATAGGAGAAAGCTATTTGTGTTGAATTATTTTAACCACAATATATGTATTTTGGATTAAATTTATTTAATTATTATTATTTTTTCTCTATCTTTTCGTACAGCGTGATGCGTGAGTAATTGATTTAATGTATTTCATTTGATTTTCTTTGTTAATATATCTTTATAAATTTCACTATTTTCAATCTCCAATCTACAGCATTTATCTATAATTAATAATTCCATGGTAAATACATAATTTCTCCATTATTTTACTAAATTTTCATTGAAGTTCCTAAAATATATTAAATACCATTTATAATAATATAATTAAAAATATTAATCAGCATTGCACGAGAATAATGATAATTTTGTACGTGTGAATTGTGTTGCCAAATTACAATGTCCTTCTCTTGGGATTTTTAAGCTACAACTGCAATTAATAATTTTGAGATTTTATTGCTGAGAAAGGGCATTGATGTAATTCGGTTGTGCTGGGAAATTCTTGCCTGACAGTAGAAGCAGAAAGCTCCTATTGGGCTTTATGGGGGTCTCCTTAAAAGAAACAAACGCTTCTTATGCTTTTCGTGAAATATAGCAGAAGAAAGAAAAAAAATCCTTTCATTTTCTTCGTTTCCCATCTTTTGATCAACTTTCTAGTGAGAGAAAGATAGGGTTTTAGAGAGAGAAAGTAATTCAGCCATGTCTCTTGGCTATGCAGAGAAGCTTTCCTTCATAGAAGATGTGGGTAAAGTTGGAATGACAGAATTCTTCGACTCATCCCATGTTTTGCAGGAAAAAGTAATTTTCTCTCATTCTTGATTTCTGTGAAATGGGTTCTATCTTTTTTGCTCTCTTTTATCGTTGTTAACGTTAATTAACTTTAATAATCACCTGATACAGTAGCGTTATTAGATTCTGCTTTGCTTAAACTTGGTGAAAGTTGGGAATAATATAGCGGCCGTTTGCTTCTGAACTTTGTTTGGAGTACTATATAGTGTTTTTTGGTGAGATCTGATTTCTGGGTACTTGCAGTTGGTATCTTCAGAATTATGTTTTTCTTATATCATTAGCTTTTATGCGAAGCTGTTGGTGATTTTATGATTGCTTGAACTGTTTTAAGTTCCAACCATAGTTTGTTAAATGCACAAATGTTAAATCACCAACGTGCATCACAATGTGAATACGCAACTGATGTAGCGAATCACATTTGCTTAGAGGAACTAGGTTGATAGGCTTGTTTGGTACTGAGTGTTTACTGCAATGCAGCTAGGCTGTGACTTCTGATACACTTGCAATCTCCTCAAGCAATACTTTATTGTGGTTTTTTTTTTTTGTGAAATTCTCTAATTGGTTAAAGAGAGCATTTTCATGTGAAGTAACTTTTCTGCATTTGGTTATTAGGAATAGGAGACTAGGAATGGGGTTCTGGCTTTAATTCCTATCCTTGGGATGCTTGGTGACTTGAAATATACATAGTAGGAAATTGGGAAAGCTTTTTTATTTGTTTTTGATACCTTCATGGAGGGCTAAAAAAGAGACTAGGAATGTGAATGGAGAATCCCCATTTTCCATTCTGTGATTTGTGGTAACCAAACGTATCCGAAGTCTTCTTTGTTTTCTTCCACTTAGTTATTCATCCAAGTGATCGAGGCATTCTACTACCTTGCCCATTAATATGATTCCTACGAGAATTTATTTAAGATTTAAATAGGACTTGAAAATTTTCAGCTGGGAAGACACTAGGCTTAATTTTGACATCCGCATCTTGGGTAATACCGTAATTGTTATTCTTATAGGCGAATAATTTGATGCCATCATGCTTCCTGTGTACAAGGTTCCTTGTATTGCAGGGATCTGGGAGGGTTAGATGTAAATAGCCTTTTCCTTGCATTATGACTGTTCCTGTGATTTGAACCCATGACCTCTAGGTCAAAATAAAGAAACCTTAAATCATGACACAAAGGCTTACCTTCTTCTATTTGGATTATAGAATATTGAAGGAGTGGTTTTTGGTTCAGATTGTGGAGAAAGGGGAAGAAGAATCGGAGAACATTAGTCGTCATCAGACTTTCATTGCCCAATGGTTGTTGGACTGCCCTCCTTTGTTTATTATGTCTCTCTAAGATCAGAGAAGGGAAAATATTTGGTTTTTGTGATATATACTTTCTTTCATCTTTATATGGGATTTTGTTATTGGCAGTTGATAGATCTTATTTTGTGTAAGGTGCAATCCTATTGAAGTGAGTTTTTTTTTTTTTTTTTTTCCAATTTTGCTTAAAGTATCTTGTTTGTATTAATTTCATTACTATTGTTGTGGTTCACGAGCCAAGTTAAAAGTTACCAAACCTTTTAATCTGATGCTTCACGTTTGTCAGTTTTAATATTTTGCATCTGAACATTGTATATATGTTGCATTCCATGTGGAATGGTGGATTCATGTATCAGTGCCACTCAAACATATGTGATAATGTGTAAACTAGAAATGGAACCTTTGCTGCACTCCCTCCCCCAACAAAAATAAAAAGAAGAAATAAAGAAGGGAAAAGAAATGAAAGCATTTAATCATTAGATTTTCTCAAATTTTGCCTGCTAATTTCGACATTGCTTGATCTTTGAATTGGCAGATTGAACGCCTAGCCAAGATGATACAAAAGGTTCAGACCTACAAAATTCTCTTGTATCATTAATGTAAATAGAATGTTACATAATCCGATAAGCCACTCTTAAGTTTTTTGTTTGTACTTGCAGAGTAAGCATCTAGTGGTGTTTACAGGTGCTGGAATATCAACTTCTTGTGGCATACCTGATTTTCGAGGCCCCAAGGGAATCTGGACACTGCAGGTGAAAATTTTGAACCCAAAACAAGTTCTATAAAACTTATAGTGGACTGTTTAATTCAAGGGACTTGATAATATGCCTCTTTAACAAATGAGATTTATTTGGAACATACTATTCCATTGCTTTAAATGGTAAGGTTGTTTTTCCTTTTCTTTTGGAAATCTACCCGTAAGCTGCTGAGAACATGGGTGAAGCAATATATCATGTCTAGACTGAGGTTTATTCTAAAGAGTTAAAAACATATCTGAAGCAGAAATACTCTACTATTTTTAAGTTTATTGAAAGCAGAAAGCATGATGTTGGTGACAAGTACAGTTGTCTATTAAAACCAAAATGTGCTCCTTTTCATGATGATAAAAATGCAAAGTAGTGCGACAGCTCACATGCTACTTGCATTTTCTCTGGACACGTAAAATCTTGTTGGATGGCATTTTAGTTATCAGAGAATGGCACACAGTACTTTTTTTCTCTTTCCTGAAAAGTATTATTGTTATTCGACTAAGCATTCTTCTCATGGATTGTGCTCTACTGTTGATGTAAACGTATCAATTATGTCTTAGTTTCTTTAGATTGCTCCTTTAATTACTATGGGTTGGTTGCAGCATCAGGGCAAGCCTTTACCTGAAGCATCTCTACCATTTCATCGAGCAATGCCAAGCATAACTCATATGGCTTTGGTTGAACTTGAGAAGTCTGGCATGTTGAAATTTATTATTAGTCAGGTAGGTAGGGCTTTATTCTCTGATTCTTCGAGCTATATGCTAAGCTCTTGCTGCTTCCGTGAAATACATTAGCATCCTTGTAAACCCTTCTCAACTATACCGTGAATGATTACATTATACGCATGTTTCTTGTAGAGTTTAACATTGTGCATATACGGGTGTCTTTTGAGCCATCCTTCTGTTGCTTTAGCAAAGAGCTAAAAAGTGGAGGACCGCTTCATTTTTTGTTGCTCCTTGAGTTCTGTGGGAAACTTGAAGTATAATTTACATGTTTCTGCATTGTTTTGCTTTCTAGCTTTTTCTCAATCCATAATGTAACCTATTATTCACTTATAATTATGTTAGCCTCAATCTATAGTACTGCCTTTTATATGCATACTGAAAATTTATCAGTTTATGCTTATTCAGAAACACATGAGATCTCTTTCCTGATTGTCTTTTTATCTTATTTTATTTTATTTATTTTTGTGTATGTGTGTGTGTGTGTGTGTGTCAGAATATTGATGGCCTCCATCTTCGGTCTGGAATTCCAAGGGAGAAAGTTGCTGAATTGCATGGGAACTCTTTCATGGAAACTTGCCCTTCTTGTGGAGCTGAGTAAGAACACGATCTCAATATATATATATATATATATATAGTCCGAAAAGGCGAAGCATGAAACTCTTTCATGGAAACTTGCCCTTCTTGTTGGAGCTGAGTAAGAACACGATCTCAATATATATATATATATATATATTATATATATATATATATATATATATTTTATCTTTTATAACGTCTCTCCATAATTTGGGTGTGTGTCATTATCATTGTTGTGGTTTGATGGAGTATTGCTGTTTATATAATTGCATTTCTATTAAGAAAGATTTTTTTTCTTACATAATATTTAGTATCATTCTTTAACCTTCAAAGGTATTTACGAGATTTTGAGGTGGAAACTATTGGATTGAAGGAGACATCACGCCGCTGCTCTGATGTGAAATGTGGATCAAAACTAAGGGACACAGTTCTTGACTGGGAGGTATTATTCCCTTTACTTGCTAGTAGGTATTAGTAATGGCTCAAGGAGTGCATAGTAATGACCTTTTAGCATCTTAAAGCCGTCTATTTTTATGTAATTGCATTTTAAAGTTGTTCTGTTAATGAAATATGCATTGTATGTCAGACTGCATTAAACTCAGTACCTTATAGACATGAAAGATTGCGTAGATAGCTTTGCATAACTTGGAACTTTTGGTAGAACAAAATGGCTTATGGTCTGACTCAAGATCAATTTTACATTCTGGTGTTCAATTCTTTTGCGCTAAACTTTTTTCTCTGCGAGTGATGTGAAAGCTGTATCTACCTCAGTTATTTATGTTTTATCCCCCTCACTGGATGTATGTCCATATTGTGTAATTCCATGGTCAAAAAGTAAGCAAACACACAATTCCTTTGATGTCACTAGACAGTGAGAGTTTCATGTTACACAATGTAATATCTTACTTTGCGTGCAACAAGATTTCTCCAAAGACATTTTGTGACTCGGAGTTTATATCCTTTAGTACTTGCCTTTTGATTTGTTGGTATCCATGTGAACACAACTATAAGCCAATTTATGCACTGAACGTGTTGAGATCAGCTAAGACATGTATGTCAGGAAATTTAAAAGCAGTTCTTTGGTGCTTGTATAGACTATAGAGGGCAGTTTTTGCTAACAAATCACCTAAACACCCCTTGAGTTGTGACTATGTCCAAGAATTACAGTGACCATGTAATCAAATTCTGTGACTAGTGATTTGGAGTAAAAACCCCAGAAGAATTTGATTCTCATGGTTTCTTTTTTCCTTGTTTGCTTTCTAAATTAAGATTAAAAAGGTACATCTCACTGAGAAATTCTCTCTCTGTCTCTATCTGCAGGATGCATTGCCCCCAAATGAGATGCTTCCAGCTGAAAAGCATTGCAGGATGGCTGATCTTGTGTTATGTTTAGGGACAAGGTGATATATGTTTGGTAGTTGACAGTAACTCCTTCAGTTTTTTGTTTCCAAATTATGTATTAATTATTTTACTTTGCTTTTTGAGTGGTGTTAAAGTTTTCATAGTTCTAATAAATCATCTTAATAATAACTATGCCTACCCGACAAACACTCCCTTAGAGTTTTATCTCCTGTAAATAAGAGAGAAATTCTGCATGCATCATATATACTCGTATTGGAAGTAAAGACGAACCCCAGAAGAAATTGATTCTCATGGTTTCTTTTTCTTGTTGCCTTTTCTATTTAAGATTTAATTAAACATGGGATACATCTCACGTGAGAAATTCTCATCATCTGTCTCTAATCATGCAGGAACTTGTCATTTGCCACCATAGTAATGATGATGCTTTTCCAGGCTGATAAAAGTACATGTGTGTCAGGCCATTGGAACATACGCATACTTGTGTATAATATGTTTATAGGCGACGAAGAGTGTGATAGTAAGTGTTTTGGTAAAGGGAATCTTGCTTTCAGGTTGATCGAGTCCAACTCCTTCAGTTTTTTGATTTCCAAAATTAGATGGGTGATCCTAATATTTACTTTGCTTTTGTAGGTTGTTCGTGTCTGTGTGTAAAGTGTTTGTCATAGTTCTAATAGAAATTCCATTCTTAATTAGTGACTATAGCCTACCCGACAAACACTAAAACACTCCCTGTGAGAGTTTTTCTCCTTAGTATTAAATAAAAGAGAGAAACTTCTTGACAATGGCTATCACCTATTATTAAATATAATAACAGGTTTATATATTAAGGCAGGCTCAGTAGAATTAATGGTATATATATATTGATAACACTAATGGATTGTTTCTTTTGTGATTACTTACTAAAAAGACATTCCATACCATTACTCCTACGACTAATTCTGCTCTTTACTCACAGAATGTACCATTTGCAATGTGTATTCTCTTATATGAAAAAAGCTACACTGTTTACTCTTCTGTTACTCATCATTGAAGCTAGTGAGATTATGTGGGTCTCTTGGCGATAGACTGACCTATATTTCCCTCTACTAATTTTTCATTACAAATCCTTCTAGTGCCGCTCGATCGGCTTAACAAGCTCCTCCTCGCCCAGCTGCTTGTGTTACACAAATTTGATATAATGTGATATGTGACCAAGTATACAGAAATTTAGGCCACCATAAAACAACAGTAAATATGACCGATATATATATATATTGATAAACAATGGATTGTTTCTTTTTAATTCTTACAAAAAGATATCCTTACTCCTGAAATCTGTCTACCAGATGTACCTTTAGCATGTGTTTCTCTGAAAAGTACACTGTTACTCTTCTGTTCTCACATTGAAGCTATAGATTTGTGGCTCCTCAAGACTCCAATATTATTTCATAATCCTTCTGCCGTCGAGCTAACAAGCTCCTCTCGCTCTCTTGCTAAAATTTGTTTTGAAGTATAGAATTTAGGCACATAAACAGTAAAAGAAAAAGACAAATGTAACAATAATGTGAAATAATGCCTTTGAGAGGTTGCTGACAATTCTCTTGAACTATTGTGAGGCATATTAAATTCACTCCAAGAAGCAGACTGCCTATATTTACTGCAAGATCTTCACAAATCATGGGACCTAAGCTTAATTTGTGCAATTCTGCTATAGACAGGCAAGGACAACTACACAATCTTTGTGACTTTCAATGCAATGATCAACAAAGAAAAGAAAATGGAAACCAATTATTTTACCTTTTTCCCATCGTTGGATCTCAAGTTCGAAATGCATTGTGTGGCATTGTGTTGGTGAAACTCGCATCAGTTACAAAAAATACTAGGAGAAAAAAAGTTAAAAATGCACAAGCAAAATGCAGGAGGGAGAAAAGGAATAAGATCTGGTTAACGTTCGATCTTCTATGAGTAATCAGACTCTGGCCTGCTGCATTTGAGCACTATATGAAACTTAAAGCCTGCAACTAATCTTCTGTTTGTTGCTCAGCTTTTCCAATTGAACTACAAATTCCTGTCTGCATGTATCTTACTCCTTATCTGTTGCATATTCCTTTGAATTCCATTCCATGACTGTGATATACTACATGCAGTTTGCAGATCACTCCTGCCTGCAACTTGCCCCTGAAATGTCTCCGTGGTGGGGGGAAGATTGTGATTGTGAATCTTCAGGTATTGATAAGGACATATTGAACTTGCTCATAGTTTTCAATTTGAGTGCATTTAGGTGTGCACTCTATTCCAGACCTAATTTTCTGCAAGTTGATTGAGATCTTTAGGTGCACATATCTCTTTTTTAATCAACTTTCTTTGAAGAATGGCAATTGTTATCACTGGGCAATTGTTTCAAATTTTTATCATCTGTTTTAGGTACCACTCATGTCATTTGCTATGTAAATTCCTTTTCCTTAAGATGATTTTCTCCCTCTTTGTTTTTAGTTGGAAGCTATTTTTGCTAATATAGATATATACTAGTCTAGATGGAGTTGAAAGTCAAGAATGGATAGAGGATGTATATAAAAGAGCCTTCTTTACAAAAAAACAAAATATGGAGGAGGAACTGACAATTAGTTTCTAACGAATCAATGAAGCTAGGTGTCAAAGGAAAGACTAGATAACTCGACCTAAATATGCAAAGTGCATAGAATATTTTTAGCCTTCCAAGTGCTACTTACTGTCTCAAATATTCTGGTATATCTACTTGTACCATGGTAGGCGTGTACTTATGCTGATGCCAACCTAACCGAGTATTATTATTGAATTGATATTTTGAATCTCTTTTCTGTTTAAAAAATTTAGCTTCTGCTCAACCCAGAAAGAGACGCCCCACTCAAGGGGAAGGAAGTGTGTTTGGTGGAGGGGGTAGAGAAGATAGTCTCTTAGCTAATTGTGTGCCGTTGGGGTGGAAAAGATGATGTTTTGGTGGTAGGGCGGGTTAATAGAGCAATTCTCTTTCTTAGGTAAAAATTGCTACTTAGATTCAGCAAAGCCTCAAAAGGATATATCACCTCAACAGAACTGTTGTGGTTCTTACCTCACTTCAACCAAACCATTGATTAAGGTCATGGAATGCAAAGTGAGACATTTCCCTCTATAAAGTTAAAATATGAAGGTTGCCCATTCATGCATTAATGTGAATGTTGCCATTTATGCTATCCTGTTCTTTTGTGTAAGCAAGTGCATAGTTGGGTCGTTGAACATTTTCTGCTTGCTATTTGCTTTAAATTGTTCTTTTACTGCTTGTTTGATTTTAGTTGTGAAAGGAATGTAGAATTTAGCCATATTTCATTTTCCTGGATTATCTTTTTGATAGAGAGAAGATATTCTATATGAAATTCATCCCTTTTTAATAACCAAGCTTTGAAACATAAACTGCCTAGTTGGCAATTAACATGTTAACAGTAGATGAAGAGTGAACCCTTCGTTTGTGCCTTCCCATTTATGTGATTGTTCTATTGAACTTTACAGAAAACTCCAAAGGACAAGAAAGCAAGTTTGGTGATCCATGGCTTTGTAGATAAGGTAGTTCTATTTCTATGTTCATACTTGTTGATATTTTTTTACTTTTTCTGTTTGACCCTCTTCTTTCTCTTCCTTTATCTCTCCCTTATTTTCTTTTATTTTCTGAGATTGGTTTTAATTCTTAGAAGTGTCATTTACTGAGCAAACTGGTTTAGTTAGACAAAATATTGGAGGGTATTATATGACATTGCATAAATTTTGTTCTATTATTTCTGGGGTATTATATGACATTACATGTGTTTCTTTCATTTTTGACATTACATGTTTTTCTTTCATTTTTAGGCATATAATTACTTTCTGACATCTTTTCTTCATTATGTATTAATTTGAACAAAAACAGGTAATTGCAGGAGTAATGGATTGGCTAAGTATGAAAATTCCTCCATATGTCAGGATTGATCTTCTCCAGATCATCATAACTCAATCCTTGAGTCAAGGTGATTTGTGCAAATTGTGTCAACCTTTTCTCAGCATGCATTGAGCAATACATGTATGTGCATCTTAATGCACATTTAAGGTAATGCTATCATCCTCTGTTGGGCCTTCTTTGAGGCTACGAACCCTTACTATGACAGAGAAAGCCTGAAGTTTTTGCCCAGCAAATCTTTTAGGCTGGCTATGGTCTGGATTCTGGAGGAAATGTCTTGGCTCACATTCTATATGAGAGATGCCTGTCATTTGCTTGTTTGGCTTTGACAAGACTGCATTCTACAGTCTTCTTTAACAATATAGCTTGAAGTCTTCAATTTTCAATCTTTCTTCAAAAGAATGAGGTGTGCCTCATTTTTATTGTTTTTGATAGACATGATTCACCATTAACTTTTGATGCACCTCTGTCCATAAAATGAAGTCACCCAAGCTTGTTGTTAGAGGCCTTATCTGAAATATTTAGTGGAAATTTATTTCTAGCGTCTAGCAAGGATCTGAGACTGTCGTTTATAACTTTCTAATGTGGCACATCCACTTGACAGATGAAAGATATGTGAACTGGACCATCCGAGTAGCAAGTGCACATGCATTGAAAGCACCATTGCCATTCATAAATTCTATTGAGGTGAACTTAAATTTCATTCTGTTTTAGATTTGGACTGAACCCTTCTGATAAACCCTTCCCTAAATTAGTTACACTTTGAAACACATCATTAGGGGTGTTTTGTGGTCCGGACTAAAAAAATCTGGCCTGGGGTAAAGGATTTTGTCTTGAGTCCTGGTCTGATCTGCTTGTAACCTGCCTCCAAGGGGGTTGGGAACCATAGTTACATGGGATCGACTGGCTTATTATTATTTTAGGCTGTGCTTGGGCAAAATATTAGGTCTGATTGGTTGGACCAGGCCAAGCCAGGTGTGGCTCGAGGATAAAAGTCTCAGCCTATTGCCTGCCCCACCCAGTGATCAGCTCTACATCACATAACAACTTCTCCTTTGAAGTCGCCTTAAATTTAAGAGAACTGATATAGTACTATAATACTAGACTATTATATGGTCGTTTGCCTTTTTTCTATGATTATTTATGCTTTATTCCCAGGTTTCTTTCTCAGATGCACAAAAGTACAAAGCAGCAATTCTAACCGAGCAGCCTTTTAGCTTGAAACGGTTTGTCCAATCCCATCCCATTTTAAGACTTTTTTTTTTTTTTCTTTACTGTTTTTGGTTTCCAAAAATGGAGGAATGTGAATAATTAAAATCAGGAATGATGGTCATTTTGTATCCTGATTTCTCAATCCCATAATCATGATGGCTAGATCTGATTGCTTGAGCTTTATATCTTCACTGCTTTCTCTGCACTTTTATGGCCGTCAAATATAATTAGGATATTTTGGAGGGTTTACTAATTAATACATTGACAAGACGGTTAATTTCACCATCGTCATTGAACTCAATGTTAATTTCAGCGCTGTTTGTGAACTTCAGTTTCTATCAGCAAAATCTCCTAACTTCTATTTTGTTTCAATAGAGCCACTATAAGTAGATTGTAGTGAGTTTTCAACCATATTTTTAGTGTGATAACTAAGTAAGATTTTTCCAATATAACTAGGTGTGTTAGGTATTGCCTTTTGGGTTGTTGAGAAAACGTTTGTTTGAAAAGGTTGGTTAGATGTTATTAAATTTGTTTTTTTTAAAGTGAATTTAGCATATTGTAGTAATTCAAGCTTCAAAACAGGTGAACATCATTCCAAAATTATTTTCTCCAACATTTAAAATGATGGTTTTTGGAAAAGTATTTTTAATCTCAATGCCAAACAAGTTTTATATGGGCTATAGAGATGTTATACTTCAGTTATAATACAAAAAAATTGACTTAATCTCAACAAAAATTAAGTAATAGTGCCCTTGCCGGGATAATCAAATCGAGTGATCTTTTTTGGTACAAATTGTAATTCAATGACCATATTGAACTGCAGTGATAATTCACTGACTGTTAATGAAATTGGCCTAAAAAAAGGACATGTTTAGTTGATCCATGAGACTAATCTGATCTGCATTGTAAAGTTGAATTTCTCATTGTTTAGAAATTGTTCTATTGCCAAATAATCTCATCCTAAAATGATGGTTTTTGGAAAAGTATTTTTAATCTCAATGCCAAACAAGTTTTATATGGGCTATAGAGATGTTATACTTCAGTTATAATACAAAAAAATTGACTTAATCTCAACAAAAATTAAGTAATAGTGCCCTTGCCGGGATAATCAAATCGAGTGATCTTTTTTGGTACAAATTGTAATTCAATGACCATATTGAACTGCAGTGATAATTCACTGACTGTTAATGAAATTGGCCTAAAAAAAGGACATGTTTAGTTGATCCATGAGACTAATCTGATCTGCATTGTAAAGTTGAATTTCTCATTGTTTAGAAATTGTTCTATTGCCAAATAATCTCATCCTCATACTTCGTATATGTTTTATATTATTTTATTTTATTTTTGCATCAGGAGAACTGTGACAACAGAAGAATTTGAAATTTTGTTGAAACTCAACTTTAGTGAAGGATGTGGTTGTTTGTGCACCCAAATCAGTGTCCCCTTTTGCTTTCAGGTAAGAAGACACATTTACCTCCGTATTCACTTCATTACCTGTTTAGATACTATGGATTGTGAATAGAGAGTTCTATTGTTTCTTAAGGTGGGATGAGAAATCCCATCACTTTAATGGGAAAAAATGTGATTTACTAGAAATTGCCAATCTTGTGCATGACCATTCCAACTTTCAATTGATAGTTTTTTCACCAAAAAATTTATAGAGGAAAAGATCAATTATCGCAGATGATTCTGCTCACTAACAGAGGTCTAAGGAAATTGTCCCTTGCCAATGTGCAGGTTTCAAATGACTGTTTTAATCTTGATAAGGAAGTTGTAATACAAAATCTGAGAGAAAAAGCAATTCAAGATTTTTGTTGCGGTCAGAATGCAATGGTAGAAAGGAAGGTCATTTTAGCCCCAAAAACTGAGCTTACAGTCCATGCCATTGTTACCAACATCAAATCATTTGAACCTGATTCTTTGAGCAATGGTGATATGAAAAAGCCAAGATTAAGTTTCAATGGTACTGGGACATCCCGGAAGCGATCGAAAGGCCGGAAGCGCAAATCAAGATTTTAAAAACAAGGGATTACGTTTTTGACTGTATATAGACTCTGGTTATAACTCAATTGAAAGTATAATATGTAGTGATAGTGACTGAGTGAATTTTGTTAGATATTACACTCGGTCTTCTCCAGCTACGATAGGCAAGTGGCTAAGCTGGTTGGATTTTCTGCTGTGCTCTCGAAAAAAAAAAAACAAAGACTATAACTGGTAAAATTTGTTGATTTATCCTAATTTTATTACCTTATGTAATTTTTCTATTAACTTATAATTACTGTTATTAAAAAAAAAATTATAATTATTGAATCTCAATTTGAAAACTTGGTTGTAATTTATTTTTTATTATCAAACTAATTTTAAAAAATTAATTGTTCTTTTGGCATATACAAATAAGTTGCTATGAGTGAGGATAAAAGGGGTATAGTAGCTATTTTTCCAGTTGAAATGAAAAAATAGAAGAAAACTCGAGCAGGAAGCTAAGCCATTGTCATTTGTTAAGTAAACATTCTATATAATAGTAACTTGAAGAGCAGAAAGCAACACAGAGAAGAAGCAAATGCTTTCTCACTGCTGCCATTTCTCCTGTATTTCCCTTTTAATTTAACATTAATCTGTAAAATACCCCATTATTTCTTTGGAGTCCTATTGTCATGTTCCTTTCATTTCTAGCTAGTCACTTATACTGAGCAAATGGATCATAGTTGATTTGAGGATTTGAAGAATAGGATGAGCCACCAGCACCACCGCCACTGCTGCCTCCAGCACCGCCGCTGCCGCTGCCGCTGCCTCCGCCTCCAGCACCATCAAAAGCATTCCTATAATATCCACCATACATAGAAGGATCAAAGAAGCCCATGCCCATGCCCATGCCTGGTACATGTTGACCCATGTGAAGGCCAGGAACAAAAGGAGGCATGGGAAAATTTCCATAATCAGCAACTGTAACGCCACTGCGTCTAAGAATCGGATCACGAACAGAAGAGTTGCGTTCGTTCTCAGACTCACGATATTTACTGAGAAATAAACTCAGTGGCTCAACGTACTCATCGAAACCCAGTTTTCCCATTGCCCAAAGCACATCCTCAGCAGTTATAGTCTTGCGCTGCTCTCGCTGGCAGCGGTCATTAGCCTCTCCGGTAATGAAGCTTATGTATTCTGATACACATTCTTGTATGGTTTCCTTAGCATCATCTGATATTTTGGCATGGGGAGGAAGAATTCGACGCATGATTCGTATAACATTGGCTATTGGCATGTACTGGTCTTGTTCCCGCACTATGTACAGACCAGGTTGCTGCTGTTTCTGGGTGGCTTCCGCCGTTGCTGAATTGCTGCCATTGGCGTGGCTTGGGTTCAGAGTGCTGGGAAGAACTGAGTTTGCTTGATCTAAATAGAGAAGAGATACATTAACAAAAAAGAATTAAATATCAAAATATATTTTTTTTATAAAAATATGGATTTTCATGCTTACCAAACAAAATGCCTAATAAAAAGAAAAATAAAGCATCTTTTCAGTTTATCTCCTTTGTCCATTTCTTATCCACATCAGCAGAAAACAACAAAAGTCTAGAGCTGACCAAAATGATAGTAAGACAGAAGAGGAAAAGGTTGTAAATGCCACCTCACAAGCTTGCATGGACCACGTGCCTCTATCAGAGGAACTATTACCTGCGGGACCGACCAAACAACCTATTTGTATATACAGTATGTAGGTCCCACATCAATCAGAATTTATGTGGGGCTCACGTATGATTAGTTTAGAATCTTATGCTCAGATTCAGTTATGTATGAGTCAAGAATCAGTCAAGTCAAATCTTTCTTCTCTTCCCCATGTGTTTTTCATAAATTCCATATCCAAAAGCAATTTTTACCATTTTCTACACAATGAAAATTTGATTTTGGATTTTGAAAAAAAAAAAAAAAAAAACATTCACTAATTTTTAGAATTTGAAATTCCATCAATAAGACGAATTATATTTAATATTTATTATTCAAATCCAAGGCTAATAGATATAATTAACCTTACGAAAATTCCATATGGCCTGAAATAATAATTATTTTTGAATAAAACAGGAGAGAAACTCCATTAATAGATTTGCCCGACTGAGTCAGCAGCAATTACATGCATGGCTGCCACGTCAATAACTACATTAAAGATATTTATCTCATGAGATACTCATATTACAAACAAGAAAACTTATTATTATGACCAATATTTTAAGGAGAGGAGCAGTAGAAATCGAAGAAGACATTAATCTCATATCAAGTTATCAACATATAGATATTCGTAGAAAATAATTAAAGAAGAAGAAGAAAGAAAACATAAAGAAAAAACGTGACCTTCGTATAGATATTTATTTTCGTTGGTTTGCCAAATCAGGTTGCCAAACCAACGAAAATAACATTTTTTTTTCATTTTTGGGTGAATAAAAGTGAATTTTCTTTTTTTTTTTTTTTCCTCCATGCAAAATCAAGAAGGCTGAAATTGAAAAGACAGTTGCATGCAAAAAGGAAAAGGTCAAAAAAAAAAAAAAAAAGGTTCCAAAACCAACGAAAATAACATTTTTCTTTCATTTTTTGGCGTGAATAAAAATGCAATTCTTCCTTTTTTTTTTTCTTTTGTCACTCCATGCAAAAAATCAAGAAGGCTGGAAATTAAAAGGACAGTTGCATGCAAAAAGGGAAAAGCGTATCAAAAAAAAAAAAACAAAAAAAGCAAAAAATCCACAAAGCAAAAAAAAAAAAAAAAAAAGCAAAAAATCACATAAGCATGGATAATTGATATCTTTTAAAGAGAAAAATTACTCTTATGCGTGATCTATAATCACTCGAGAATATCATTTCTCTCTTTAAGAGGGTATCAAGCAAAAATTTATATTTATATATATATAATTAACAAAAAAAAGATAGAATTAACGAAAAAAAAAGATATAAATGAAACTTCAGAATCCATAAAAAATGACTTAAATGGTAAAAGAGATTTAAATTTTACAGATGATCCTTTCGATTCAAACCATCAAAAAAATTACTTATAAAAGCGGTAGTCGTGATTCGTGAATCCTGAAACAAGGTTGGTCTCATGGCAAAAAAGTGTGAGAATATCTGGGAAAAAAAAAAGAAAAAGAAAACATAAATCCATCGTTGGGGACAATACCTGCAGAGCTAGCACCAGCAGAGATTGAAGGTTGTTTTGCATGTCTGCGATAGCGATGGAACCTGCCTCCACGTTCCATAAATGAAAACTTTAAATATAATAATATTTTTTTGCTAAAAAAAAATATATGTATATAACTATAATATATTAGTTTGTCTCTTCAATCTGCACTACACCAGTCGAGTAGTTGAATTATTTATAGGCAGTGCAGGCAGTGAACCACACTTGGCAAACCGGCGTTTTTAACGAGGAACTCAGTATAGCCGGTGACAGCCTTCTCTTATTGGCTATAAGTTTTGTCTTTACCGGAAGCAACAGGCGCCAGTAAAACAACCTTAGGTTTTTCAATTTTTTTACCTTTTTGAATTTTTAATTTCATTGGTTTACTTCCTAATTAGAATCATGAATCCAGTCTTGGTAAGCTTTTGCAGATTATTATGCCCTTAATTTTTCATTTACACATGTACAAGTCATTTTTTTTTATTTTCATAAATAAAATACATAGCCCCATTTCACGCCAATCCAAGGGGATTTTTTAAAAATTGTTATTATTTTATGGTCTTTTTTTTAATGAATAGTCAAAAATACTTTTATTACAATCAAAAATATTTTATTTATTTATTTGATATATATAGATTGATGAGTCCATATATCGGAAGTAGGTAAGATTTTTTTTTTTTACGTGTTTATAAGGTAGTATTTTCTTTACGGAGTAACTTTTTATTTTAGATATGGCGTTACGACTTCTTTTTCATATCTTTAACTGTTGGAATGAAAAATTCCATATTAGGAAAAGTGTTCGGTCACTTTTTGTTTTATATATAATTTTTGAACTTGGACACGTGTTTTTCAGTTCGAATCAAAATGACAAAATTAGTTTAGAGATATAATTCACTTTCACTGATTTAACCGTTATTTTATTATTGAATAATTACAATATATATTAAAGCATCGTTAAAATTTGAAGTTGATGGAGTGTATATATACTCTAATGGACACTCAGCATTTGATTGTTGACCTATTAGATTATGTGAAGCCAATGCCAATTGTTTAATTAATTACACCTAATTAATTGAGAAAGTGTGCATAAAGATAACGTTGTAATTAACATAGTTTTTAATTCCCAAGGTGCTATTAATTGATTTCTTATCTGCCAAGTTC